ATCAGCCTGCTGGGTACTGAGAGACCTCTCAATGCCCATGACGAATTTAGGTGTCTGAATTCAGACTGTAGCCAGTTCGTGCTGGGCCTTGTGAGAAGGCGTGGAGATGCCAGTGTTGCTGCTTCAAGCTGAAGACCCGACTTACACGCTTCTCTAAAATGTCTGCGAATTACATTCAATACAATTGAGGACACTTTGACATCTTACTGGGCGAACCATCCAAGCGTTCGACTAAACCATTTGAAGTAAAAATAGCCAGCCCATCGACCCGCCGTCGTCATTCCCCTTCAAACCCCGAGAGGCTTGGTTTAGGCGGGAAGCTTACCGCCTTACCGCCGCAATGTGTCCATTACTGATTTTGCACAACGTGATCGTATAAGTCAGAACTAAGGCATCATGAGCGCGGTAGCTCAGTCCGGTATCTCTCGACCTAGTATGCAGTAATCGAGGGCTACTCAGTTTTTCATCGCGCTATGTAGTATGAATTACATCACCATGTGACTTGGGAAATTTTCGATGTTTTTTCCTTTTTTTTGGGGGGGCATTATAACTCTCAGTGACCTGCCCAGAAATACTTTCGTGTGTATGAAATCTGTCAGTGGCAAAGGCCGAAGCTGCAGAACGGCAAAGCCATTGGAAACGTCGGAGATCCAATGTCTGCCCAAAACTTAGCGAAAGAGATCCTCGCTGTGACAAACCATGACAGCTGGCCTCAAGCTGGCGTCAAGTGACACTTGTTGTTCTCGACTAATATAATCGACTTTGGGAAAGCTTCGCCTAACTCAAGTCCCAAATAGGAACAACTGTCCGCCGGTCTGAGACCAGTCGGCACCCGGGGCCGATCTGCCCAGGATCCCCACACCAACTCCGCCAACTCCGCTGTTACCATTGAAACGCCTTGTATGCGTGGCCAGGTTTGAAAGACCTGACAATATCCAAATTATTACTTGTAGTCCTGATCGAAAGACTCGGGCACTATGGCAGAATGATTTCGAGTCTACTTTTATGTTATCGAGAGCAATGGCAACATCGGCAAGACAGCGTGGTATTCCGAAGACAGATCATACGTCAAAAGAACCGCCAGAGAACCAGTCCGAGGCTCTGAACGCCATTATAGAGGACGAATTTGTGGCCGAGAATCAACGATCAGCATGGATATGTGTTATCGGGTCTTTCCTTTTCCTGATGCCCTCGTTCGGTAATTACCAAATATCGATGTCTCAAATTCGGGTCACATAGAGCTAACACCTCCCATGCAGGCTTTATTCAATCCGTAGGAACTGTACAAGCATATCTCCAAGAGAACCAGCTTGAACAGTATTCCGCTCGAGACATTGGATGGATCACCGGTGTCTACACATTTCTCACCATGTTCCTCGGTATTCAGACCGGTCCGCTCGTAGACGTTTTCGGGACAACATATCTAGCACCACTAGCAACTGCGTGTACGGTCCCGATGCTTTTCTTGCTGGCTGAGTGCAAAATCTACTGGCACTTCATTCTGTGTTTAGGAGTTTTGGGCGGGATTGGCAATGCCTTTTCCACAACTATTGGCATCGCTGTCATAGGCAAGATCTTCCATCGTCGACGTGGCCTAGCAATGGGGATCGCACTAGCAGGTTCATCCACCGGAGGTATCATATTCCCTCTAGCTTTGCGACAGATCTTCCCAATGTGGGGATGGAGATGGTCCATGAGGGCTCTCGGCTTCGTCGTCCTGGGAATCATGTTACTGGGTATGGCTTGTCTCTCGCCGTTCTCTCGGTTGCTTTCCAAAGCTCAGGACGACACTCGGTCCATTGGGCTCAGCAAGAAGAGTACAGGGATGGACTTTTCAGCATTTCGTTCGCTGCCCTTCTCTCTTATCACAGGTGCTATATTCCTCCTGGAGTTTGTGATATTCGGCGCTACAGCTATATTGCCAACTCTTGTTGCGTGGGCCGGGTTTCCTGTGGAGTCTGGCTACAACATGGTTGCGATTCTCAACGGCCTTTCATCTCTCGGGCGCATTCTTCCCGGTCTGGTGGGCGACCATGTTGGGCACTTCAATATCTTGTTGGTTATGGTGTTGTTCACATTGATTTCCACAGCGGCAACACTCACCGTGTTTGGATCAAGTCGCATCGAGGCACTGTATGCTTTCTCCGCACTATGGGGGTTCGGAACAGGGTCGTTTTTGTCTCTAACGCCAGGTAAGTCGCATTGGGGCCCTTTGCCAGTGCAGTTTCATTACTTTTGGCTGATCTTTTCTTGCCTTGATACCCTGGACAGTGTGTATGGGTAAGACGTGTGATCCAAAAGACTACGGCAGATATTACGGCAAGTATCCCCGCCAATTGATCAGGTAATAGTCCGACTAACTGTGTTATTAGGAACAATGAACTTCGTCATCAGCTTCTCTCTTCTTCTTACCATGCCTATTAGCGGCCAGATGCTAGACTCTCTGGGGTCAACTGCTTTATCAGGTCTTTACTTGGTGGTTGTTTTCATTGGAGGACTTCTCGTATTCGCCGCGAGATCTACCTTGGTTGGCTCTTGGTTTAACCTTTTGAGCAAAATATGACGCAGTAGGTCCCTCTATCAACGCTGGCGTTTTACGGTGATGATCTATAACTAAATGTCATATTATCTGGTTGACTTTCTATAAATCGTCTCGTCTACATGTAACCTCTATTGATCATCCTGGGGAAACCTCGCGCCACCTTGTCTCCTAATCTCGTCCATTATCTCCATAACACGGACTGTCTCAGCCCACGGCATGATCTCGCTCTCCTTGCGCCCAGCCTTGATGTCCAAAGCCACTGCATCGGCTTCATAGTAAAAGCCCTTGCCAGGCCTCTCAAAATCGTACTTCTTTGCCTTCAACCCAGGTGTGGCTGATTCAGTCCATCCCTCACCAGACGCCTTTGACGAATAAACAGTGAAACAGCTGGGAACGGACGTAGCGATGCCTTCGATCAAAACGTATCCCTCGCTGCCTTCGATTCTACAGAATGCCGGAGGTGTTTTGACTTGAGTCGAGGCAGTCAGAATACCCTGCTTTCCGCTGGGATACAGAAGAAGGGCGGATGTTGCAATGTCGATATCGTCTGACAGAGTCTGAGTCGCAGCGATCTTCGGCTTCTCAGCCTTCTCTCCAACACCAGGATCCAGTCCGAGGATTGTGAACGTAAGGCTGTAGACGCCAATGTCGAGGAGGCTGCCGGCACCGAGAGCGGGGTTCTTCAAACGGGAGTCGGGGCCGAGAGAAGCGATGTTCATATTCATGGCAAAGTCGCAAAAGACACGGTGAATCTCGCCGATCTGCTTCTCATTGTGCAGAACGTTCAGAAGAGACCGCGTAAGGGGGAAGAAGCGAGTCCACATCGCCTCCATGACGAAAACGCCCTTCGCTTTAGCAGCGTCAAAGACCTCACGCGCCTCCTTGGCGGTGATCGTGAAGGCTTTCTCGCAGAGAACGTTCTTGCCGGCATTGATCGCGTCCAGGCAATTCTGCTTGTGGAAAGCGTGCGGGGTGCCGATGTACACAGCATCAACGTTCGGGTCGTTGTAAACTTCGGCATAGCTGCCATAGATAGTCGGGCTGTGGCCGGGCAGATGCTTCTCGACGAAAGCTTTGCCCTTTTCTAGTGACGATGATCCGACAGACTGGACAATGTGCTTGGCTTTGGCGTCGGAACGCTCAAGGACCAGGTCTTCGACAAACCACGAGGAAATGAGACCGGTGGCGATTATTCCCCATCGGAGGGTGGGAATTTCGGACGACATGTTGTGTTTTAGGTAGGCGTAGAGGCAATATCGAGGACGACAGACCGAGTTGAAGATGAGATGTGGATGGAGTAGCCGTATTTATGTAGCTTAAAGCTGATAAATCAAGGTGAATAGCGTGCGGAGTAGCGGTCCGCCATCATGAGGAACGGAGTGGTCCGCCTGAGACCCGGAAACGAGTGGGCTAATATGTGTTTCCTCCGTCCTGTGAAGAGTAAAGCAGCATGAAGCCAGACCCCACTAGTTGTCACGATGTCGAGGTGGTGGGGGAGTGGGGATGTCAGCAACTCACAGGCTCCGATACTCCCCGTGAGACCTGAACAGCGACACTAGTGACGCCTCCAATGCTTCTGCAATTGCCGGAGAACAGCCGGCTCCTTCCCCACACACTGGCCCGCAAAGACCGGCCCGGAATCTCCACACTCCGCTAGCTCGGGGTTGTGCAGTCGCTGCTTTTGGCAACAGTTAGAATGGGCAGAGACCTATTGAGAATCTCTGCTGGTGGGACAAGAGAGTTGCAATTACTATTCGGCATCTGTAGACTCAACTCTCTTTCGGACCCGCAACTGATATCTTGCCTCTCTCTGGAAATTCTTCACAGATGCTAAAGCTACTTAGACTAAGGTAATTGGCCCATCCCTGCCGAGGGATACCTAGTGGAAGAGAAATGAAGAAATGTATCACGGGATTTGTGATTCGAAGTACGACGTTAAATTCATACGCGTTCGTGATTGGGCTATGAGAAGAAAGCCACTACAAGTTTTGTGGTTTCTTGCCGAAAGCAATCTTTTCTAAACACAACGGTGATTGGCCGCAGGGCAAAACTCTACCTTGAACTACAGGCAGCTATCTCGTTCACTACCATGGCCAACCGGCCCCTTTTCAAAGCCTTCTCCAAAGAGGATTATCGCAAATGTCTTCAACGGCCCCTAGAGTGCACCAGCAGCTTAGGCCTTATCGCCCCTGAGACCCACTCCAGCCGATGTCACTTTGCCAGCATTCAAGCAACCCAACATGGATTTCCATTTTGAATACGAGCTTGGCCTTCCATAATTGGGCCGTCTAAAGTGCAAACCCCAGACATGCGGGCACCTTCCTCAATAAGGAAGATAAACAAAGCCGCGGCAGGATGTGTGCCCTGGCAATTGGGAGACAAAACTCGATATTTAAGGATCTAACGATCGACTGCTCGTGCCCGTTTGATATCTACATTACACTCTGCGGGACTTACCATGCTCTGGCAGAAAGTTTTCGTTCTTTCAGCGTTGGCCATTGCCGACGCTCACCCCGGCACCCACGGCATCCGGCTTAACAAACGCGACTCCGGGCTAGAGGTGACCTTGGCACCATCTGCGTCTGGCACTCCCACCGAAGTCATCGCAACAATCAAAAATAACGGTGCTGATGATCTCAACTTGCTCAAAGTAGGAACTATTTTGGACGATAAGCTTCCAGTCCAGCGTGTAGTTGTTACAGACCAATCAGGTATGGCATTATCTTCACAAACACCAAAGTGGTTGTTGACGGATGAACAGGAGGCCTCGTTTCATTCAGGGGGATTGAGCCAAGCATACAATATGATGCACTTAGACCGAATCATTTCCAGTTTCTCTCAGCTGGAGAGTCTATCGCCGTTGCCATCGACGTCGCCAAGGTGCACTATTTTGAGAAGTCCGGGCGCTTTTCTGTCATCGCAGATGGCTTGATACCGGTTGGACTGGCTTCGTCAACATCCTTTGATCAGCCAGCAATCGCTTTTAAATCCAACGCCATCGATATCGACGTTGATGCAGTGGCCGCCAGTGGGCTTATGGTTGCCCCGGCCCTTGCAGAGCGTACAAACGTACAGGCGGGATGCAATGAAACAACTTCTGATGCCAGCCTCAAGGCCCTGGCGAACTGCCAGGTTCTAGCCCTGGCGGCCGCTGCCGATGCCGCGGATCCCTCATCAAAGAGGTTCGTAGAATACTTCGGGACCAACTCTTCTGAAACTCGCAACATCGTCGTCACCAGACTCAGAAATGTCGCGCAAGAATGTTCTACCACGAACTCCGGGGGCTCTCGCTATTTCTGCTACGACTACTACGGCGTCTGCGAAATAGACGGCCCACTCAACGCGTACACCGCTTGGGACGTCAATACCATGGTCATGTGCCCTCTCTTTTACGGCTTGCCTCCGCTGCCTCAGGGTTGCCATCGCCAGTGCCAGGCCACGACTACCATACACGAGACGACTCATTGCGAAGCTGTATATGAGCCTCACACCAATGATTACGCATACGCATACAACGCAAGTGTTGCACTGCCCCCCGAGCGTGCGCTACAAAACGCTGACAACTACTCCCTCTATGCCAATGGTAAGTTACTAGAGTGACAATCGCACGTTGAACGTGGATTTTCGCTGACACAGAATAGCTGTCTACATGAACTGTTAAGACGGAGTATTGAGCCGTAATTGGTTTTCTTTCTTAATCCATTTGTTGAACAGCGTAGAAATCTGAGGAGAATTTCAAAAGATGTCTGCCCCGTGACGCCGTGATTTATGTAATCTCAGTCTGAATGTTTGCAGAAATTGGATATTGAATCCAAACACAAGTCGCATTGTCATCAAGGCCATAGGGTGTTTTGATTTTGAAACTTTTCAATTTCACTACTTTTGATGACTTCTTAGTACTCTTGACTTCCATACGCATGCCTTGGGTATCTATTCATTCCTTGCAAAAAGTGTCATTCCCCATGACTCCCAAGTATTGAACAGCTTTTACTGTCTGACAGCGGAGTCGGGATGGTTGGCCACAGGGCAGCTGGTTGACTGCATATTTTGTTAGCCCTGTCATACACTGTTTTCCATTGAAGTAAATGATTACTTACGTAGTGATCTCCTTCGGCGCCACACTTGGAGCACTTTTGGCTAGCAGGGACTGAGGAAGACAATGCGTGTTGATTTCGTGGTTGATTGTGTTGGAAGTGACTTTCTGGGTTCTATAGTGTTGCGTTGTTTGAGTGTGCTTCTTGTTTCTGTGTTGATGGTGTGAGTAAAAGACCAAGGGGGCGTCGGAGGCACATCTGTTTTATATTATCATGTCCCAAAGATGCTGCTTGGTGACTGCTGGATCTCATTACATGCTTGTTTGAAGAAGACGCGCAGTGAATCAGTGGCGTGGGCTTTGCGACGTGATTTTCAGTAACGAGACCCAGAAAACAAGTACCGGATGAGAACGGAAATGACTATGTTATTTCTGTCCTGCCGCGATTCTAATATGTTAAAGCTGACAAGTGAATCTATTTCATGTCCAGAAGAAGCGACCACTGCGTCACTGCACTGGAGACAATGCACGAAGCTACCTGGCCTATTTGCCTCCCTGAATGCGAAAGTCGTTGAGATGAACTGTCGTGCTCGTTATTTGTCAACACATTCATACGGAACACAGGAGTTTCACGTACTCAGCCTGGCTCTATCAGACGTGAGATATGAACATATTGTAGGAGTACCTGTAGTGATACGACTCTAGACAATTGTGACCGTTCTTTTACTATCCTCTTTGAACCAAGAAGGAGTGATGAACTCCGCCAGACCAATGCGTCTATACTCATTATCCGCCTCTCCCGTAGGTACGAGAGCAAGGCCAAACACTTGGTATTGCTGAGTCGGGCGCCCTCGCTCATCCCGCTCCGTAGGAACGCAATATGGTGTGTCATCCTGCCATGAAGGCTCTCTCTCTAGCTGGCGAAGCGCAAGGACGTACACGGTTTGATTCGTTACAATGTCGTCAACGACATCGTACTGAATCACACCTATGCAATCCCTTTGTTCCTGATCTGAGTGCAGTTTCTTATCGCCGTTCCAGTTTCCAACCACGGCAGCCTCTTCCATAAGTTCATCAGAAGATAGATCAGGGGACGATGTATCAGATATTTCGTGAAAGGTTTTGTAACCTTCGGTCCAAAAGTCCGAGTCCAAGTAGCCGAGGAACAGATCTCGAAGGAAGTATTTTGTTTTGCAAGGTTGAATGAATCCCGTGAGAGTCAGGCGGTTCGCGACGGTATCTGAAAGCGATAAATGACGAACGTCGGCGTGGCGAGAGGAAGACGTGTCTATCTCAATGTTTTCTGGTATAAAACGGCTGTCGTCTAGCTCCGCCCCCGGATAGTCTATTCTATGTCTGACTTGCCCATCGAGACTCGCCCATGACCAGGATGGAGCCCTCCAGCATGAAGGTCGAGTGTGCTGTATGGCGCCATGAGGGCCGCTGGGAGCGAAACCGGCGGGAACAGGCCTGATTGAACGTCTTGGAATTTGGCGGCCTTTGTACTCTTCATCCATGTTCCATCGTCGGGTCTTCCATAGCAGCCCACTGACGATATGTCTCTCTTCCATAGCCCAGCAACATACTCATCGCCTGTCATATTTGCCAAAGTCTTGGCCAATCCGGCGAGGCCTGGAAGCTTGTCTGACTCCTTACTCAGGAGACGATTGGAGTAGTCCCAAATGATCTCATACCACAAGTTGTAGAAATAGCGTGGGCTGTCCTTTTCGAAGATCTGACGACCATCTTTGATTGATTGAACCATTGATGCGATAACGTGCCGCGATCTTCATGTTTGCAGTAACCTTGCCCGTCCATGGAACTTGCTCGGAACCGCGAGAGGTACGGCATTCCCACAAAAGCGAGTTAGAAGTGACGTGAATGACGCGTCGGGACAGTTGTCGCTCTTGTAACTTCCATCCGCGTCCGCTCAAAACTGTCTGATCGAGTGTCTCTTCCCAATCCCACGGCTCAGAGTCAAAACTTCTGACGTGATATTGGTTACTAGGCAGGTGACTTCTTCGTTCCCCAAGAAGACTCAAGCCAACCCAGTGCGGCCATATCGCATCTTCATCTTCTCTGACCTTAGAACGTTCTCGTACATCAAGAGAACTGTCGTTGCGTTGCTGACAGTGATTTTTGTAGTTTTCGAGAGCGTCGTTGGAAGTGGCAATAGTGCAATAAGAGGCACTATACACTTGTCCCATCTGAACCGTCTCTGACCCAGTCCTCTCTTGAGTCTTGCAAGATGCAGAGACTGTCGATCCAAAGGTAACGGATCCCCAACTCCCGCGTTAGAAAGGCTGCATGCCGAAAACTAGGCGGCAGACTGCTCAGGGAAAACCCTTCGACGCGACTGTCAACATTGTGCGCAGTCAACTGAGCCCCCTCATCCGTTAGGTGATCCCAGCGATGGCTGAGTGTCATGTATCGTCTGTCTGAGATATTCGCGCTGACTGTGTGCACCACACAGACAACGTCATCGTTTCCTTGCCTGTGCTGGAGGTCCACAAGCCGAGTTGGCAGGAAATCTGAGCCAGATGAACAGTGCGTCTGATGTTGATGGTCACACTCAGATATCCAGAATTTGGGCAAGTTAGGGCTTGGTAGGCTTCGGAAAAATCTGGCAAATCGCTCTGCTGTATTTTTCCCAATTAGATTCTCGTACATGCATCCAAAAAGTTCATGGCGAGAAAACTACTTATTCACTTACACCATTCATGAGGGGCAGCAGTGAACCGGAAATTCTGCATGTGCCTGTCGCCGAGTCTGATGTCTAGTGAGTAAGGGGTGGTACCACAGAAACCCATCTCAAGTCTCGGGTCACCATTTCCATGTTTCCAATAGTGCGGGTCCCCGTGGCTTGATTGAAGACACCGTGGATATATCAGTGCGCAGAGAGGACAACCATCTATGGCTGATTGTTTAAGGGCGTCAATGGATGGCTTGAACCAGTAACGCCACCCTGACGCGTCTAAAGTCTCAGGATCCAGAAAACTCCTTGAGTGGTATGCATGATTACGGATCGAGCAAGGGATACTAAGGCAATCTGAGCAACATTGCGCCTGCGGCTTGGGCGGTTGCAGTGAGGCATGGGCATTTGCGTCGAAATCGAGAGCCATCCTCGTCGCGAGAAGTAAATGCTGGCCGAGATATCAAAGCTCACAACGAAAACAATCGAATAGATATGAGAGTATGCTTAGTTGGAAGAGTTGTCTGGTGAGGTTAAATCGAGAATCAGCGACCTTGTGCGGGGTCAGGCAAAGGTAGCACGAAGGATCAAGTTCCTCGCCCGAGAAGGCCAATCGAGGTCACAAATCTTGTGGGGCCGAAGGAGCGAGGTTTAAATCCACCAAATATAAAAAAACAGTTTTTCGAACCATACATCCGCCATTATGACGAGAAGATTCAATGCCTCTGAGGTGTACTTCCGTCAGCTGGGTCTCAGATAATATGACTTGTGAACGTGATCGTGTAAAGAATTACACATACCTAGGAAAATTAGAAATGCTCTGCGATAGGGCGGCCATCTCCGACAAGATGGTTTCCTGGGGCCCTATCAGAAGCCAATGAAGTGTCTCGTCCCCGCCTGCAAAACGAAGGCTCAGTCTTATCGCCCCGTATCACCCCGCATTTCCAGAGTGTCTGTAAACAAAATTGTCGTCTCTTACAAGAGTTAACAAGAGCCCGGTTGCTTCCGTCCAGGGCGCTCAGATCTCTAGACAACATAACCACAACTGGAGGCATCATGAGCGAGACAACCATCGTGTCCGAACCGGAGACAACTCTTCTTCATTTTGCTTCCGGGAATGGCCCGGTAACGCGCCGTATTCTCCGAACACCGCTCCGTGATGCTCTTCCGACGGAGATTCCACTCATTGACATATCACCTTCTTTCAGCAATGACATTGCAAGCCGAAAACTAGTGGCTCAACAGATCCGCCAAGCTGCAACTTCCTCGGGCTTCTTTTACATCACCAACCATGGCATCGACTCGTCCGTCACTGACGCTGCCCACGAAGCCTGTCTCGACTACTTTCGCCAGGAAGAAGAGGCGAAGATGCGTTCCTGGGTTGGCAAGAGTCGCTACTTCAACGGCTACAAACCTCCTGGATCCCAGCGTATCAACAAGTCAGAAAGTGTCGATGTTCGCGAGACCTTTAGCTGGACCTACGATCCTCGTCATGATCCCGATATCAGAGACGTTGAGTCCATCCCGGACGATGCCAAGCATTTCCTCCGGATAGAGGATTTTCATTGGGAAGGAGCTTCCAACAAGCCGCAGTTCAAAAGCTCCATCATCCGTTACTGGCAGTCATGCCTGAAGCTTGCTCGCGTGCTAGTGCGAGCTTTCGCGTTGTCTCTGGACCTTCCGGAAGGCCATTTCGATGCTAAGTTTGCATACCCAGATGCTGCGTTGGCGCTCAACTATTATCCGCCGTTATCGAAGGCTTTGAACGGTGCTCCAGCCGACACTGATGCACAAGTATCGATCGGATCGCACACGGACTTCCAGCTTTTCACCATTCTTTGGCAAGATGCCGTCGGGGGACTGCAAGTTCTGAACCGCCAGGGGCAATGGATCAGGTAAGTCCATACCGCTTCGAAGAAGAGATGAGCTTGAAACTCATTTGTGATCTCTCATTAGGGCGGCGCCGATTCCGGGAACTTTTGTTGTCAATATCGCTGACTATCTGCAACGCATTACCAACGATCTTTACATCAGCACTGTTCATCGTGCTCAAAATCTTAGCGGCGAGGAGAGGATTAGCATGCCTTTTTTCTTCGGTTTTGGTCTGCATGAGAGTTGCGGTGTTTTGAATACTTGTGTTAAAGACGGGGAGAAGCCGAAGTACGACGAAATAGGTTGCGAGGCATGGGTGCAGCGAAGAGCTAGGGCAATGCATCAAGTAGAGTCCAATGGCGAAGGCGATGCATGAATTTCGAAGTATCTCAATTATCAATAGAGATCTTCTGTCTTGCCAATAATACAGACCTAGCCACCTAGAGCAGTCAGTGTTTAACCTTCAGTCACTCAATAAGCTCCAACAGTTGTAACGACTCAGAGCAGCGAGCACGCTAACCAAGATGGGGTAACGGTACCACAATATTCAATTGGAGAACCCCTGCCCTCGTTTTCGCTTTTCAGGGGCTCCTTCATTGTTCTTAACTCCGCTACTCCCCGCGCGCCTTGTCCCAAGTTCTTCAGCACGCCGCCTCCATCAAATCATTCGGGCAAGTCCCGTTATCACACGTCGTAGAAAGGTTTCTCAGATATCCTACGCCCTATCCAGCGCCCTTTATCTCCACAGGTTGCAATCCACGACTGCCTGATTCTGCAGTATCATAACCATGTCGGGCGCTGATGCGGGTTCTGAGACCCCTGAGGCGGGGAACAAGAGGCGCCGTACATCCGGCATGTACCAAAGAAGGCGTGCCGTGGCCGCTTGTGGGCCATGCCGAGTCCGCAAGACGAAGTGCGACAACGTGCGGCCCGCCTGTGGTTTTTGCCAACGGAACGGCGGCCTGTGTACCTATCCAGACACAACGAATGATTTCTCGACGTAAGAGTATTTCTCCATTATTGCTGGGCATGCCTAATCTAAATATTTCGTCGCAGATTTGATCCAGCCAGCTTGGCAATTCTGGATAGGATTAATCATGTAGTCAATCTCTTGGAGAGCCGCCCACCGGCACCGCTCCCGGCGGCTGAGCCCACATGCATCCCAGCTATCCCACACGGCAACCAGGTCTTGTCGCCGACTTCGATCAATGGACCCCAGGGGAGTTCCTGCGCTGTTGTAGATGAGATGCAGTGCCAGACAGACGATGGCCTACCAGAAGACGATGTTATGACCCGGTTTGATATTCCAGATCTTGCGGCGGCAAGTTGGAACTGTGAGACAATATTAAGATGGCCAATATTTAGGGACACTGTTCCTGAGATCAACTCTTTCATTCTCGAACTTGAAGATGACGATCCTGATTGCATGGGCGTAAGGAAATCGAATAACGCAGCCAGTCTTGGACGAGGGGTACAAGAAGATGACTTCACTGTGCTATCGAAAAAGTTCTTGGCATATGTGCACGTCAAGAACCCAGTTCTCGATGTCCCTGACTTCAGAGCACATGTCAAGGCCGCGATTGAGAATGGTCCACGGTGGGATGGCCCATCCTGTCTTGTAGTAAGTCGACGTTGCCTCTTTCGCGTCACTCATTCACTTGCTTATTCCTCTGTAGCTCATAGCCTGCGCTCTGGCATGCCTGGCCACCCATTTCGAACAGGACAGTTTTCTGAATAGCACACCTGAGTCTATCCGTTCGACAGCTTCAAACTCCACAGATCCAGATACCGCCCAAGCCTACTTCTTTGCGGCGAAGAAACGACTGGGTCTTCTGGAACCCTCCCTACTTCAAGTGCAGTGCCTGTTCTTCTGTGGAGTATTTGAGATGTATTCTTTACGCCCTCTCCCTGCCTGGTCGTACTTCAACCAGGCTTGCGTGCAGTTCAAGAATCTCCTGTGGAGGCGGACTCAACGACGAGCACCCGAAAATATGTCCCAGAAAGCACGACGCCTTGAGCAGCGGCTTTACTGGTCGTGCATGAAATCTGAGTGGTCAGTACTGAGGCCCTACCACGCACATGATGCAGACTAATGCGATCTTGCAGCGAGCTGAGATGCGAGATACCCCTGCCTTCGAGCGGCATTACTCGATTGAGCTACCCTGACTTGTTTCCTTCGCCTCCTTCAGAGGTTGCTACGCCAGCGCCACAGCCAAGTTCGCTGGACATTCTTGAAGACGAAATCCAACCAGAAGAGGAGAAAAGCTGGTTTTACTATCTCGCTGAAATTTCGTCTCGAAGGATGATCAACCGGGCGATATCGATCATGGGTTACCATGGTGAAGAAGCTTGGATTCGAAATATTGCGAAAGTCATTGAGAAATACGAAGATTTTGATCAGCAGATCAATGTTTGGTGAGTAGCTGGCCGCCCTGAGCTATGACCCTCGAGAAAATCTCTGCTACGAAGCTTGACCGCTGATGCTTCTTGTAGGTGCTGTCATATTCCGTCACAGATCAATTGGCAAAATCGTGAACATTCTAGCAATGAGCTAGTCCATTACATCCAAAACCGAGCGGAGAGCTGTCGCGAATGGATCCATCGCCCGTTCGTGTACTACGTAATCCACCAGCCACCCGAAGACCCATGGATTCCCCGCGTCTTGCCGTTAGCGGAGAAGGGTCTTGAGATCGCAGTCGAGCTGCTACTGGACGCTAATCCTCACCATCGCCATCACGGAACCTGGTTCATGGCCAGAGCGGCGATGACCCGTGCTCTTTTGGTCCTGGCGACGGTCAAGAGCGGTAGGTTCCGACTGCCGGACCGATGGAAACATGCGGTGGACTCGGCCACATGGGCTTTGCAGCGCTGGTATGGCGAAGCTCCGGATTTGCGTAAGGCGGCGTCTGTGCTGGAGGAACTCATGGGTCAGATCGTCAGGTCCGAGGTGTAGACAAGGTCTGTGTTCAGGAACGCTTTGCCTAGAAATGGTCCGACCCCTCGGTCTGTCAGACGCTGGAGATAGCTGTCTGTCAAATAGGAACTTCTCCAGCTTTGCCGGTGGCCTTGAAAGTTCCGGCGACCGAACGCATGTGTATTTCGAGAAACATGTGCATCAAGTGATGCGGACCATGGCGGGTTTAAGGACGAGGCGAATGAAGCGAATTCATAACCCCATTGATTATTCAACACGATCCAGAGGAGCAATCAGACGCTTAGACATAGCGACACCACCCAATGCATCGGAGGGATCAACAGCCGGCTCTCAATACCGTGGCTTCCCACGTTGAGATTTTGGATTCAATAGAGCAAACAGTGTTGCGAGATGTGTTTGGTTTGTTCTCAGTGTGACTGTTTTGTGGTAAAATTGAGTGACATAACAGCAAAGAATGTAAAGACTCTGAAGGCGGCTTTTGTCGGCTGGTTGCCAATTGGCATGCCGTCTTTATCCATGATTGGCGCAAAACAGACGCGCAATGATGGAAGGCTTTCCGTTCGACTGAGCTTTGCCACTATGCTTTGGTCTTATTTGAGACATTGCCACGAATGCCTTCATAGCCAAAAGCATTTGACAGTCCGATTCCTTGAAAAATTTAAATTCACTGCAAGAGTAATTTGACTATGACACGACCATCTGTTAGTTGAAGGTCTGGAATTATCCCCTTTTTGTATTGACATCACAGAGAGTAGCGTGACGTAATTGGCCGGTCGCCTTCTGGTGGGTTTGTCTTAGCTCAATGGGCGCATGCCACACGATTGACCCTCCATGTGATGGTTTGAGACCCTTTGGGAGCTTCAACCCACCATTAGCCGGCTGGTTCAAGGGACCACGTGTGGCTCATGCTTACTGGCTGGTGGCCCCCAACTTCTCTTCCTCTGATGTCCTCTTTTTCATCGGGTCCCCATTTCGATTCTCCGGTCGCGTTGCGCATCCGCGCGTCATTTAGACTTCATAGCTGGTCCGCTCCGAACAGCTGTCAGCTTAGTTCCGTTTCGTCTGCGTCTTGTCGGACGTCTGTTCTCGAGGGGCCGATCCTTCAGCTGGCCGTATGTTCGGTCTGAACCGGCAGAATGCAACCCAATATTGCATGTCCAGGTCCTTTGGTTTTGACGAATGACGATTGTGTTCAAGGTGAGGTGCAAGTTTATGTTGAAGCAACTACACCATGTCTCGATCTTGCAGCTTGCATTCCTGTTTGCTTTAATGTGCTGCAAGATGCAAATGCACCCGGCAGTTTCCTCGGTCGGAATTGGGCTTATGCAAAATCTTTGCGCAAGCTAAAATCGAATTATTTGATCAGAATGATTGCGCAAAGTTTGCGGAAGTCCAACGGCGAATGCGACGATTTCAGACGTTGCCCATGCTGTAGATATGATGTCCTCAATTTCGTACATCTCATATCTGGGAGGCCCATTTCTTAGATCTAAATTTGGTGGAAAGGGAAACACTCAGCTAGCAAAGACTTGGTAGGACAGGTGTTCCAGCTGGTCGCGTGGTCGGGCTTTTCTCAAAGCCTGGCATGATCCGGACAAAGCTGAGCCACACCACCTCCAAAAGTTGGGATGAAGCTATTGTCACCTTGACCTCACGGGGTCCTTGTCCCAGTCAGACACCTTCATCTGGACGTGCTCCTGCATTCACCTTGACCTCCCTCGGGTCATCTTTCTTTCAGAGAAACCTCCACCATTTTCTTCCAGTCGCCAATTTCTTTCCTCTTTCCTTCTTCTCTCTTCGTAGACGGCATCCTTTCCTCCTTAGCCCACAATTTTCAACGGCCACCAAGTCACCTCATCGATCTGTACTAGATTCGGCCGCAGTTGACGACTGAGCGAGACAGACCCCTCTTTAGGACTCTGGACACTCTGCTCTTGTCACGAAGAAGCCGGAACTCACCATGGGCCTGATTCTGCCTTCTCGCTCCTCATCATCTTCGTCGTCATGTTCGACTTGCAGCTCCAGTTGTAGTTCGAGCTGCAGCTGTTCAAGCTGCATTTCGACCTGCTCTTCAAGATCTGAGTGGGATAGGATTTGCGGTGTCAAAGGCTGCTCCCGGAAGCATGCCTACATACGTCGAGAGGGATCCATCAGGTTGTACTCCGAGTTTTGCGTGGAGCGTAAGTCATTAAAATATCCTCAATCTTTCAACCCATGCAGGTGGCTCAAAAGCTTCTCTAGATACATGCAAGTTCTGCGTCTTTGGCGAGTCTATGTGCACGCGATCAAAAGAGAAGCGACATCGCTTCTGCTCTCTACGTAAGTCCCCTTCCCTCCCGTCATAACCAAATATCTGATAATTCTTTTTTTCGCAGACCGGGAGTGCGGGTTCAAAGATTGCACACGTCGAGGGGATTGTCCGCTCGGCGTCGCTTTGCCGTGGTTCTGCTCGAGCCGTAAGTTTTGTCTGGTGCAAAGTCCGGGAGCATGACGCTGACTGGCAGCTCGAACAGACATTTGCCGCGTTGAGGGATGCTTCAAGGAAAGGCCCGGGGACTGTGGCTACTGCAAAGACCACCGTTGTTCGACTGGAAAATGCTTCGAAAGACGAATCCTGGACGCGGATTATTGCATCGACCACGTCGCAAGAGTTTGTCGTGAAGAGGGTTGCCGCGAGACAGTCCATTCGGATTTCCGCTGCATCAAGCACCAGAAATGCCCTTTCAAAGACTGCAAATTATGGCGACATCGGCATAAGGACGGCTTATGGGATCATTGCGAGAAGCGTAATGCATTTGTCTGTCCCTGTGTGGAATCTTAAGAGGCTAACGTGAAAATAGACTACCGAGAGCTACGATGCATTTACAAAGACTGCGATAAATTGTGTCTGCCTAACAGTCGCTACTGTGGTTATCACAAATGCACCTTCGAGGGCTGTCTAAATTTTCGCGACAACGAGAAAGATGTCGAAAGACTATTCTGCCGCGATCACGGCTGCGAGGTGACCCGGTGCTACGCCGTCGCAATTGTTGTCAAGAAGGGGGGCTTTGGCACCTATTGTCGCCGACATACCTGCAGAACTACCGATTGCCGCGAAGTTTGTATCAGTGGCGAGTACTGTGAAAAGCACTCTTGCAATTGGGATGGATGCGACAGAATTCGTATAGGAGGGGGGACATTTTGCGAGGAACACGAATGCAGAAGATCTGGCTGCAGCAATAAGGCCAGACTTCGTCTTGGCTATTGCGAAGAGCACTGCTGCAAGATCGACAAGTGCCTCAATTTCAACGATACAGGATCTGACAAATTGTGCTACGAGCATTCTCGGACGGAGCTGCATAAGAAGATCAAGCATCTGGAAGACAGGTTGCGCGGCCGGGGCTATGAGTCGCACCACTACGATGATCTGAAATGCCGCCATGACAAGCTTGCCAGAGACTACGACAGCTGTCTACTTCGGTTGAACGAGAGCAGAGAGGAAATTCGGATTCTCCGGAGCACTTGGATTTCGGAGGAAGACAACCGCATTTGGAGAAAGGATCTGGAGGACCGAAACGCACGGTTGCTGCTGGACCTGGAGCGCGAGCAGAGGAGGGTCGAGCACTGGGAGCGCAAAGCGGGCGAGGTGCTGCGCCGAGTCGACGAATTGGAGGAGCTCCTTGCAGAAGAAAGACTTCGATTTCCGCCAACGGATGGGTACGAGCGTCGCATTTCGGAACTTGTGCGCAAAGTTGAGATTCTCGAAGAGGAACTCCGCATCGAGCGCGAAAATCACACGCTGCACGAAGGGCGACGATACGAAGTCGAAAAACTGTTGCGCACAATTGCGGATCTTGAGCGAAAGCTTGCAGACGAGCACATTAGGTCGGCAAGGGTTGACGAGCTCTTCAAAAAGGTGGAGATACTCCAGGCCATGCTCGCTGGCGAGAGGGAGCAAAAGGACATCCTGTTGGAGGACATTGCCAAGCGTGATGAATACGACCGATGTTATCGTGAAAGATACGAACGTCGTAGATGGAGAAGGGGTAGTTTTGAGAGAAAACGACCGTTTCCTGAAAGGGTCGAGCGCGTCGTTGAACGAGAGCGGGTTTATGGCGTCGGTTGCTGAGTGACGTGAGGCTGGAATTCAGGTCCTCCTGCCTCGACAGCGTGTGCATGTATGGGAGGACACTCTGCATAATCAACTGGCGTTAGTTTGTTTGACGGGAAGAGAGGAAAAGATACCCAGTAGCGTACGAATGAGACAATGAAGTCCGTATTTCAGCTCCGAAACATGTGTTCTGATATTGAAAGCCAGACTTTGCTCCGACCTTTCCAGGCCCGCGGGTTCTTCATCACCATGGTCCACCAAGATACCTCGTTTGCATATCGTGACGAACAATAGGCGTCTAGTTGGCACCGTGATCCAAACGCCTTGATCATTTCACAAGGCAAGGTGAGCTCTGCTGATGTGTAGTAAGGGCTCAACTGTAATCATTGTTTTGGTTTTTAGTGTTCAAATAGCAATGCCATTGAGAGAGTAGCCGCTGCGATAAATTAATGGCTGACCACTCGTCATTCTCATACCTTGCAACTGCAACAAAACCTCTTTCGCCGCAGATGTGCAAGGAGAGCACTGGCTTTGGATCTTCAATTCGTTGAATAAAGAACAGGTAACTGAACTTTTTGATCGCAGGGACAACCGCATTGTCTCGAGGCCTTGGACTCATCTTGTTTGTTCGTGATACGAGACCTATGATCCCTTTGATCTTCTTGTCTTTCCTCTTTGTGGAAAGCTGAATTATTTCAAGAACAATTTTATTGTCAGTTCCGTGCCATTTGCCCCTCTTCATGCTATATAACGAAGAGCCAGCCCGTAGCAAATATGTCTCCTCATCAGTCACTCAAACACAACAGCATCCATTATCTACACGTCATCACTTAATACAACAATCTCTAACAGCCATTTTCTCAACCACATCACACCTCCAGATTGCCTTTCCAATCAATCAACATGTGTCACGGCACCAACAAATACACCATCTGCCCCTGTATCAACCGGGAGTGTCCGCAACGCCAGGGTTGCGAGCTCAGCAACATTGTTCTCCAATCCAATGAAATAGGTCACGTCACTAACGTGAAGCATCAGGCGCAATGGGAATACAAAGAACGTTGCGGAAGATGGTGGCTTGAGCAACCAGCCGAGATTTCCACTAACCCAAGAGTGTCCCCCGAAGGTCGCTGCCCTGACTTTGAAGAAACCCAGGTCAAGCGCATGGGATACATGTGCCACCAGTGCCTACAAGAAAAGCAAGTTCAATGTGGACATGCTCGTTACGATGATCCTCGCGTTGCAATTCCGTATGCACTGTATCCAGCTGAGAGGAGACCACAGCCGGGACATCGTCAGCCGGAGCCTCAAGTATCTGTCAACCTTCCAGATGCTGCCCCTCAACGGTTCCCTCAGCCAGAAAGCTATGATCGGCAAATCAGAAGAAAGTACCCTCTACGTACTTTCGGGGCTCCTTCTCTTTTCTCTATTCAACCCCAGAAAGAGTGGGCTAGGCTCTCCATTTTTGACTTTTCAGCTACTCGACTTGGGAGTGGACAGTCCTATGAAGATGAGAAGACCGAGTTCTACCATACACTTCCGATGGCGCTGTGCGAAGACATGGACATCGACCCAATGATCTACGAGATGACGGACTCGCACCCGTTCCCGCCGCCTAATGCCCGAGCCAACCGGGGTCGGCGTCGAGACTTCGTCAATGGTTCAACGAATTTCGGTGCCATTGGTGATGGTCGTCTTCTTCCTGGTAGCTCCCCGGCTACCAATGGTGGCCGAAACCCGTACGGTGCTATTGGTGATGCGTTTCCACACCCAGATAGTTCTGCTGACAACTCTTACAACTCTTCAAACAGCACTGGAAATTAGTCCCGACAATCGTCGTTTTGTCATCTCTTACTGATTCTGTGTTCAAGGCCAGGATTTCGATCGTCAGCGCACATGACGCAAGTCGAGATCAGTCATGAAAGGTACATTGAGGAAAAGAACGATGAGAAAATAAATAGGAAAGGGAATTGGGAAAACAATATTGGATAAAGCGAGGAGTTTGGCCATTTTTATAGGCATCTTAGGTGTTTGCGGTAATCTTATTTTGCCTTTGTTTCAATTCCATCGGCTGACAACGCGTGGCACCACTGCATGCATCTGAAAAATATGATTTGACGAGCTATAAAAGCATCGAACCGTCAAAGACAGTGTCGTGATCGCTGTCTAGCTCTTCCCAATATTCAGGCCCCGACAATAGGACTCTGAGGTCTTCTCTCCCGCGCGTCCGTGCCGCGCAAAGCTCGGTGTAGAAACAAGCCAGCTCATCTTTCGTAGTTTCCGATGATCTGATGATGCGCAACTTTGATAGAGATGCGGGCAGGGATTGTACCAAACCTGTGCCTCCAAAACCGAAACTTCGAACATCAGTGGTCAGTGACTCAAGGCTGGTGAGCGCCTCTAAGTGCACCTTCACTCTCGAACTTCCAGGCCTTCGATTCCATCTGAAAGATACTGTGAGACTCTTCAACGTCTTCGCGTGCTTCGATAGAGAAGTAATAACCCTAACCAGATCCTCTGGCTGGCCGCGCCAGATAGTACACTCCAGCCGACTCAACTTTTCCATGCTTGAAATAATGGTCTCTAGACGAGAGGGCGCGATTACGCATTGGAAAATGCACAGGCTTGTGAGATTGGCAGGCAGAGTCTGGCTCGGATAGTTGAAATCGCACATGAAGAGGCGGAGTTTGGACAGATTTGGTGCCCGCTCCAGCACATGATCGAGCTCGCCTGCTCTCAACCCTGCCTGTAAGACGTAGAGATAGTCGAGGCTTGGGAAGCTAATATGTGTCGTATTGCCAAGTTCGGGAAGAAGGCTCTCGAACGCTGGGCGGTAGATTCCCCTGCGCTGGCAAAATTCCAGCTCAATACTCTGGATGCGGTGCGCCTGGAACATTGCGAGCTCGATGAGAATGTCTGTGTTCCAGGTATACTCGTGCCAAGTCTCGCGCAAGTAGACTTTGAGCTGCTCCGCTATCTCAGAGACAAATGAGACATCTTTCTCGTCAATGACTTGAGGAGGTGTTCCTCCAGCAGCCCACTTCGTCTCTGCCGTAAATCGTCTTGTGTATCCAGCACAGTGAGGCCGAGATTTCCAGCATCTCAGAAGCGACAGAAGTGGCTTCGCGGTTGCGTCGGGAATGTATACGAACTCATAGAGCAGTGGCTCAACGAGATCGCGAAGTGTGCGCGACGTGCGACAGACTTTAGCCATTGTCGATAAACTCTGATTGACGCGCTCGGTGTTGAAGGATGGCTTGGCATCTTCGAAGCGAAATCGGTAAGGTCCCGGATTGGGTTCCGTTAGCCCGGAAAGGATCTTGTAGACCAGCTCTGTGGGCAGGTCGAGTAACGTTGTCATTTTGGTGGTTCATCCAATTGAGCTGTGTTAGGTTTGACGATACAGCGTGGAACGCGGATGCGTCTCCAATTCAACTGAAGTACCAAAGATCGATTTTGAGATTCAGGGGTGCCGAGCAGGCTGAGCATCGTTTAAAAGGATGGGCAACCCCTGCATGGTGTTGGTCGTCGAGGTTCTTGGGTGTGCTTAGCGAGTCGTTGCCTAAGTAGGATCACCCGGCCGCTTGCAAGTGGAGAGATATGTCAGGAGATTGCGTTGCCGGCTTCCAACGGATGTGGATAATTGGCTAACAATGCATGCTTGGCAGCGCAGGGTTGAGGCGCGTTGCGACAGGGCTTCAGCCAGCCTGATTCTGATTCTATCTGTAGAGTAAATTGGAAAGAGGAATCAAGTCTTCCGGCTAATTGATTGATTGAGCTACGGAGGGCCGTTGTCATCTCAACCTTAAGATTCAACACCGATCTTAGCAAACGGTTAGTCGTTCATAGGCACTCTGAGCAGCTACCGTAGCTGCCTACGCCGTCAGGATTGACAGGTTCCAATAGAGGTTTAGCTTCATGATCAGCGGACGGGGGTGGCGGATGCAGTCCGCTATGCCTTGGGGTTTGAATATTGAACATGAGGTAAGCTCAAACGGCAAATAGTTCTTCGTCTTGTTCTTAAAACTCCCACCCGTGTTTTGACACTAGGTTCCCGTGGTCAAGAGCCGAAGAGGGGAAGACGTTGACAAGCTTCGGATCTGCTATGCGACCTAATTAAGCAAACTGAAAACGCCACCATCGGAGTAAAGTACATTCCGCATCAGAAACTGTTCGTTTCGATAACTGAAGAACTCTGTAAAATCAGTGAATGAATTTGACTTTATCAACTAGCGCCATGTTCGTCCCATGGCCATCGGCATTAATATGCTTGTACTTTAAGATGTCCAGTACGGGAAGATAGAAGCTTAGTCATCACGCAGTTGACCCCAGTGTCCCGAAATTCCCCGCGCTCCGACCGAACATTAATCGCATGTCAAACTCCGTCAACCCCAGATTCACCACGCGATCTGTGGATCATGTCAACTCCCGTGGGCGCCGAGGACGAGCACGTTGCATCCGATGGCCACGCGCTGCCGCAAGCCCCGCGCAAGTCGCGGAAAGCGGGGATCGGTGCCCTCCTGGCCTTGGTGCTGCTGGTGAATCTGGCCGCGAGTCTCTATCAGCTGCCCCTGAACAGAGTTGTCGAGCGTCGACTTTGCCGCGAGCACTACCTGGCTGCGGATCCCTCGGTGATCGATCGGGACGGCAGTGTGGACGAAACTTTGTGCAAGATCGACAGCGTCCAGCAACGGCTGGCATGGATTCAAGGAACCATGGAAACGGCATGGATCGTGGGAGGTAAGGACTAGATTCTCACACGTCAGGGAAAACCAAGGTTGACAATATTACTAGACTTTGTCATGACCATCCCGCTAGGATTTCTTGCTGAGCGGTACGGCCGGCGCACTATCCTGTCCCTTAACCTCGTACCTCGGATCTTCATGTTGGCCTGGGCCGTTCTCGTCGGTTATTTCGAACAGGCGCTCCCGACTAAGGCCATTGTTGCCTCTCCGTTTCTCTCCGTGTTGGGGGGCGACTGTGTGTTTAACTCGATTACTTACGCCATCGCGTCTAGCATGACCGATGATCATGTTGAGAGGTGAGCATGTCGTCCATTCCCGCGACGTATTTGTAAAGCTAATCGGATCTCGAAGGGCGACATATTTTGGCTGGATGAGTTCCGTCTCCTATGTTGTAGCGCTTCTTGGCCCCGCTCTTGCATCGGCCACCATGAGCCTGCTACTATGGCTGCCTTTCTGGATTGGGATATGCCTCCTCCTCCTGGCGATTCCGGCCATCTCTCTTGTCGAAGACACGTCTGCCGCCCCTTCCCACTCATCCCGGGCACGCCACGGAGATGAGCAGTCGCATCCACTTCTCTCTTCCCCAGTATTGAAAGCCCAGGACGCCAATCCCTCACTAGTGAGGTCTGTCATCCAACATTTTGGCGTCTTAGGCTCCATCGTTGCGAGCCATCCGCGAAATATGACGCTTCTGCTCATCAGTTACGTCTTGACTTCTCTTGCAAGCTCTGACACGAAGCTCCTGGTTCAGTACATTTCAAAGCGGTACCACTGGACATTCGCCTCTACTGGCTATCTGCTTTCGGCAAAGGCCGTAGTAAACTTCACCCTTCTGACTATCATCATTCCAGCACTGCTTCGCTCGCGTCGGAACGCCTCCCGGCACCTTTCCCCTGAGCTGGCGAGTCACCGGATGAACATGTACTATGCCAACGTCTGCCTCATCGTGTCTGTTCTCGGCGCTTTGGCGATTTCTATGGCTACAAGCACTTGGATGCTTGTCCCGTCTCTATTCTTGTATGCCCTGGGCTCCGCGTTGCCGGTCTTCACTCTTTCGTTGTTGAAGTCGCCGTTCATTGCCCCTAAGCGGAACGAGCAGCAGCTGGACACTGCTGGCCCGGACTCTCACATCTTTTCCATCGTAATGATGGTTAAGACGTCAGGATCATTGCTTGGGGCGCCGCTTATGATGGTTCTTTGGGTGAAGGCGATTGCTTTGGGTGGTGCGGCATTGGGAATACCCTATTTCGTATCCGCGAGTTGTTACTTGGCTGCGATCTTTGTACTGGCAAACATACGAACATGGTAGAGAACTGAGATCTATTATCTAGTTATTAAACTACCGAGTGCTCCCAATTAATGTCTTAGTATCGGAATGGAATCTTTCCTGGGAAGATATAGACCGGTTTAATGACAACGCCATCAGTTTTGAACACACTCCAATCCAAGCGCACCGATATACGCCCATCGGGTGTCACGGCTGACGTGGACCGGTCAAACGTCGAAGGGAAATGTCTCTCATGCTCTTTAAAGTAACAAAACCAGTCAGGCTCGTCCAGAATGCCAGGAAAATATCTATGTCCGCTTCGTCTGTGGATTCCCACAACAAGGCTGGCTAGATGTGAACCACTAGCTTGGATGAAGTAAAATTCTGTAGCACTCGTAGAGGATGTATCAGAGGATGCCACAGGGAACAAATTCCTAGAGAGTGGCTCGAGCCGCAGCTGCGATGTACCTCCAATCGGGAAAGCTCCAAACAAGTCACAGCCAACAGTATCGTCAAAAATAAGTAAAATTGCCGATGCGCTGGCGCTTGACCGAGAGATCCCTAGCTCCCAGCCTCGAAGAGCTGCGTCTAATTCTATACTGGGGTTGGGTAATGGGCGAATGCAAATTTCCTTGAGCGTGGAGGCCGAAGTAGACAACGCGGCTAGTCCGTTGAGGACAATTAGATCCGGCGGGATGGGGAATCGTTGCGCCATTGTTGCGGCATCATCCACGAAGCTTTTGGTCGGCTCTCCAAGAGGAAGCATCGTCTTTAAAATGATACAGACTCGACTTTGTAGAACGTGTTTGTTGTGGTGAGCGGCGAGAATGGCCAGCTCTATCCCCCCACCCAACCTCAGCGTGGGAAATCTAATGCGCAGGCCTGCGTTCGTCATGACGTAGGATGTTGTCTTTGACCATGGCGACCAATGAAAGGTTGATGCCGACGTATCAAGACGTCCATCCTTGAAGAGTGATGGCTCAGGCGCAAGCAAGCTGCCCCAGTTCATGGGGACGACGTTCTTGTCCCAAGGCCAACAGAATATTGTTTGGTCATTCGATCCCTTGATGATCTCTCCTTGCAAGCGAGCAAAAGCCTTCATACCCTCACCATACAGAAGCGGCATGTTCAAGTCGAAAAGACCTAGCATACAGTACGCCAAATCTTCGATCCTCGTTGTTGTTCTTGTGGATAGCCAGGACATCTTTTCCGATATACTGGGCTTTTCTATCACCACTGATCTGGAAGCAGGATCTCCAACGGAGATGTCTGCAAGATAATCTTCGGCTATGTTTGTCGCAGTTGAGATACGTCGTGACAGCCAACTACGGGTGCCTAGTGACTTCCAGTTGCAGTCGAAGAATATAAGTCGCGTCGGGCCCAAGAGCTCTTGAAGAGTCCAGCCACGAGTGAACCAGCGACTGTGAACGAACCCCGTTTCGTCGTCAATCTCTAATCCTGTTCTCTCGTCTGACATGGCAGAAGAGGTGTAATAGAATGGTGGACCGAACTGAACGTCGTCTAGGAATGCGAAACAAACTTGGGCGTCTCGATACCAGGCGAACATGGAGTTGATTGCCTCAGACAGCTCTGCGGAACTCTCCTTGTTGATGCAATTCGTGTCAACCCACAGGTACCTCAGACCCTCTTTCTGTGTCTGATGGCAGGCGTTGAGGATTTTGGCGTAACCCGACTTTGACTGGACTACAGCAGAATCCCGCATTGCCCATTCCCTGAAGGTGACTTCATCCGTGCCGTGCCATGTATGAGAGAGTATGGCATACTGAGGGATTTTGCCAAAGAACTCTTTAGTCTGCAGCGTCTCGACGTCAATCAGCCACATGATCGCGAATGCTGGGCGCTGTGTTCACATCGTTCCGAGGGGGTGTTTTGAGAGATTTGCACTTTGGGCTGGCCTACGGGTGTGCGACCCGGCATTTGGTCATATGACTGCCATTTTATTCAGTGTCGCGCAACTCATGATTGGATCGCTTTACGATGAGCTGCATTGCATGCACACTTAGCTAGCAGGGCAACAGCGCCTATCGACCGGTCGAAATATCTTGCAGAGTATCGCCAAAGACGTCTTCTTTTGAGACGCATTTCCATTCTACCTACAGAAACAGCAATGCACTTGCTGCGTGTATGATCTGATTGAGATGGCTGGTTGCTTGGCAGACAAGGCCTCCGACGCTCTCAGGAGTGCAACAGTTTCAGCGGGTTCAGGGGCTTCACCAACTTGGAACGCAGTACTGAAGAGAGACGGTCGCATTCTTATCGACACTGAGACGCTTATCGATAAGCCGAGAGCGGCAGAAAGTGCAGCCAATCAGACCGTTCTCAGACTCGATGACTGGCTCACCGCTTGCGGCGACACCGAGAGGATGCTGACATAATGCCGTTATCAGCCATCTGTCCAAGACTTTATCAGCAACATCTCGTTATCAGACTGCGAACCTCATCTTTTGGATCCACTTCTCCCACTCTTCAACTCATCGTGGGACCAGGATGTCGCGCGATTCCACGACGGGCGCAAATGCCGACCCGCAGGCCGGATCGCAAGCTCAAGCTCAGCAAGCTCAACGAGCGCAGTCGTCGCATTCACGAGCGCAATCCCGCATCCTGTCCGTCACGACTTCCGTCCCCAGGCAGCTTGCCCTGCTCCCCGATGAGTTGCTCCTTCACATCTTCGAGGCCGTCGGCCGCACCTCGCGCAGCGACCTTTGCGCCGTGAGCCGTGTCAATAGGGCCTGGCACGAGCTCGCCGACGCCATCCTCTATCGCCAAGTGCGCTTCGACGACCCAGAGCAGCACCTCGTCTTCTCAGAATCCCTCAGCCGTCGCATGCGTCGCGGTTCTGCCATCCAGGACGTCAGCCTCGAGTATCCCGCCCACGAACTCTCGCACCTGAGACTCGATGGGCCGATTCATGGCTCACACCACCCGCCGACCCGCTTTGAGGCCCTCAGTCGAACCATCAGCACCATGAGCAACCTCGCGACCCTCGAGGTGTCCGTCCCCGTCACTCTACTTCACGGAATCGGTGCTCTCTTCAATGGCCCCTTCGACCTGGCATGCTTAAAGCACTGCACGCTATTTTACCAGTGTCCCGACGATGCGTACTGGGATCTCCGCGAGAATGTCCACATCTTTGCGCACCCAACACTGGAGACGCTAGTCATCAGGCGAGCGAAGCTGGATTACCGCGGCTTCGACCTGATTGAGCGACCCCACGAAACAGCGCTGCACAAGCTGCATCTCATCGAGTGCGACATCAACGATGATGCGTTGTCGGATATTCTCGAATTTCCCGAGGGTTTGAAGGAGTTCGTCATGACGCAGTTGGAGCAGCCAAGCCCGGAATTGGAAGAGAGTTCAGACAATTTTAGCGACTACATCCTAGCACTCAACTCCCAGGGTCACTCACTCGAGACAATCACCATCGACCACCCAACGCTCGGTGGCAGGAAACCCGTTAGGATGAGAGACTTCGAGAAAGTCAAGTCGTTGAGGCTGAACTGGGATTATCAGCTTTTTGGCAAGTCTTCAAAGAAACCACGCATGCACTCCGTTGGTCTCCCGCCGAATCTGGAAGTCTTGGAATTTTTCAACGAGCTTGGAACGGACAAGGAAGTCACTGAATTGCTCGAATACACGTTGCAGGTCGCGAGTGTCACTCACAGCATGCTCAAGACTGTTGTTGCCGTTCAGGGTGATAATGGCAGTGTGCCAAAGGAGATTGTTGCCGCGTGCAAAACCGGAGGCGTAAAGTTGGATATAATAGGTGCTTTTGATATAGACGAAGACGACTAGAACCAGAACACTGGGATGAGAATGGACATGAGCGTAGAGCATGATAGAGGAAAAGAGCAACAGCTGCGGGAAGTAGAGAGTAGGAGGAAGACATAGAGTCGTAGACTCATAGAATTGCGCGTCGCTCTCTTTAGATTTCCTTAGACGATAGATATGACAGTCATGAAAAGAGAACTTGTATAAGATAGATGAAGACTACTTAGGGTGACTTCAGCAGCGCCATACTCAAATGCTGCTTCGCCAATGCTATACCTCCATGATCATGAAGCGCCACCGCGCGTCTGCTAACCATTTCTATTGCTTTCGCAACTGCACTCAAACTGCTGCAAGACTAGAGTGGCCGGCAGCTATGCAGTCAGCGCAGTAAGTGCCGTAAACGGGCACGAGAGAGGTACAATTGGTGCATATGTGGCATATGCACTTGTAGGCGCCGTGGCTGCGCGAGGGGCTGGGCTTGGTCTTCTTGGGTTGTTCCATTGCAGGTAGATATTGAGATGTAGACCTTAGTCAAATTTTGTCCGGGTGTTTGAATGCTCACAACGGCCAAGGTGTTTACTGGAGGGTGCAGGTATTGAGCAGGCAGCAAAAGCTTTGTGAGGGGACATGGAGCATTTTTAAGCACGAATCTTGAGTTGGCTTCTTACTTCTTCACTATGCGACTAATAAGTCTGTGATTAGGAGCTCTGAGCAATGGAATCGAAACAATGACTTGAGAGCACCTTCTATCAACAGTGAGTAACTGTCCACAAACTACAATCAGTGAGAGTTTTGCTATTCGGGCAGATGTTTCTAGCTGTCCGGGCGGATGATGACTACCTTATGCCTAACAACGCCGACACCATCGAGGTAACTACAACAGCAGATGCAGATCACAACAGAAGCGACGATGCTATTAGCAACGCGACAGTAGCGATAACAATGGAGACGATAAGAGTATTGACTCCCCTCCTTTCCTTTGGAAAGAATAGAGATAAGTTATATCTAATATACGTATAGGTAGTTATAAGCTGAACATGTTTGCCCTAATAGCAACACTCATCAATAATTCAGTTGCATCAATTAGAAAAGTCAAACATTCCCAATCATGAACGCCAGATATCCCATGTCTACATTGAACCATCTACATTACGTCTAGTTGTTATAACAAGTAAGCAGCGAGTGCCAGCGACCAGGGCATGATGTTCATGACCCCCGTTGGAGCAGCCGCATTGGTGCTGCTCGGAGTGCTTGAGGTGGCGGAAACCAACATCTCAGAGGGGATTGTTGTCGTCGGCGTGGGCGTCTTCGATGTCTTGGCCGATGAAGTCGTCGAAGTCGAGGTCGTGATGTCTTCCGGGTCGCCTTGTCTGACGATGCTCAGGTTGTAGTTCTTGGCCTCAAAGTGAACCTCCTCTCCGGCATGCTTGATCTCTGATCCGAACTCTAGCTGGCCCAGGTAGAGAGCTCCGGAAAGCAGACCCTTCTTCCAGATGTACTTCAACAGCGGGCTGAAGTCGGCGTCCGTCTTGGTCAGGTTGGTGCGCGATAGCCAAGAGAAGACATGCTGTCCGCCGTCGTTCCAGCCGTGGTACAGAGAGAACTTGGTGCCGTCGATGGTGACGGTATCCGTGTCGGGCGTGGACTCGGCCCAGCCCAGAGGCTTGACCGTCGGCACCCACCACGGCCAAATCATAATCTCAAAGGGCGCGTTGAGGCCGGTGGAGTTGGTGATGTTGTCAGACAGGAACATGTCTACGGCGACGTTGGCGTAGAGGCTGATGTCGTCGAATGCCTTGGCTTGCTCGTCGGCGCTGGCGCTCTCCTTGCCCTTCACATACGTCTGCCATTCCGCGGCGAACTGAAGTCGCGAGACGTTCCACAGCTGTACGGGTAGTCTCGAAGGGTGCGCCTTCATGTATGGGAATCCTTTGACAAGAGAAGCGTCACCTGTCCACTTGTAGGTGACATCGAAGCTGCGACCGCCATCATGCACGGCCATGCACTGGTAGCCGGAGCTATCGTTGCCCCAAGCATTGTTGTTGACTAGACGCCCATGTCAACAAGCCTCACTCACGATGGTATAGGAGAGTGTTAACCTACAAGAGTATGGGACCTCAGTCGAGTTCCAGTGGTCAGACTGTCCGCAGAGGTTGATGTCGCCTTCAGCTGCAGCCACCGGTCCCAAATGAAAAACGGCCAAAATGGCAAAGAGAAGATGCGGCAATGCGAACGCCATTGTCGCGCGTGTAACGAGTGAACGCGGCGGCGTCTAGAGCACAAAAGTAACGAATGACGAATTCAGAAAACCATTAAGAAATTATAGAACAGACCCAGGCAAGCATCGATACCCCGACCAACAGCGACGGGAGTGTGCCACGAAGGTTCAGTGAGTGAGCGTGGATGTGCAGAACACGGAAAGTGAAAAAAAAAGACCCGGGAAATGAAATGAGAAAACATCGAAAAACACCACCACAACACACGAGTGCCGCCCGCTGCTGGCTGCCACGCTGCCGCCTAGCTACGAACCTGGTCCCTGGGGCCACCGCTGGGAAACACTTGGCCCAGGGCCAAGTTCCAACAAACTGGAGGCCCAGGCGCTGGGCAAACATCAGCCGCAAATGAGCAAATGAATCTTCGACAGTCCCACAGAAAAAGGAATAGGGGGCAGTGTTTATGCTAACCGATCTGGGAAACGAACAGGGGGGTTTCCAGGAGGACGAGCCACCAAGTGGATTCTCGCACGCAAATCTGAGTGAGAAACAACCTGGCGTGCCTGGGCACTTTGGGGCGAGATTGGAGGATTGACGCCACTGACGGCTGGTTTATTTTGGGATTCGTATTCACTAGCCACAATGGCACTCCTTGCTGCTGATGATCTTGAATGTTTAAGCCTCAACATCTCGGCCCCGGACCGCCGATGATCCGGGTACTTTCATGCCATCTCATCTGCCTGAAGCTTCTCATCAATGTCATCTACTCAAGAGACGGGCGGCAGGCCGCGTTGGGGTTTCTTCGACGAGAGCACGACATGCTGCGACACGCGTCACATGCGTCGCATGAGGCGTCAGAGTGATTGGAGATCTGTGACTGCGTACATCGCGGCCATGGCACGCGGCAGACTGGTCTAGCCCCCAGAGGCAAGCCGAGACTCTCTGGGTGCAGTAACCGAATCGAGATAACCGTTTAGGCAGAGCGGCGCGTGGTGCATCACGACGATGGCCGCCCTGCTATTGAGAGCCAACCGATACGTGTGAAACAAGAGGCACCCAATGGAAGCAAAACACGCTCATGACGTACTTGAGGCTGCACTGCTGATGCGAGTAAGAACAGGCTGTCAAGCGGGGTAAAGTACTCTACATCTGCCGGCGTCCAGAGTCTCTGAGCTCGTCCTCTGTAGCAGCGAGAGACTCGATGGCGTTGTTTAAATGCTAAAATATGTTCGCACTCTTGCTTACAGAGACAATTTTGGGAATCCTACTAAGTGAAAACATCATGACGAACAACGAAGGTGAAGAGATACCAACCGTTAGGGTCCCTTGGAGGGGACGGGAGGAGCTCATGGAAGAAACCATGTCCCTCGACATTGAACATGAAGCATTGCCTGCTCCCAGCTCGGAAGCTCAAACCGAAGATGAGGTCAGTGACGCAGACGAAGATGCTGAAGAGGATGTTGAGGTTACCCCTGTGAGTTGTGCTACTCCCTACTGTTCACCTCAGAGAACCATTTGAAAATAGGTAAAAGTGCTGACCTTGAGAAAAGCAACCGCCCACAATTGAACTTCCACAGTGGCTCCTCGATAACTGCGTAACAACGACTGAGGAATGGAACGACCATCCAGAGTGCCTGCGTCTTCTGGACGACATACCCTCAAACAAGGGTGACAACTGCAGAGATGAGCTGGAAACATCTTCCAACCCCGAGCCAGCCGCAGAAGTTTATGAAATGGGCTCGACCCTGTTCAATCCCCTCCTCGGACTTGTTCGCAGAGATGCCCCATTGGAGGAAGACTTTCTCCCCGGATCTTGCGCCAGCAATGGCGTCAGGTTCACCAAAAACATCATCAGACTCCACACCTTCATGTCTGCAGCGTCTGAATCGACGGCCAACTTCACGAGAAACGTTGTCAAGCACTTCGCCAGGACAATCGACAGCGATCTCATCACCCTCACACGGGATGACCTTGAGGATCTAGGCGATCACTATGCACCCCCAGATGCATCAGACGCATCGAGCATTAGCAGCGACAGTTCTAGTGACTCCGACGACGACGAGGCCATGGGCAACTACCTGGACATCTTATTGAACCGAGAGCCCTGGCAGCCGCCGCCACCGCCCTTGCCCCTTCCCTATGGCCCACGCCCACCGCCTGGTGTCGTTAACGTATCTGAAGAAGGCGTTGCTCCGCATGACTGTTACGACTCGGAGGATGAAGAGCCAAAGAAACAGGTGAGCGCGGGAGCTCTATTTGAACTGACCAACGACTGATGACACTACTCCACAGAAGTTCATCCCCTTTTGTGCTGTACTCAATGCACCACGCATCAAGAAGGCAAGCGACTCTCGCCCGGTACCCCTGATTGTTCACCTCTTCATCAGTGAGAGCGACCTCACGGCATCCTTGTTCCGAGACCTGCAAACTGCGATCCGCGATTACCCAGTCCGTCAGGGTATTCTTCTCGTCGTCACGACCGAGAGCCCTCCGCACAGCACGACCTATATATCGGGACAGCATCGTGGCCCCCCTGGACGGCTGCCTCTTCCGTTCGCTGCACCAACGGAAGTTCTCCCAGTCCGGTCTGCGGCCCAGGAGGCTCTGCTGAAAGCAGACGGCAAGCGTGAGCTACTATCTCGCAACATCAGAGACATCAAGAGATACATCCGCCGAGAGGAGAATCCCGGCTACAGCAGTTCTCTTCTTGCGCCATATGCCGACTGGTCATTCATAGATGGTTCGGCCATGGCTGAGCGGATGAGCCAGGTTTCTCTCACAGAGATGAGGCTCGAGTCCATTTCTCGTGCCATCGGCCAGCCCATCGAGGACGATAAGATAAGAAAGGCTGTTCTGGACTATGATGTCTTGTCCAAGACTCTCAAAGCTTGGAACGACTTCGGTGCTCCTTTGCCACCCCGAGCTCCTATGCCTATGCCCAAGCCTCCTCGTGGGATGCGGCCACCTGGGCGTGCAGGCGCTCCTCCTCCTCCCCCGCCTTTCCCTGCCCCTCCCAGAGCCTTGGATCCTCGGAACGTGATCGAGCCTCTCCAGGACTTGGATGACGAGTGGGCCAAATTCCCTCCAGCCGTCCAGAAGGTCATGCGCCAGATCACATACTTGCAGGGACCGCCGTTCCTTTACTCCAAGTACTCGTGGGAGCGGAAGTTTTCCCATTGTCTCATTTCCCCGAAGGATGTCGAGGTGGGCTGGGAGGACATCGCTCTCGAGCCCGCAGTTGAAGGCGCCATCCGGGGCATTATACGACAGCACGGCGAGGCCGCGGACTCCGGGAAATCGTATGGGCCTCTTCATCGCTCTCACGTCGGCGGTACGCTCTTGTACGGCCCGGCCGGGACCGGAAAGACGCACCTCGCGCGTGTATTGGCTCGCGAATCTGGATCCACAGTCATCAATGTCTCTCTTGCGGACATTTCGGACATTGACTCTGAACCGAGACTACTCATTCGCGGCCTATTCAGCCTGGGCACACTGCTTGCCCCCAGCATTCTTTTCTTCGACGAAGCAGACTTATGCCTGGGAGCCCGAGAGAAGGCCGTGAACCATTCGGCCAAGGTCCAAATCAGCCAGATCCTGACCGAAATGAACGGACTGGGCACAGTGAAGAACTTGCCGTTGGTCTTGCTCGCGACCAATGCACCCGGTGACCTCGACCCGGCGGTGCTCCGTCGCATCCCCAATCGGATTCACATGGGTCTCCCGTCTGCCGAGATGAGAGCAGAGATCTTCGAAATCGCATTACGGGGTGAGATTCTGCACCCCGATCTCGACTACTGTCTTCTGGCTCTCATGACTTCTCGCTTCTCGGGTGCAGACATCCACCACTTGTGCGTCCAAGCAACCATCGCGTGTGAAACCTTTGTGGAAGACGGCGTAGACAAGGGCAAGAGGATGTTGACCCAAGCCCTGTTCGAGAAGGTGTTGAAGAGAGTCAAGCCAAGCGTGAGCAAGGCATCACTGTCTGGCATTCGTAAGTTCGCCATGGAGTTTGATCCTGCAGCTGTCGAGACGATGGAGCCTTTGGAGACTGAAGAGTACATGGAGCAGGAGGATCTGTTTGTTGATGTGCCGGTTTTCAAATGAGCAGAGAGGACGCAATCTTAAGCTCTCTCATTCTTTCCTTTTTCTCTATCGCCCGGCCAGGCAAGACTGTCAACAGCTAGCAAGCTCACGATCCTTTCTCAAATCTCAATAACAGAACAGACCCCCAATGCTCCTGTGCTCAAGCAACTGCCGTGTCTTGTCGTCCGTCGATTTCGCACAGCAGCAAATCTTCCCAACATTCCATCAATGCTTCAATTTGATTCACCAAGCCTTCGCATCTGATCACCGTGACCCTTCTCGGTGAATGCCAAGACCAAGTTTCGTGGATGGCGCGGAGGGCGTGGGTTCCGCGGAGTGAGCTTCTCAGCTTGCCCGCACGTTAGCGTTCACCCATGCTTTCCAGAATGCTACTATCGCAAGATCATAATCCCGGCCGTCCAATGCGAAGGTTGCCATCAACCGAAGAGGGCACCGAAGTTCCGTCATCCGTTGCCCCACGAGGTACCCCTCTTCTTACATGGACCCCTGAATGTTTGTCACTGTGATTGCGTGATGACAGCCCTGGTGTTTGTCTAGTTGAGCTGCAGAATAGTAACTAGTAACATGGGCGGTGTACCGTTCAGATCCTGTCTTGTCTTCCACCTTTTAAGCCCAGCTACATCTAATTTATAGAGGTTTACGCTACACTATGAAAATTCTATTTATACTTTAATAAATACTTACTATATATTATAATACTATTTATAATAACTAAGAAAACTTTAATCTAAGTTTATAAAAATTTTATTAATAACTTTAATAGTTTATAAATAACTTATTATATAAAATTATATAAAAAGAAAAATATAAGTTTATCCTTCTTTTACTTATTAATTATCCTTAGTAAAATTAACTTCTTATATCTAAGCTTATATTAACTAAAATACTAATTATAAAAATAACTAATAACTAAATAAGAATAAAATATTACTCTATTTAAATAGTAAAAATATATATATATATAAACTTAAATAGTTTATTAATAATAGCTTCTTTAATATTATAACTAAAAATAATTATAAAAACTACTATAAATACTTTATCTATATCTTATAAATTACTATATATCTCTTATACTTATAAAATAATAAGCTAAGTATAAAATATATCTATTTATAGTTTTAGTAGATATATTAATAAATAAAAACTTTATAAAAACTTCAAAATAAAGAACTTAAAGAAGATATTAATAAATTAGAAGAAATTTTATAACATAAAAACTATATAAATAAAATAACTAAGTATAGTAATAGCTATAATCTTTCTTAACTACTAAAAATAAGATAAGAGAAATAAAGAGGGAAAGGGGGTAGCTATAAGGGTAGCCTATATACTAGTAGAGTTTCTAAAAAGTATACTTTAATACACTATATCACTTCATAGTGAATTCAGATCCTGTCTTGTATCTGCATATCCATCGCACGCGATGGACCATGCCTGTGAAGGACGAGCCCGGAGGCCAACACCGATTTGGACGACAGGATCGCAAACCCGGAATATCCAGCGAAGGATTTAATAAAGAGCTGGCAACCCAGTGATTATTTCCAATTGAACTTTTGTCTCATTGCCTGCCTAGATGGCCCCCTCGATGTGAAATTCTCTGAGTTTTGTGAATCACTCTCCCCAAGATGATGCGCAGAGGCGTATTAGTCGCCGGCGCGTGCCTACGACCAGCCTCAATTCACCACACACGCCCCTTCACAACAACACGTCACCTACTCTCAAACTCCAAAGTAGACGTGCTCATAATAGGCAGCGGTGCAGGAAGTCTTACAGCCGCCCTCCGCGCCAAACATCACAACCTGCGCGTCGCCGTCATCGAGAAACAGCCAACAATAGGTGGCGCATCCGCAATCTCAGGCGGCGGCCTCTGGATCCCGAACAACCCTGTATCCAACGTGAAAGACTCCAAACAAGATGCCTTGGACTACTTCGACCAAGCCGTCGGCGACGTTGGCCCTGCATCCTCGCTGGCCCGCCGGCACGCATACCTCGACAACGCCCCCGAGATGGTTGCGTTCCTCCAGGAGAAGGGCTTCGAGTTCCGCCCCAGCGATGGGTATCCCGACTACTACCCCAAAATGAAGGGCGCTATGGGGAAAGAAGGTGGAAGAACGATCGAGTCGAAGGCCTTCAACACGAAGAAACTTGACAAGAAATGGCAGGATGCGCTGCCGCCGCCAACTACACCGGTGGCAATCTACACGAACCAAGCACCCGTGATAATGCGCATGACGTCTTCCTTCGGGGCCTTTACACAATCAGTTCGCGCCGTGCTCCCATCTGTTCTCAAGATACTCATCGGCCAGAAGCCTACCAGCTTCGGCCGCGCGCTGGTTGCCCGGCTCCTGTACCTCAACACCCACAGCTCCTCCCCGACCGACATCCGCCTCTCCACGTCCCTCACGTCCCTCACGACCGACTCAGACGGCACCGTCACCGGCGCGAAAGTGAAGACGCCCACGGGCGAGGAGACCATCGCCGCGCGCAGCGTGATCCTCGCAGCAGGCGGCTTCGCGCAGAACGCCTCCCTCCGCCAAAAACACCTCCCCTCCCCCGCCACCACGACCTGGACCAGCTCTCCTAAGGGCGACACGGGCGATGCCGTGGTGGCCGGGATCAATCTTGGTGCCGCGACAGCTTTGATGAACGACGCGTGGTGGGGTCCCACCATCTTCGACCCCGTGACAGGGAAGCCTCACTTTGCGCTGATAGAGCGCTCGCGCCCGCACTGCATCATCGTCGACTCGGCAGGGAAGAGGTTCATGAACGAGGCCGAGTCGTATACTGACGCCGGGCACGACCAGTACAAGCGGAACGAGAAGGTCAAGGCGATTCCCGCGTGGTTGATCATGGATAGCAACCATCGCAATCGGTACATGCTCGGGACGGGCTTGTTTGCGAGGCAGAAGCCGCCGAAGAAGGCACTCGAGGAGGGAAAGATGTTCATGGCAGGTTCGTTGGAGGAGCTAGGCTCAAAGATTGGAGTTGACGTGAAGGGTTTGAAGGAGACGGTTGAGAAGTACAACGTAATGTGTGAGAGAGGGGTTGATGAGGAATTTGGGAAGGGGGGTAGTGCGTATGACAACTTCTTCGGTGACCCGGATGCTGGGGGGTTGAATCCCAACATGGGGCCGTTGAACAAGGCACCGTTTTATGCCATTGCAATATGGCCTGGGGACCTCGGAACCAAGGGCGGCTTGCTGACGGATGAGCATCAGCGGGTGTTGAGGAAAGACGGAGGCTTCATGCCTGGATTATATGCGATTGGGAATACCGCTGCGAGTATCATGGGAAGGACATACCTGGGAGCAGGATCAACGCTGGGCCCTGCCATGACGCATGGGTTTGTGGCCGTCAATCATATAGCCAGTCAGAAAAAGCCTTGAAGAAATTCCATACCAAGTAACATGATTTCATACGCAACGTACAGATGCACTGGTGTTGAGTGGGGCCGAAAAGATCAAGTGAAGATCATGCTATTATTGAGATGCGAACTATGTGTTGCCGTAGAGAGCGAGCCAGCTTGCTCGTGAGGTCAAATGCTGTCATTGGGTCCTTTCGTATATCGTGACCCTATACAAGACTCCGTGATCAATGAGCAAGAAAAATGATGTCTAGTCTCGCAAGATTTCGCACGCGATCTACCATCTGCTGCCACTTGTAAATGCGTGGTACAAGATCCGCTCTGAACGCCTCAAAGTAAATCGGACCCTAACCACGAAAAAGGCATCTCTACTATATCATGTAGCATCATGTGCGTCATCAGTTTGTATACTCAAGTGCCCTTCTAGCATAATTCCTTGTTCGTCTCCAGTGGCGTCTCCTCGGGTGTGGCAACAACCTCTGGAGTCGAAGCTCCTGAGTCAAGCTTGTCGTACTCTGTTGAGTCAACGCTCTTGTCCGACTTGGAGTCCTCGTTGGTTTCTTTGGTTTTATCTTCGATCTCGTCTTTCTTCGCTTCGACTGTTTCCTTGACATCCGTCTCTTTCTTGACTGCGTCGTTTGGTGCAGCCTCCTTTTGCGCCTTGGCAGGTTCGGCATCATCCTCGTCGACCTTGCTCTCGGGCTCCTGTTTCTCGCGCTCTCCGCCGGCGTTGGCCTGGGCGTTGTCAAGATCAGCCTCACCCTTCTTGCCGATGGCGCCATCAAGGACTTCGCCGCCCTCCATGACGACGCGAAGCTCAAGATCCTCGTCCATGGAGTAGACGCGAACGCCAACAATGCAGATGGCATTCCAGGGGTCGGGAAGACCTTCCTCCTCCGACTCATAGCGCTCATCGTGGGTCTTGGGTGGCCCCGCAGGTGTGGTACGAGGCTTCCTGACCATGTCGTCGTCGCTGTAGAGTTCTTCCCAATCGTCGACAGGTGAGTCGGAGGAGTCATCATCCGAGTCGTATACTTTCGCCGCCGGTGGCGGGGGTGGAGGCGCAGGTTGAACCACAGTCTTCTCAGGCTCCTGGGGCGTCTCTTTGGGCTCTTCCTTGGGATCTTCCTCAGACACCTCCTTTGACTCTCCAGATTCATCCTTGGACACCTCTTTCGAGTCGTCCTTGGGCTCATCCTTAGACTCGGCCTTTGCTGCCTCGTCAGAAGTCTTGTCGTCAGGAGCAGAAACTTCAGTCTTCTCAGTGGCCTCCGACGTGGACTTTTCAGTCTTCTCGAAGGCGTCCGTTTGAACAGACTTGTCCTCCTTAGGCTCCTCTTTGACAGCCTCAGCCTGGACGCTTTGGTCCTTGGGCTTTTCCTCTTCCTGCTTTCTCGCCTCTTCCTCTTTCTTCTTGTTCTCTGCCTCGGCCATCTTTGCTTCTTCGGCGGCCAGCTTTGCTGCTTCTTCAGCCTTGATCTTGGCTGCTGCTTCGGCCTTATTCGCTTCTTCAGCAGCAAGCTTAGCCTCTTCCTCAGCCTTCACTTTGGCAGCGGCTTCAGCCTTGGCGATTCTGCGTGCGCGCTTTTCGCCGTTCTTTTCCTTCTGCTTCCTCGTGATCTCGCGTGTCATGTGGCGTCTGTCCCACAACTTGCGACGCTCCTGCTTTCGGGAGTCAGAAGCTCTCTGCTGCTCCTTGATCTTTCGTAGTCTGGCGACCTCTTCGAGGTAGGCCGTCCCCTTGCTGTGTGCAAGGTCGTAGGCGGCGCCGATCTGCGCAAGCTTGTCGTTCTCCACGCGGTTGCGGCACTCGCGCTTGACAACGGATTCAACAGAAGGCAAATTGTTATCCCTCTCGCCGGCAACGCTCATGTAGATGCTGTACTCGCCCGCTGGCATGTCCGGGAGTTCGATTGATACTGATCGCTCCATTAGGTAGTTGCCGTGGGAGCGGACAATGTAATCCTCGGCGCCAGGGCGGCTGCGCTCGTGGATACGGAAGTGGATGCGGAAGGTGTACTGTCCTTGGAGACCCTTGAAGTACCGCGTATCCAATTGAGACAGAACGAGGACTAAGGGGCCATCCTTGGACAGGGTAATCTGGAAATTCTCGTGGAACTGAGGCTTCCACGGAACCTCGACACCAATCCACTTCTGGGTGCATCGCCAGGCAGGGTCACGAAACAGCCTCGTTCTGTCGATGTGCTGGTACTTGCGAAGGAAGTCTTCGTAGTTGATCCAGAAAACAGAGTCGTTGCCAAAGTGGTAACCAAGCTCTTCCTGGACGTCGGTCGTCCATTCCTTGGACCCGTCAGACCAAGCACCCTCCCACAAGCCCTTGCGGACCTTGCCCCAGGGGTTTCTCATTTTGATGAGACGCTCGCCGGACTTGATTGTCCTCGCCTCCATAATAACGTATGCGTGGCCCTCAGAGATGCCATCTCTGTCGCCATAGCCTCCATCGAGGAGACCAGTGCTCGCACCAAACAGGAATTCCTGGTTGACCTTGGAGAGCTCATTCTCCCAGAAACCCTCGGTGTCAAGTATATCGGATGTAAGGAGCTCGGTAGTGACGCCACCCGTGAGGTCCTCCAGACCTTCGCCGATCCAGCCACCGGCCAGGGAAGCGAAGTCGCCGTGGGCCTTGGCGTATGCCTTCTCTAGCAGGGGCACCCACGTCTCGTTCTGGTCCTTGCATTGGGCAAAGAAGAGGGCCTTGGAACCGGTCTGATACGTTTGGCGGTAGACCCGCTCAACGTCCTCGCGGTCGATCTGCTGCAGAAGATCCCGCTGCATGCTGGGTGAGTCCCAACAAGGCGATTTGAGGTAGAGCTTGTCATCGATGATGGAGTAAATCCACTCGCCATCTCTGTAGAAGACGAAACCATAGATGCCGATGCGCGTGTCGTATTCCACGCAAATCTTCTCGATGCCGCCTTCTACGGAAGCGAGAGCGGTCAAGCTAGCCATCAGCCAGCAATCTCCCAGACTTCCCTGCTTGACGTCTCCGCCGTTCAGGTTCTTCATGAAGGTGGGTTTCTCGAAAATTTCGTGGATGCGCTTGACAGCTTTGGGGACCGAAGCGCTGGGGTTGGAAAGTGTTGTTCGGGAGAGCTGCCACTTCGTAGAACCCAGGGTGTTGAGGCAGTGTCCCTTTTCCCACTTCAAATCCCAGTCCTAATGGGAGATTTAGCTACAAAGTGTGCTACGAAGGCCATAGTCGTCACTCACCAGGTCCCAGCCAGGGTCTCTGTAGCGCATGTTGACTCTCCTGCACTCCTGAATGATTTTCTTGACTTTTCGACGGCATTCCTCCACAGCCCGCTCGTAGCCCGCAGTCAACAGCTCATTCGGCTTGTCTGCGCTTGCAGGAGGCAGAACAGGGTCGAAGGGAAGCACGGCGAGGGCCTTGTTGAACTTGCGGTTCTGGAACTTCTTCCAGATACGGTTGATGGACTGCTGAGGGGGAGCCTTCTTCTTCTTTTTCTTCTTTTGGTCATTGTTATTATTCGAGGCCGGGGCGGGCTTTGGGCGACGGTAGTCTTCCGACTCCTCGGAGGAGCTGTAGCCGTGCATGTTGGTAGTGGGACGAGCACAGGGACTCGAGAGGTGCGGTTTAGAGGTCAATTGGTTATGGAGAGTCAACGAGAGGAGGTTGACGAGAGAGTTGGGGGAGGAATCAATTATCTAGAGCAGCGAACAGGTTGTGGGCGTCCTGCGCTTGCTGTAGTACACGGGTCAGTTACGGAACAGGTTGGGCGTGGTTTGAAGTGAGTGACGAGCAGCCCAAGGCCGAAGCACAGACGGGACGACTCAGTGACGGAAACGAGAGAGAAAGGTTATGGAGGGTATCGGTTGGAAAATAGTTGAACGCGAGTCGTGGATGGCGAGAGAAGGGTCTTAAGAGGGAAACGGAAACTCGGGGTACTCGGTGTCTGGGGGGAGGGTGGGATAGACAAGGAGGGCGCACCTGGTCAGCGAGTCGCAGCCTCGCGGTATGTATTGGACGATCTGACAAGCGCGAGTCGACGAGAAGCACGACAGGGAAGACGGAGTGGGTGTGATTCGCATTCACCGCATCAAGGCGGCTGGGTCTGGTGGTCTCGCCATCGTGTCTAGCTGTCTGGCTCTGCTGCTGGGGGGCGGCGCATCCGCATCAAGTGGTGAAGTGCTGGGCGACCCACCACCCCCGGGGGAGCGGCGGCGAGGACGGACGCCGGCATGGGATGTGGAGATGGGTGAGTGTGAGGTGAGATTCACAGTGTTGTTTGCTCGAAGTCGAGGAACATGTTCGAGTACAGATACACGCGCGCCAGGATCCATGCCGAAGGACGTGGAGCGGAACATGGGCGGGGCAAGGGTCTGGCTTGGCATAGACCGGTCGTTTCCAGGGTTCGAAAGCGGCACCCGGACGCCCAAGGGTCTGGTCGAGTCTGGCGGTGGGAGGACGACGGAATTGAGAGAGTTGGTGGTGACCTGGTTGGGCGTGTGTTGGGTGTGTTTTTGCGGGAGGACAAAGCCGGGAGTTGGAAAGGATGGACGCCGCACGGCTGAGAAGGGTGGTGGTGGTGATGTTGATCGGAGGTTGTGAAGCCACAGTGTTGGAGGCAAGACACAGAAACAAGAGGCAAGACAACCTTGGGCAAGAAGGAAGAAGGTACGATACCTGCATCAGTCTGGTAGGTACTTCCTTCCACGTTAGTGCCACGAACTGCAGCCTTCAGCGACTTTTAGCTGGGTTCTTCAGGGTCCAGCCGGCGTGCCATTCGGTAGATACCTTAAGGTACTGATAAGAGACCCTCCTTCCCGGTAAATATCGTAAGCAGGGCGGTTTAGGTTCCTTATCCGTCAGGGAAGTCAGACCCGGGAGGAAGGAGGCGCGAACTGGCTCTCACCTTCCTTCGCTCTTCTCTCCGTTTTCTTTTTTCTCTCCGAGGTTCTTCTAAGAACTTTTACTCTTTGTTCTCTACGTACCTTACCCAAGTTACCGACTCCCCGTCCTCCGCCACATGTGCTCGGATCCGGTGCCTTGTCAGGAAGATGGAACCGACAATCGTCCCGACGCCAACTCCAACTCCAACTCCAACTCCACAGCGCCATCAACCAGCCTGGTCTTGGTCGCGGTGGCATCCAATATCCAGCCATCCCAACGTCCCCGGCCGACCTTACCGATGGGGCCTACGACAACCCCGGTACCGGTAAACAGGGGCCTCTGGATGGACACTGGATGCCCACAATCTCCTCGGCCCAGGTTCCCCGGGTGCTACCCAGCAACAGTCGCGAATAAGAACCCACTGGGTGTTCTTGGGGGCTGAATTCAACGGTCGACATTCTGCCAGCAACTTCTCTCCCGAAATGCTTGCAGATGTCTGATAACTGAGAACTGAGGCTATCTCCAGGCGCAAAACGGTCCAACCATCGCCGGCTGCCTCAAAACTACCCGAGGAAAGCCTCCAAAATCTGACATATCTACCGTTAGACTTGATTTTAAGAGAACCATTGGCCTTAACCTTGATGGTATGGTCTAGTCCAGGCAGCTGCGTCACTTGACGCCGTTTCCTTGCCGCCGGCCCCTTAGCAGAGCCGCGTCGCTTACGAACTCTTCTCGCAATCAGGCTGGCTTAGCCTCTCGTAACCCCGCGATGGGGAAGGCACGAGAGGCTGAGCTTCAGCTACTGCATAGTACATCGATATGATACGCGTCCCCCGCCGACAATTCGCTGCATTTTGCAGTATGCCGTCAGCATCGGCCATGCACCCATCAGCATTCATCATCACGAGCTCTCTCTTCGCGGCCGCCGTCAAACATCGCGCAATTTACCTTCTCCGCAGTAGTATTTCTACTTTGTACATTTCAAAGGCTCCTACCTTGCCCATGCAATTTGCATTCAGGAGACAGACACTGCTTTCAGCTCCTCCAGGCAGAAGTACCCGGCGCGGCAATATCTAATCTGCTCAGCCCTTGACGATCTCTTTCTTACCCCAGGATTCACCCCAAGATAAGAGCAACGCACGCGATAGCCCAGCATGTCACTGCCTCAATCCGCACCCAACCAACGCCTCCGCCTACCACTTCTGGCTTAGATTGCTGACTTTCTGAGTGGACAGCCAGACGTACGCAGTAGGTGGATTATCTGCGCTCGACATCGACTGGAACTTGATTCAAGGACATTGTCCCCTCCAATGGTTGTACGGATATTGGTTCCCTTGACGATAGATAGGTGCTCAATAATCCGGGGATTCCCATGCGACGCATGTGTCGACATGCCAATCACCCAATCCCGTCGTCCCTGCTGTACGAGTCCACCAGAATGGCATGGCATGGGCCTCCATGTCCACCACCCGACTTCCCTGTAGCTGCACGCTGCAGGAGGTTGTGGCAAGGGCCGAACTTCTTAGCGAGTCATCCCGGGAAGAAGTCAGCGTCTGTCACTAAACAAAGGACCACGCATTACAACAGTCCAGTGCTGGGAGCACAGCACAGCAAAGCATAACCCAACGGTCCCCTGACGGCCGAACTGCTTCCCATCTCAAGCCAGCAGAGCGGCCATTCTCAGCCTCAGAATCACTACGCGGCTCGTCCGCCTTGTCTGCCAGACGCTTGAGAGCCTGTTTCGTGGCATCCAAAAGAATGCTGCATCCCGGAACGAGCCAAAATGGACTTCCGACCGCTGTCTCACCCTCCCGCCGCACCTCGATAGGGAACACTGCATTTGCAGTGCATTTCCCAGGCCGCATTGTTCGACAACGTGGTGCTCTTATCTCTCGAACACGAAGCATCATGTGCATTCGAGCGCCCTCTACTTTGTCATCAACACGACCACCGCCCGACGACACATGCTACATTGCATTGCGTCCCGACCCATCCGCTCGGCAGACAGTGTACACGCAGAATTAGGGAGTGCATTCCTTACTCCTGTACAGATACTCGGGCTACACGGCGCGGTACATCGATGATTGGCATCAGATGAGACGACTCGGACCCAGACTGATTCGTGTCACTCGACGGAATAGCCACAGCGGGACAGCGGAATTGAGAAAACGCTGCCACTGCGAAGAGAAAAAAGAACTTGTAATCTGCTAATTTAGTAAAGATTTTTGGGTCGGTGTGGATGGACCCTGATCGTCCAAACCACCAGAAACACGCCAGTGGCGACAGAGCCCAGCCCAAAAGACCGACCGATACTCGTTCTGGCGCTGTGACTGTCGGAATCACTCAAGGCGCTGGAGTATCTCGCTGCAACCCTCTGCAGCACAGTTACTTTGGCACTGGTCTAAATACTGCGTATTGCTAGGGTCACCGTTTTGGGGCAAGGTCTGGACCAAGGGACCCCTATCGGATCCTGTCCGTCGCCTCACCGACCACACCGCAATTCCTCCGATCCCGCAGTCCGGACCGTTGAGATGCACAGTCACTACATGCACATCGCAACAGTTCATGCCAGTTTGGTCACACAAACTGTATCCGTTCATTTCAGCAGTCCATGTCTTTCCTCCTATTGCTCGTTGTTTACTCTTCATCCGTTCGCGGTTTGGAGGTAGGCTGGCTAAGCCCAGAAATAAGAGACGGCTCGCCTTGACCGACTGGCGAGGTTGCCGGTGGGCCGGCCCCAGCTTGTTTCTGGGGAACATCCGAGACCTTGTCGATTCTATCCGCAGAACCCTGGCGGTTTACCAATATTTGATCTAGTCACATATCCGTACGGGGGTATCATCAGACCCCTGCTCCGTACTCATCAGTCAATTGCGGGTTGAGAGCGAGCATACCTTATGATTCAGCGTGCATAAAGTTTCCTGGGACTAGGAAAGCGCGCGCGACACCGAAGGGGCACGATAGGTGTAAGGCTCATATGTGGTAAATACTGGCGGTCGAAGCTTCCATCTAGGTCCCGTCTATCTCGTCGGATCTTGGTACAGTGCGGGTCGGTCCGCTGAGCTGCACAGCAGGAACCTAGTGTCCATTGCCGTATGTCGACTCGGGAGCGTTCTGGGCGAGCTCGTCAATATTGATTGAACGATTTTTCCCATGTGTTGATTAGACCTCGTTACTACGGCCTATATGAGTACTCATCGTGACCTAGGTAGCAGTCAGAGTCGCCAGCCTTTTTGTATTCCTCAGAAGACAAACTATTACTGTAGGGACGGGACCATAGCTACCTAATGAACTTGTCTCTAAAGATCATATCGACAGAAGGGTCATGTTGTATTGTCTATCCAAGTCCTGAAATTTTGCTTCTTTCTAGTACCTTTGTGAATAAACCTGTTGGGCCAGCCAGTCGAAGATGGAACTTTATCCCCCATACCTTTGGTCGGCCATCGTTAACCTCGCCTGATCCATGGTATGGTCATCAAACCCTGGCTGTATGCTCGCCGTCCATGTTGTCGGAGATACGATGCTTAAGTTTTGTATGCAAGTGGTCAACCATGACGGTTCTTCACAGATGGATCTACCGGAATAGCTCTCGATGGGCTATATCTGCCTCGCATCTGTTCAAAACATGCTGCAGATTCTCCCTTTGGAGTGCCATAATCGCCGCATCTTGATACAGCATCTTGAAGGCGTAAGCTGTCCCCACTAATCATCATGTTTAGCAAAGAGATTCGAGCGGCGGCTATCGAGGCCATCAAGGCAGCAGCCCAAAGAAGAAGGGAGGAGATGGTTGCAAAAGTTGGTAGGCAGTTGTACGCTCTGTCTGCCGCCCAGAACAGGGCCAACTTGAACTCTTCCGTGGCGTCATCGCACGCTGTTCATGGCGGAGAGCAGGATGCGAACTACGGGGCTTCTGCAAACTCCAAGAAGGAGAAGAAGAAGCGGAAGGAGACGGTCACGTCTCCCTCTTCCACCGACCAGCAGACGACAGATGATGCGTCTGTAATCGGTGAGTTATTGGACCCCGAGACCGATAGTATGTGCCCTTGTATGGGGAAGAGAGAAAGAGAGAGAGAGTATGGGTGTACCCCGGCTAACTCGTTCAAAGAAAGCAGCTCTTCCCCTTCGGCTGTCCCCTCGGCTGTCCCCTCGTCTGGCCCTTCTTCTGTTTCTTCGCCTGTCACTTCTCCTGTAACCTCACCTGTCTCACCTGTTTCTTCGACTGTTCTCTCGACTGTTCTCTCGACTGTTCCTTTGGCTGACCCTAACCAGCCACCCGCGACTGTCGGGAAAGGGCTCCATCGGGCCATGGTGAGCGGCTTATTGCATAAGCGGCGGGAATGCGAGCAGCAGAGAGCCGCGTAGATCAAAGCCAACGAGGCTCAATCTCGTGGCCTGGCGCATCTTGGTCTCTCGAACCCTTCTGCAAGCGGCAACGCATAAGACGAGACCAACGACATCACGATTACCGGTATGAACACATTCAAGATCATCATCATGAGCAAGTTGTTTGGTGTTTATCGGGATAGCGGGAAGATTCATTGGCTCTCTTTTGTAAACGATCATTCATGCATCAGATTTTGGAAGATTGCCAAACAACAGACAGCGAAAATACACTAGCGCTCAAAAGAGTTGATGAAATTGGCTTTAGAATACACTGCCAATGTATCAACTGTAGGCCATCATGTGTGTGCCTGGCTAAGCAGAAAGTATGTTCTCGGCCCGCAAATATTGTGTAATCTTCCTTCCACCAAATGCAAAGTCTATCTAAATTGTATCTCAGTGATGTCTACCCTGCCTCGTGTATCTACCATCTACTGTATAAGTCGCAAATCCCTCTCGCTCGCCTCAGCATCCTTCTTGGAAGCGGGCTCTTGCGTCGTAACGGCACCGTAACTCGGCCCCTCCGCCGGTTCCAAAGCTTCCTCCTCGGCGGGTACCAAGATAGCCCTCTCCTGGTTCTTGCGGTCCATCCTCGCCCTCCACGGACGGTACACCAGCACTGATCCAAGCCCAACAACCACGAACAGTCCGCAGATACTGCCGCCGATGATGTCAAAGTGCTCACCGATAGCGTCCACTCCGTCCCAGAAGCTTCCCTCGGGCTCGGCCACGTTCGCGATGAGGGAGAGGACCTGGATGATGCCGATGAAGGCTGAGACAAACACCGTGATGCCGGTGAGCACGATGGAGTAGTACAAGATCGCGACCCTGTCTCTCGAAAACGCCTTGGACGTGTAAAGTGCCATCATGAGCGCGCCGTCGGTGGTGTCGAGAAGACACATGCCAGCTATCATCCTCGTCAGCACGTACCCTTCAACGTCTGCCATAGTCAGGGCTTACCAGTAAAAAGCACGGGAAAGATGAGAATCAGCCAGATGCTCGTGCCCTGCGCTCCATGCACGCTACTCAGTCCCAAAATTGCAATCTCTGAACTCGTGTCAAAGCCGAGGCCAAACAAGATACCCAGGGGAAACATCTTCCACGGCCGATCAACGACCCTAAATACCTTACGGAACACATTCGCCAGGAACCCCTCCCCCTCCAGCTTCAGATTCGTCGCCGCCTCCTCGTCCTCCTCCTCAACCACCTCTGCAGTAAGCGCCCTTCTCCTCTCCTGCTCCAGCACGACTCTCAATCTTCGGATGAGCTTATACAAAACCCACCCGTTGCCAGCACAGAGCAGCAACAGGAACGCAGCGCTGACGCTCGTGCCGATGATGTTGCCCACGCGCGTGAACCCGTCAAACCGGTCCCTCAGCGCGCCGCTCGTCGCCGCAACAACGACACACGTCACGATCACGATGGTGCTGTGGCCTAGCGAGAAGAAGGTGCCGACGGTGACGGGGCGCTGGCCCGAGGCGATCAGGCGGCGGGTCATGAGGTCGATGGCGGAGATGTGGTCGGCATCGAGGGCGTGGCGCAGGCCGAGCAGGTAGGAGAGGGCCGCGGGGGAGATAAGGGAGGGGTGGAAGTGCAGGATGATGCCGGCCACGATCCAGATGGCGATGTTGATGGACACGAGGAGGGCGATTATGCGGATCGTCGGGGCGGGGATGCCGTGGAGGAACGGCGGGATGGGGAGGGAGGGCACGCGGAAGCGCGCCATGGTGACTGACTGGTCTACGGTGTCGAATCACACAAGATGGGGGCTCTCGAGGATGAGACTTCAGAAAAGGATGAGTAAGGAGAAGAAGGAGGGAGAGATGAGGTTGAAATTTGGAGTTCACAAGACCACTTTTCAAAACGCCCAGCCGGCGGGAAGCAGATGGACGGCGTGCCCTCCGGCCGGCCACCACCGATCGCCCCCACAGCTGCGTGCTACCTTACCTTACAGCACGCCAACGCATGAAAACTAGCTCACTTCGGGGGTGATAGCGTGCGCAAGTATCTGCGCTGGCGGGGAGAAGTGTGCCGGAGGGGAGGCAGGATGACCACCATAGCCCCTCCATCTTTCTGCTGTGCTATCTTATCTGTCGCATGGAGCGGCCGAGGGGCAATGCGGGGACCTCGTGTGGGGTTCAGCCATGCCGCTCCGAGCCGTCGGCGGCCGGCGGCCATGTGTGGTTTCGCCTGGTGAGGTTTGAAGGGTGTTTACTTGAACACTGAAACTGACTGACATTACCTCAGTCTCTCTCATTGTTTCGCTCCGTGGAAGACATGTGAGAATAGGGTGTTGGGCGAAGTGGAACGAGTGAGCGCCGGAGACTCCAGCGAGAAGCCCCGCCATGTCTTGGCTGTCCGGGTCGGTAAGGCAGCGATCAAGCTTTCTGTACCCCGAATAAGGATACCGGAGCCGCTACGAGATATTCAAGTGTGTTCAAGGTCATTCCCGTCGTTCAAAGGGCGAGACCGCCTAGGTTTCCTGTGTCCGCGTGGCTGTATCTACAATGCTAGACTTGTACTTGGATGAAGAACAGAAGTGGTAGAGATAATCACAGGCGATGGGCTTCCACTGGAGAAGCGAATCCGCCAGTGTATTTTCATGCTCAGTCAGCAACCTTTTCTGCTTTGTCAACCCCAACTACCTACCTCATGGTCTCACTGAATCATCAATTTCCATTTCAACACAATAGGATTTCTCACCTATTTCGACCTGAGTAGTTTTTGGTCGGGCTGTGCATCTCATCGTTCACTCATATTCATGAAATTAGGTCGCCTTCTCGCTTCATCTCTCACTATCCTGTCTGTCAATTGCTGCATCAACCCCTCCGTGATTCTCACCATGCCGCCGACTTACAACAAAGCCTTCATCCCCCTCGAGTCGAATCCCGAAGTATTCAACGAACTCATCAGCCTTCTCGGTGCGCCTCCATCGCTCCAGTTTGAGGACATCTTCACCTTAGACGACCCCGCGCTGCTCCCAGAAAAGATTCTGGCTCTCGTCCTCATCTTCCCCACGACCCCCACTTTCGAGGCGCGATTTACGGCAGAGGAAGCCGGCGCTCAGGACTGGATGGTGGAGCACAACGAAGAAGACGAGGACGCCGTGTGGTTCAAGCAAACTATCAACAACGCCTGTGGGCTGTATGCCATTCTGCACGCATTGGCAAACGGCCGTGCAAAAGACTTCCTCAGTAAGTGACCCAATCTTCCTTGAAAGTGAGTGGTAACTGATACAACGCAGGACCGGGATCGTTGCTAGACAATCTGCTTTCTATCACGGCACCGATGGACCCCGCCCAGGCTGCCATGGCACTGGAAGCTTCAACCGAGCTGGAGGACGCCTATTCTTCGATCGCCACCAAGGGCGACACAGCTGCGCCGGCGAGTGCTGAAGATGAGGTAGACTTCCATTACATCTGCTTCGTGAAATCACCGGATACCGGCCATCTGTACGAACTGGACGGCGATCGCAAGGGCCCCGTGGACAGGGGTGTGCCCGACGAAGAGCAACGGGTTGATCTTGGTCAAAAGTCGCTGGACGTTGTGCGTCAATTCATCGCACAAGGAGGAGACAATATCGGTTTCAGTCTCATGGCGTTAGTGGAAAAGGCGTAGTGGGACGAGGCATCATCTCATCAGCGAAGGCGTTGAGCGTGTTGATTAATTGCTAGCTCGATTTGTACAATGGCTTTAACTATGTTCTTAGCTTGCCTGGATGATCTTCTCCAACTCATCCGGGTCCTTGATGGTAGGGGTCAAGTTTTCGCTGCCCGTCGCAGTGATCAAGATGTTGTCCTCGATTCTGTAGAGATTAGCATCGTCACGGTTGGGAATGGTTGGGTGTTGCATACCTCACGCCACCAACATCCCAGTACTTCTCTAGTACGGCAGTGTCAATGTACTTGGAGTGGACGGGGTCCTTGAGGTAGGGCTCAATAATGAAGTTGCAGAAGTAGATGCCGGGCTCGACGGTGACGATGCTACCAGCAGGCAGCTTGCCTCTGACACGCAAGTAACGGAACATGGGGTCGGTGTCTGCGTAGTTGGGGTTACCGCCAACGTCGTGGGTATCCATTCCGAGGTAGTGTCCCAGGCCGTGGGGGAAGAAGGCGACGCTGGTCCTGTTCTTGAGAATCTCCTCCTTATCGCCCTTCAGGATGCCAACGGAATGGAGGCCATCAATGGCAATCTTGTGGGCCATCAGGTGGATATCGTCCCAGACGACACCCTCCTTCAGAGCTGCGGTGGTGTCAAGCTGCATCTTCAACACAATGTCGTAGATCTGACGGGACTCCTTGCTAAACTTGCCAGAGATGGGGAAAGTACGTGTCTACAGCTTGTTAAGACGGTCTCTGGGCACGACACGGTAGCTGGCAAAGACTTACAATGTCAGAGGCGTAGCAGTTCCATTCCATACCAGCATCCAAGAGGAGATTCTGCTTGCCCGCCAGGGGAGCATCGTTGGCTACGTAATGCAGTGTGGCGGCAGCTCGACCTGCAGCAAAGATGCCGTGGTAGGCCTGGTTGGTGGCACCGTTGGAGATGCTGTGATACAGGAAGGTGGCGTACAGCTCACTCTCGTTCTTGGCCTTCTTGACCTTCTCAACGACGGCGTGGTGGGCAATGGTAGACACAGCGTTGGCCTTTCTGGTGAGAGCAACCTCGAAGTCGTCCTTGACCACACGGCACGTCTCGATGGCGTTCTTAAGGACACTAAAGTTCTTGCCTTCGAACTCGAGGAACGTGATACTATCCAAGACCTGACCTTCGATCGCGAAGACGGTCTTGTTGCCCTTGCCGAGGCGCACAAGCTCGGCATTGACGTCGGTGGTGTACTTTACATGGTCGACGTCGTACAACTCCTTGGCTTCGGCAGCGCTGACGGGGAGGCCGGACCAGATAACGCTATCGGGGTCGATGGGAGGGATGAACAGGGTGGACTCGGAGGACTCGAGGTCGAAGACGTAGTGGCAGTCGGCGAGGGGGCAGCCGGTCAGGTAGTAAAAGTAGCGGCGCTGTCTTTGAAGGGTGTTAGACCATTGGCCAGAGGTTCTTGGGGTTCGGGAGCAGGGGTACCTAAAGGGTTCAGGCTCGTCGTTGTCCTCGATCATCTTGGTCATGCGACCCTCGACGTAGAGGACGCCGGTGGCACCGGGAACCTTGGACTTGACCTCACCGGCGACACGCAGAGCGTGGGCCTTTGCCGGGTACTTGCCCTTGAGGACAGTCTCGTAGTCTTGAGCCATGTTTGTGGCAGAGGTGGTGGAGAAGAACCGCGCCGGTCTCAAGGATGATGCGATGCGCCTCGTCGTCGATGGTACTGGAGCTCTAGAAGGTCCGCCAAGAGGTCTAGACGGATCTGCAGAGAGGTGTTGGGTTCGGTTTCGGCCGATGCTGATCGAGGCAGGTGCAGAAACAGTGGTGAAGGAGGAGCAGAACGTGCGGATGACGGCACGATGTGATGTTCTAGCCAACATCAAGCCTCTGTCGTCCGGGTCGAGTCGCACGGGGAAAGAGGGGCAGTGCCGTTACGTTAGATCAGATGGCGTATCGAAAGACGTTTGCTGCGTTGCGCCAGCACTGTAAGCCGAGCTAAAGCGCATTCTCAGCGGGACGAGATAGCTACGATAACGAATCACAGCACCAAGACTGGTCGGATAAGGAAGCTCGTTCCTTGGACCTTCCCAGACCCACGGCACCACTGCTGAAGCTACAGTGCAATCGCCAGCTCTGAGGGCGGGATCACACAGTATGCCCCTCCATCCCCACTCATTGCCTCTCTCAGCCAATGAAAGTCACAGAGTTCTCGGATGACGGCAAAGCGTCGGGTTAAATGTGTCCGTCTTATGTAATGCGACCTCAATGGCCCGTGCATCGCTCAGAGCCACTGCCAAATGCAATGTCACGATGCACCTGCCACGAAGATTCCCCAAGCTACTCCAACTCGAACTCGACGACCCCAACTTACAATCGCCATCCCCAGAGATCTAGACTTCCACCGAAGTCCACAATCCCACTGTTATCCCCATTTCTGGACCGTTTCTATTTCCTCTCGCGATTACCACTTGGACGCGGCTCGATTACAACACGACGACGACAATGGTCTGTTGCACGTCCACCGTCATGCATGAGGTCCACTGAATGACACTCCCACAGGGGTCGAATGGCGTGGCCTGAAAGAGCCTCCAAAACATCGCGAGCCGCCCATCTGGAATAACAACTCGAACGAGGCTCTCCCTCCAGTCATGCCTAGTCGCTGCTCCTGACGCCTGTTTCTGACCAAGACTCGGCCTGGCCGATTGTGTCCCTGAAGAAGGCGTGGGACAGCATCACTCTGGCACGGCCAATCCAATCTCAATCAAGCCCGCCAACCAGTGCGATCCGCCCTCCATCAAGGAAGCAGGATCATCAACCCAGACCTCACGCAACTTGTTACCTGAAAATAGTTGAATTGGCCAGAATTGCCCTTGCAGCCAAGCTCGACAATGTGCCGTCTTGTCCCAAGCTCCCAAAGGTTCTTGTCTCATGCGGGTGAATCCTCCAGATGCCACTACCGTCAACCACGTCTGCAGTCAATCCCAGCAAGTCTCAGGCGGCACAGAAGGAGGATGGCAGAGCAGCAGCTTGTAAGTCTCGAGGACCGACCATCTAGGATCGCCAGAATCTTCGTTCAATATCCTAGCATGCGACTGAGGTCTGATTTGCCGGCGTCAGGTTGCATTACTCCACCACAAAGTGCGTTTGTCTCCAACGTCTAATATCTGTTCCCCAAACTTGGCCGTCATCCCACAAATCGACCCCAAGGGGAATTACTGGGCCTGCTGTCCAGTGCGGCCCATGTCGAGGCTCAGTCAAACCACCGCTCAATCAATCCGAGTCAAGTTTCCTCCCTGGCTTTGGTTTATCATTCTAGGGTATCCAGGTCTTGCAGGGCCAGGTACTGCCCGCTATGCGTGCCGTGAAGGTCATCGGGCACTCATCGAAGCGCTTCTACTTGCTTGCTGAACAGTCGTTTGCGCGACTGGCCGCCGTCCGGGAGAGGCCAAGATTCACCAAGACCGCTGCGCAGAAAAAGTGCATTCAACCAGACGACGCGACACCAACGCACCCAAGAAAGGAAATGATGTGATGGCACCCTTGGAAGCGAACTTGTCCCTGCAGCAACAACCAAATCGACATAGTTGACGGACCTTGGCCAGAACGGTCGCCTGACCGCAATGCGCCATGCAACCCGTGTTGGCTGTGCTATTCCTCCCTCTGGAGCAACGACTAACAGATCGAAATGCACGACTGCTGTGTCTTCAGGATGTCATTCAGACACAAAAACCTCTGTCCGTGAGAGGACCCTCTACTGTCGTTGTCTCTACTGTCATTCGTTGTTCAAATTGGTCATATCTTAATTCACCTGCGAAGGCGACCTCCACGTCGATCGATGAGAGCTTAGGCTTCGTCCCCAAGCACTGCGCTGTCGCCTGCACTTGCAGGCTCCAACCAGTCAATATCAGCAGCGCAACACACGTCGGAGTTCTCCTGTGGTACAGACCAAAGAGACCATAATTTTACATGAATCCTTTTCTGTGAGCAAGCAGTCGTGCACAACGGAGACTACTTGCGTGCGGTACAATTTATCCCCACTGCCGCCCAGCCATCGAGACTGCCGTATCCCGGCCCAGCATTCTTGGGATGGGGGCCCGTCTGTCGAACCAACGCCTTCTTTCGGTGAACAGCCCGCACTGTTGGAGATGCGTCGCTCAAAGCCCGCTCCATACGGCGCCCAACTTTTCGGTGTTTACCTACGGGCCCAACAGCGGCAGCACCGTTCGATACAGTCTCAATGTTAGCGCTTTCACGGCCCACCGGCTGCTCCAGTCAGCTCTCTGTTCCCGTCCAATACGATACGGGAGCGAGTCGGGTGTCGAATCCTCCCAATACCACCTCTGCAGTAGCCCAACTTCCAAGTAAAACGAAGGTCGCCTACCCCGCAACCAACCCCGACCGCCACCCCCCGTAACCCCGGCCACCCTCCGCTCCCCGTGGCTCTCTCGCCCGCAAAGCTGCAGCTTATTCAGGCGCCTGAGTCTCGGCGGTCCGCCTGATGTCGGTCACGACTTTCCTCTAGCTTTTCCCAGAGAGGAAGAGGCAGACAATCGACGGACTTGCCTCCCAGCCAATGCCAGCTTTTGATTGCCGTGGGTCTTGGTTTGCAGAGTGCCCTCCCACTTCCCTCTTAAAATGACGTAGGACAAGCCTTATGGCTAGAAAAGACGACGGCATCCGGGAGACGGGGGTGCTGCCGGGCTTGGGGACATAGGCTTGAGGCAGCCGGACGCACAAAACCGCTTCTATTCATTTAGCACCGCCGGTCGACGGGCCGCTCGAAGCCTCGCTGGAAAACTGGACACGCGGTGTTCACGCGCATTCCAAGAAATGTCAAGTCGGTTCAAGCTCAAGTCAAGCATTATGGCTGGTGCTCGGTAGCGTCCTCGGCGGTGGACTTGTGGACTTGTGGGCAAGCGAAGCCTTGACGATCGAGCTTGGGCGTTTGTGCCTGCTTGGTGTTCTCCGTCTCTCTCACTCAATCACTGTGTAGGCGGTGGCGTACTGCTGCGCACAAAGTCAATGAATGTGCCAAGCACTTGGCTCTCACGATCACTTCTCGGCGTTGCGGGACGGGTGTCACTGGACGAACGACTCAGCTCGCTCCAAACCTCTCTACACGTTACATCCTCAAGACCCAAGACGCGACATGAACAAGGGACCGGCGCATGTGTCACCAGGGCAAAATGTACTCGACATGTATCCCGCACAACACAAACTCCAGATATTGTCTCCCTTGCGCGTGTTATTCTGGAACCCAGCCCTCGTAAAGTCGTTGGCCCCGGCGCAATTCCAGCCCTCGTCGGAGCTGGCCGCAGCAACAGGGAAAAGCAACGTCCACATGGCCAAGCTCGTCCGCGACAGGATCTGACAGCTAAGACCTCGTTCCAAAAGTAACAAAAACATTTCCAAGGGCAGCCTCGCAGGCGTACTTCCCGTCCTGGCGTGGGGCAGCATGGGCCAGGACTTGGCAACCCCGTCCATCTTGACGAGTTTCTTCGCGCTGCGCGGTTCCAACTCGCAATACTCAAAGCTTGTGGGTGGTGTGTGCGGAGCTGCCAAGATGACAGCTTCTCGAGTCTCTGGTAGAGGATCTTCGGCTGCTTTCGTCTGTGTCCATGGGGTTGAGCTGTGTGCTATAAAGATCCATGGCTTCCCCAGCCCAGGCCCCTGGCTTGGGTTATATTTTGTTTTGCTCTGCAGGTGCGCCGTGCTTCCATTAGGTTGAGAAGCTACATAAGATACTCAGTAATTCGTCCAAGCTGAACGCGCGAGACTTGAATTTCTGCCAAGAGAGCCGCGATTTGCATCGCCTATATCGCCATCATGGGTGACATCCAGCCTCACGAGTAAGCACCTCAACGGCCAATACAAGCTTGACTTCCATCTGACTTCGACTCCTCAGCAGCAAGACTGTCGATGCCATCGGGCATCATGAAGAACGTGCCCACCACATCGACCCCGTTGACCTGAGCCGCAACGTCGAGGCCAAGTAAGTCAGCAAGCTCGTAATCCTGACGACCAGCCATGATTCACAGCTATGCAGGATCAAGAACCCTCTTGAAGGGATTGGTTACGAACAACTTATGCACGATGTCGAGGCCTTCTGCGAAGAGAAGGGTCTCCAGAGTGAAGTTGGTCTCTTCCGTAAGGGAGCCCTGGTAGCACAGGACCCCGAGAACTATGCGACCATCGGAGGCACCGAGGCTTTGGACGAAGCCGAAATCCAGGCGTTGCGCGACGAGGTCGAGCACAAGTGGCGCATGCCAACGAAGCTGTTCTTGACCATTGCCACTTGCTCTATTGGTGCTGCCGTCCAGGGATGGGACCAGACCGGCACGAACGGCGCCAACATTTTCTTCCCTGCAGAGTATGGCATCGGCTCCGACAGCACTCGGGACACCCTCATCCTCGGTCTTGTCAACGCCGGCCCTTATCTCGGAAGCGCGTATGTTTCACAAGACCGCCCTCATAAGTTACACTGCTAAACATTCTACAGTCTGCTCGGCTGCTGGCTTTCTGACCCTCTCAACAACTACTTCGGTCGCCGCGGTGTCATCTTCTTCTCTGCACATTTCTGTATCTGGCCTCTCATCGGCTCGGCCCTTAGTCACAACTGGCAGCAGCAGTTCGTCAACCGTCTTCTCATGGGTATCGGAATGGGAGCCAAGGCTTCCACCGTGCCCATTTACGCTGCTGAAAACTCGCCTCCAAGCATTCGAGGTCAATACAACACAACACTATCGCTCAGAAACATTAGGCTCACATGGTAGCAGGTGCCCTGGTTATGAGTTGGCAAATGTGGACTGCCTTTGGTTCGTCATTCAGTCAAAGTACATGCGCTCAGAGCTAACTCGGTTAACAGGCATTGCTCTTGGTACCGCTTTCAACCTTGCCGTCTACTACGCCAAGTACAACTGGCGTCTTATGCTTGGTAAGTCCGGCCGCAACTCGTCCATGAAGTTGATTTTGACTGACGACCGCTTGTTCAGGTGCCCCGTTCCTCCCCGCCGTCCCTCTCCTCGTCATGATCTACTTCTGCCCCGAGTCTCCCCGTTGGCTCATGAAGAAGGGCCGCTACGTCGCCGCGTGGAAGGCCATGATTCAACTTCGAAACCACCCGATCCAATGCGCTCGTGATATGTACTCCATCCACGCGCAGCTGCAGCTTGAGGGACAGGTCCTCAGCAAGAACAACTACGCGACTCGCTTCACACAGCTCTTCACCATCCCTCGTGTCCGTCGCGCGAACTTGGCTGCCTTTACTGTCATGATTGCTCAGCAGATGTGCGGTAAGTTGAATCTCGCTCATCAACCATCACCCCTTAATCATCATCGCCCTATTGTATTTCGCCCGTTCATATCTGTACTGTAAACTGATTGGCCAGGTATTAATATTATTGCCTTCTACTCAACCACCATCTTCAAAGACGCAAACATGGGCGATTTCGAAGCCCTACTCGGTTCCTTCGGCTTCGGTATGGTCAACTGGCTCTTTGCCTTCCCAGCCTTCTGGACCATCGACACCTTCGGACGAAGATCTCTTCTGCTGTTCACATTCCCGCAGATGACGTGGACCCTCTTAGCAGCCGGTCTCTGCACGCTCATTGAAGCCGGCACAACCCGCACTGCACTCGTATCGCTCTTCGTGTACCTATTTGGCGCCTTTTACTCTCCTGGCGAAGGGCCCGTGCCTTTCACATACAGTAGTGTTCCGTGCCATCCTACCCAATTGACTCAGGAAGATCGAATAACTAACATCTTTATAGGAAGTTTACCCTCTGTCTCACCGTGAGATGGGCATGGGCTTCGCCGTGGCCACCTGCCTGTTCTGGGCTGCCATTCTGGGAATGACCTTCCCATTCATCCTTAAGCGTCTTGGCGTCGTTGGCGCGTTCGGACTGTGAGTTATAGCAAGTGCGATTGACTTTGTAAGATCAAATCACTAACTGCGTCTAGGTACGCCGGCTTCAATGTCGTGGCTTTCTTCATGATCCTCTTCTGGGTGCCCGAGACCAAGCAGCGCACCCTCGAGGAGCTTGACTGGGTCTTCGCTCTGCCCACCAGCCGCTTCGCCCGCTACCAGGTCCAGAAGGCCATCCCTTACTTCATCAGACGCTGGGTCTTCTTCGACCGCAAGGCCACGCTGGAGCCTCTCTACACTTTTCAGAAGTCCCACCGCGCCGAGAACGTCGTCGAGACGAAGAACAGCTCTGACGGTGAGAAGAAGAGCGAGTAGATGCTTGTCGGTCGAACACGAGCATCGCCACGCACTTTCGGTGATTCGTTTGTGAACACATAAGGGGACGAGAGATCGATATACCCAGGCGGAGGATGATCTGATGAGCTTTACTTTCTTGACGCCGGGCCTTGGGCTTGGCGTAATAATGCGTGGCTGGATTTCCTTCCACGTTTGACTACAGATTGGACTTTTAAGTCTAGCATGCTCCTTACCTCGATACCAATACCACTTGATTTGTCTAGACTACTTCATGTATGTGGAAAATCCCAGTTGATCCCGACTCTTGTGATTCGGATGAGTATATTTGACTTTCCGGGCGGATAGGAACAGCAGGAACGTTGTGAAAGACGATAGACGACGCCGACAAGACAAAACCAATGATACGCACGATAGTATGTAGGATAAGTTGGCTTGAAGTCCGGTAGAGTAACAAAAGTCATGGTCCTAGGATATAAAGCTTCAAGAGACTCATTCGAAAGATTGCCAACATCACCGGTGTTTACTGTGTGCCTGATGTGTCCACAATGAAAGCCTCTTGTCTTCCCGATCTCGATCGTCAACAAGCTCACCCCACAGTGCTGCGTGCAATGGCCGCGACGTGCCAAGCCAGCGCTTCCAACTTCCCATGTTCACCAGCGTCTCCGCCCCCGCAATTTGCAGCCCGGGCAACTTTACAGGAGGCATCCCTCTCATGACCTTGGCATTGCAATTTGACGTGGAATCAGAGAAAACCTTACTGTTCAAAAGCAGTAAATGACGGCTTAACGTTGAATCAAAATGACAGGGCACTGTGCTTTTTCCCTGCGTTCTTTTGAAATTTCACTCAGTTAGACGCGACGAGAACGCGCGCGCGCGCGCGCGTGTGTGTGTGTGTGTACGTATGAGGTCAAGCAAATGCGTTTCCTCAGATTGTATGTGCAAGTATGATAAATATGTAAGTGAAGAGAACACCAAGTCCCTTACAGCAGGAAGAAATACCCCATCCCAACACCCTCAAAACTATCATACTCTCCCACAGAATCGGACCAGCCTATCTTCGGCACCTTGATCGGCCGAGCTGTTCTATCCCCTCACATCAAGATGCTCACTTCTTGAGCGTCAAAACACCTGGCCTGTACGGCAGCAGCCCGTAGTCGCCGCTGGACGAAGGAGACCGGCCTTGGTACAACAGCTGCAGGTTGCACGCGTCGACAGTCATGGTCTGGTCCGGGTCGCTCCTGATCAGGTCGCCGTGGCTGATATCGTTGGTCCAGGTGGCGCCGCTGTTCGCCTTGCCGGCAAAGGGGTTGCTCTCGGTCGCGGCCTGCGGGGTCCAGCTGCCGCCGAGGCTGGTGGCGGTGAAGGAGCGGAAGTAGCGGCCGTTGGCGCCGATTGCCTCGACGATCATGAGGTACTTGTTCATGCCCTTGACGGTGTAGACCTGGACGGCCTCGAAGAGGTTGTTGGAGGTGTCGCTCAGCACGACGGTGGAGGCGGAGCCGAAGCTGCCCGGGAAGTTGCCGATGGGCATGCTGGCGCGATAGATTTTGCCGTTGTCGCCGGCGAAGAAGAGGTACATGTTGGTGCTGTCGCCGATGACGGTCTGGTCGATGGGGCCGGTGCTGGAGCCGGAGATGGTGCCGGAGAAGAGGGGCTGCGCGGCGGACCAGCCGTTGGCGATGGTGGGGTCGCTCGCGGTCTTGTAGGAGAAGGCCGTGGGACCCCACTGGTAGGCCATGATCCAGATGTTCTTGGGGCGGAAGAAGAAGAGCGTCGGGGCGACGACGGACTGGGACATGGCGTTCTGGGAGGCTGAGGCCATCTGGGACCAGTCCGAGAAGGTGCCGAAGTTCATGGATCCCCACGTGCTCCCCGTGTCATGCGTCGTGGCATACACGAGGTGCTGCCCGTTGTAAGGGACCGCGGTGAAGTCCTTGAGAGCGACCCAGCCGGACTTGGGGTTCGCGAGGGAGCCGGTCGAGGTCCAGGAGTAGGTGGACGGGAGGTCGCACTGGGCGGCGACGCCCATGGCGGAGGCAAGGAAAGCGACGGTGTTTTGGAACTTCATGATGTCGGATTATGAGAGCAGAAAAGATCAGACGAAGAAAGAATGAGGCTGAATCCCTACTGATCCAAAGTTTGGTCCTGTGAAGGGATCACCAAGTATATATAAACCCGTTCATGTGCAGCTTACAGGACGGAAGACCGGCGATCCAAAACCAAGATCTGCCGCCATGCCGCCTCCACGTGGTCCGAATGCGAATAGTTGCATCGCGTAGCGGATAGAATACGAGAGACGCGAGGGTCTCATTTGTGCGCGAAAAAGATGTTTGTTGCGGATAAACAACATGGCTGAGCCCAGTAGCCTCATTGTTACCTCACTTTACCCGGGAGGCGACCGGGGCCCTCACTCGGGTCCAACGCGAGAAGATCGGATGGCACCGAAGAGCGGCCCCCGAGCCTCCGGCACCCGTTCCAGAACATTTCAGATCCATTATTGCATTCATCGGACGGCAGTTGAGCCCGTGTGACATCAGACTATGTAACGAAGCGCACGGCACTGATATCCGCGCTAATTGGGTTTTTTCATCCCCTTTTTTCCCCTTTTTGAACCTGCGGCCCCCCTCGCTCTAATAAGCATAACTAGACCACCCCGAATAGATTAAATATATTAACACAACTCCTTGATTCCGGGTTTGCGGCAAAAAACCACTCCATAATCGTCCAAATCCATTGACTCAATTGAGTAAGATAATCAAGATGAATCTCCACCAATTGCTATTGTCGGCGAGGGGACGCGAGGGGTCCGCACTCTTCGGGAGTTTTTGAGGCCCTGTGTATATTACTTCCCCAGACTTGGCACTTCCCACCGTGATTCTTGGCATGCAGGGCCGTCTCGCTTCATCGTCGTTCGTTTAAGCATTCGTTCATTGTTTTCAGTACATATCCGACCAATACAATGGTCCTCTTGAGCACGCTCATCGCCGTGGCAGGCCTGGGCGTCGTCGCTCGCGGCCAAATCACCGTCGATACAAGCTCCAAGCTGCAAAAGATTGACGGCTTCGGCTTCTCTCAGGCTTTTGGCCGTGCCAAAGAGTTCCAAAACGCCCCGTCAGCTCTCCAGCAGGAGGCGCTCGATCTGCTCTTCAGCACCGACAAGGGTGCTGGGTTCAGCATCATCCGCAACCGCATCGGCTCCGGCGGCAAGGGCGATAGCATCCTCCCCACGAGTCCCGGATCGCCGTCTGGCAAACCGACTTACTCCTGGGACGATGATGATAGCGGCCAGATCTGGTTCACGAAGCAGGCTGTCAGCTATGGCGTGAAGCAGATTTACGCCGACGCCTGGAGTGCCCCCGGGTTCATGAAGACCAGCGGCAACGAAGCCACGGCCGGGTCAGTTTCGGAACTTGCGGCATGCATTTGCTTGAGCGCATATGGCTGACATACTCTTACAGATATCTCTGCGGCACCACAGGTCATACCTGCTCCTCCGGCGACTGGCGACAGGCATATGCGGATTTCCTGGTTCAGTACGTCAAGTACTACCAACAAGCCGGCCTCAACGTGACCCATCTCGGCTTCCTCAACGAGCCTGACTTCTCGTAAGAACATCCTTTCCCCTCTTGTCTAAGCCTACAGGCTAATCACCGCACACAGCCCTAGCTACTCCCAGATGCAAATCAGCTTCAACGCCCAGGAGGCCATCTCCTTCATCCCCACGCTCTCCAAGGCCGTCCAGGTCGCCGGTCTCAGCACCAAACTCACTTGCTGCGACGCCGTCGGCTGGGGATCGACCGTCAAGTACACAAACGCCCTCGTCGCCGGCGGCATGGAGTCTTATCTCGGCCTCATCACCTCGCACACCTACTCGGGCGACGCCAACACGGCCCTCGACACTAAGCTCGCCTCCTGGGTCACCGAGTCCGGCATAACGAACCCCTTCGACCTGACCTGGTACAAGAACGGCGGCGCGACCGAGGGCATGACCTGGGCCAACAAGATCGCCGTCGGCATCATCAACGCCAAGCTGTCGGCGTACCTCTACTGGGAGGGCTTTGAGCTGAAGCAGCTGCAGTCCGACTCCCACCTCGTCGACACGCAGGACGGCAAGACCGCGACGCCGTCGGCCAACTTCTGGGCGTTTGCGATGTGGTCGCGGCACATCCGCCCCGGCGCGCAGAGGCTGGCGACGTCCGGCATGGTGGCGTCCGACGTGCTGACGGCCGCGGTGCAGAACGCGGACGGGTCGGTCGTGGTGGTGTTTACGAACAACGGCAGCGCTGCCAAGACCGCGAGCGTGTCGTTCAAGGGGTTCACGCCCAAGGCTGCGAGCGCGTGGGTTACGGACAACAGCCACAAGTTTGATACGACGCAGGCTACCGTCTCTGGTTCGGGAGTGTCGGTTTCGGTGCCGTCCAAGGGTGTCGTCACTGTCAAGTTGACTTGAGGAAGTTGAGGTTGTGGTATGATTGGGGAGGACCTCCATTCGTTTGCTTCTTGCTGTATATATTATGCATCTACTTTCTTCTGAGCATATTGACTTCTCTGTCTGGGCATGTGTACCAGAATGCAAATATCAAAGTTCTCAGTGCCTGGCGATTTCCCTCTTGACCTGCAACATTCAGCACAATCAACTAGGAATTTCCATGACATATACGTCTCGCTGGGCTCGACTCTATCGACCCCACCGCTCGAGAATCTCCCTCCTTCTCTCGCTTCTCTGTCGTGCCTTTCCTGCATCGACCCTCTCCACGCGCCCCTTGACCTTCTCCACCTCTTGTCCCAACACCGCAATGGACGCCTCAATGCCTTCGTCCACCAATCTGACATCTCCAAAGGGGCTTTCTGCCAGCAGACTGTCGCGCAAAAGCTGCACAGCGAGCTTGGCGTCCGCCAGCTGTGCTGCAGCTGTGCTCTCGAGCGACTCCTGGGCATTGCGTGCCACATCGCGCGCCTTGGCCTGTCTTTCGGCCAGGGTCCCGGACAGCAGAGCAATCTGGGTGGGGCCATCCGCGTCCTCGGGGAAAGCGATAGCCAAGGAGCGAAGGAGCGCCTCAATAGGTGGCTCGTCCAAGCCAGCGGAGAAACGACGGTTGCCGGTATTGGAGCGTTGGCGTATCGGGGAGCCGGGGCCGGTGTTGCGGCGGCGGACGGGTGAAGCCAGGTCCTGGGTGGGGGTCTTCTTCTTGGGCGTGGCCGCAGGGACGGACAACTCAGAACGAGCCGTGGAGACAAGATTAGTCGTGGCAGTCTGGTGCGATTGAAAAGTTTCGATACGAGCAGAGAGGCGCTCGATGTGGTCGAGCAGGTAGTCGAGGCACTCGTCGATCTAGTACGGTCAGATGCATACTTTCGGATACTTTCGGATGTACGGCGAGATTTCAGAAGACTTACGTAGACAACGGCTGCAGCCGATCGGCCAAGCGACTGTCCGTTCTTGTTCGACAGTGATTTCAGAGCAGGCTCCAGGTACTGTTGCTCGACGGACATCTGGGCGACAGGAAGGATTTCGGAATAGAGGGACTCCAGCTCATCCTGCAGAGACTTGACATCGTCAGAGGGGTTGGGAGTGGTCTCCCCGCGGTGAACGGAGCTGAGCGTCTCGAGGTAGAGGCGGTCAAGCTTTGTACGCATCGTTTCAACCGTGTACTTTATGAGTCTGCGACATGGTCAGTGAAATGTCTCAGAGGAGCAGGTACGAGAAATAGACCTCATGCAGATCTCCCGGAGCTTCTCAACGTTCTCGCGGTCCTCCGGGTCCTCTGTCTCCAGCTCCAGCCCCAGCTTGCGCAGACTGAGGAGAAGCTTATCGTCGGAGTGGAGCAGGCTGTCGAGCGTTTGCTGCAGACCGCTACCCGAGACCTTGCCCTGCTGTTCGAGATCAGAAGCCCTGTACTCTAGGGTCTGGGACAGCTCTTCAACCTGGGTTGGGTTAGCAGCGGTCGGGATAGAGGAGGGAGACAAACTCACCGAAGTCATCATCTTTCTTCGCTGAGAATCATGCTTCTGAGTCCGTTGATAGACGAGATCGGAGCGGGCCTCCTGGACCTTGGCATTGCTCTTGACAAGCTTGGCCAGCGCGTCTTGCTGCTGCTTCAGGGTCTCAGTCTGCTTCACTATGGCAGCAGTGGAGCGGTTGAGCTCGTCGATGGCTTTCTGAATCTCATGCTCGCTGAGGGCCTGGACGGCGGCGAGGTCCTGAGAAGCCACGAGCTTGTCGACCTGGCCGTATTTGTCGAGAGTCGAGTACCTAGAGTGCCATCCTGTGAGACACGGTTCCCTTGTGTGACGCGTTTGGCAGGATACTTACAGCGACAGCTCGTCTTTGGACAGGAGGTTGTCGGGGCCGAGGTGAAGACGCGCCCACTCTGTGAAAGCGGTGCCGTGCTCCGGATCGTCGAGGGCTGCCTGCAGAGTGTGTCTGTCAATGGCCATGCCATATCTGCGTGCGATGCTTTCCAAGGAGGAGGCATCCATGGTGACAATGGTGGCCTATAGATGCGACAAGTGTAATGGAAGACGGCGCTAGGCAGGTCGTATTCAAAATGAGCAACTTCTTGGAGGTTGCGATGGCGGCACGTGGTGAAAGTTCCGAGAGGAACGGAGGACGGGCCGTGCCTTGATGTCTGAGTTGTTGTGGCCAAGGGATGTGAATGGCTTCAGGCTGTGACTTGGGATAGTAGTAGGGGATGGTGGCTCGTTTCCTCAAGGGACGGCTGTAGCGAGCACACGGGATGCAGCTGTCCAATGACGGGAAACGGTTGAGTTTGTGGATTGATGCACGATCCAGAGAAGTCGACGTGCTTCCAAGTAATGGCTCCCGTTGGGTGTAGCCAGCCACGACGGCTCAGGATGCACACACCGCCGTCGCCGTGTGACGGCGGCCGGGAGACTCAGCTTGAGGTCTGCCCGTCCGTCACGTCTCGGCTCGGGTTGCTGTCTCCGTGGCTTGGGGGCCTGGGGTCAATCCGAGAGGCGGTTTTTCGGGAAGTCAGATATCGGATGAAAGAGACACCGAATACGGAAGATGCAAACTTGGACGGGATGATATCAGATCAAAAGCCGTGAGGATGTGGCGGGACACAAATGAGAGGCGCCGTTGAGTTGGTTGTGAAGTGCAAACAGAAACTCGATCGGCCAAGCAGAGTGAAGCAACCACCACCACTGAATGGAAGGGGCCCCACTGTGAGATATGACTAAGCCGAAAAGAGGAAAGGCCCCCACCGGCAGCTCGAGCCGACCAACGACAAGTCGCACTTCAACGGCTTCCCGTCTGCACGGACCCCAAACCGGCGCCCAACAGCAGCGGACCAATGATGAGGTACCTAACAGCTGCTGCCACTCTGCCACTGTCAAGCACTTACACGGCTCAGATCAACAACAACACCACCACCACCACCAACACTCTCTCACTCTCCATCAGCAGCCACCCGCGCAACTCACCCAGACAGACCCCCACTGCCAACCGATGGCCTGACCGCCCGCGGCATCGTGCATTTCAAGACGTCTGCACTGATCCCCTTTCTGCTCCGTGGCTCAGCTTCCGCCAACAAAGCAGTCGTCTATTTCGGTGCTCGTTTGCAGCAGGGGCCGCAGTGCCGTCCGCCCATCAGGTTGGATGCAGCCATGCAGCGGCAGCAGCATCAGACGGCAGCATCTCGATAGAGCACGTTTGGGGTTTCTTTCTACACATCATTTTTGACATATGCCACTCTCCACGTTAGCCACCCCCTTCATTGGGGTCCTTGGGGTCCTGTGCGAGATGAACGCTGCAGAAGGGGTGTTGCCCGATTTGGACACGCACACTGGACACACACACATACGAGACAACCCGGCACGGTCCGGAAGGATGCCTCTTCTTCTGTCCCTACTTTGCAGTCAAACAGATAATGGGTTCGCACAGTCTTTGATATCTGATATCTTGCGCATCGTCCCATAGGGAGCAGCATCGATCAACCCGCACTCTGCAGACCAAGGGTAGATCCGCCCTCGGCCTTCTTCCGAACCACAGAACGGCTCCATCACGGAAACCTCGTATGCTTGCTCCCATCTGAGCTCGCCACTGCCACTGTCCTGATGGAAAACTCACCTTGTAGGCTTTGCCCGTTTGTGCCCCATTCACCGCACACCACGCCTCCTCACCAGACCCCATCTTCCATCCCATCTCCTTCCTAACCAACATGGCCACCGGCATCTCCAGCCCACCGTGACGTGTCAAAGCTCAAATGTCACCAAGTCCTCCCGTTTCCGCCTCTCAACTCTGGTCCATGGGATATATACCGCCGTTGGTGACACCGCGGGAAGAGCAGCACCTTGTGTTCCGTGTGTCTCTCCATCTCTGTCTCTCACTCTCATTTCCCCCCACGGGGGCTTCTGCTGTTGCTGCTGCTGCTGCTACTGCTGATCGCTCTGCGTCGACATTATATCATTCGGGCCTTGTGACACCCTGCCTGTTGTTTCCCTCAAAATGGTCACAAACCTCCCTGCTCGCCGCGAGCGCCTGTCCTTCCCGGTCTTCTCCTGTCTCAGACATTTTACAGACAATGCCCTCGCTTCGTTCCATGCTCCCCGTTTGCCATCGCGAATGTTCAGAAGAGGTGACGACGACGACATCAGCTTCATATGGGGGAGTTGCTGGCGGTCGGTTGTGAGACGAGTTGGTGTTGTTGCCTGGGTTGGTGTGATTTACCTGACGAGCGAGCTGCTGGTATGGAGCCTGTCTCTGGCTCTCAGGCCGGTTGGGTTGCAGTTTCTGTCGTCCATCGCGGGCATGGCCTTGGTCTTCGCGGCAATGGTTGTCCTGCAGACTGTGTGCCCTGGCGCGGACGGATTCTATCATCGAAACATCAAGTCCAAGGTAAGCTGCGCCATTCTCGGCCGTAAACCACTCACTAACGCAGCCAGATTGACTTCATCAACAACAACCTCGGCGTCGCATTTCCAGTACCCATTGTCACCATCAGCCGACAGGATCTTCTCGGAGGCGCAGGCATCGGACGAGTCATCACCAACTTCGGTAGGTCTTCTTGCCAGTCTTGCTTTTCACAAACGCTAACCAACGTAGCCACCACGAATGTGATCTTCTGGACTCTGGCATTCCTCCTCTCTTGGGCGGTCTTGACGGGCATCGCGAGAGCGCCATCCCCCAAGACCTGGGTTTCCAAGAAGACCGAGGTCGATGTCGAGCAGCCCTGGCGCATCGACACCCCCACACCACGCCTCGAGCTCCCTCCGCAGACCAACAGCCGCAGACCGTCGGAGAGCACAACGCTGAACGGCACCACGATGACCGGATACCACACCGATAAGGAAGCGGGCTTGGCGCCGGACTCGAGGACCGTCTCCGCCTACTTCACCGACAGCGAATGCCCCACCCCGATCCCTCCGCCCCTCGACGGCGTCGACGAGCCGCAGAGAAGATTCTCCGAGAGCACTCAGACCTCGACTCGACAACCTCCTGAATGGATCGCATGGACCAGGGAGTGCTATCCCATCATCCTAGCCATCTTCTTTCTCGTGGCTATGGGTATCCCCATCTCACGATCGACTGGCGACGACCGCATCCTGGACGGCTGCATGCTCTGGCTCACCTGGATATCCAGCACCAGAGCCCAGCGCACCTTCGGACGCGGCCATCTCCTCGCCGCCTCTCCAGGCATCAAAACCACGGCCACGACACTGCTCAACCCCGTTCTCCTCACAACCCTCGCCATGACAGCATACACCCGCGCCAAGGCCGCCGCAACGCACACACCTGCCGACACCGTCCTCGCTGCGTTCAGTGGCGGCACGCCCCTTTCCGACCTCTGGACCGCCAAGACGACCGGGTGGTCCCTCCGGCCCGATCAACGCGACTGGTTCGGCGCCGGCGATGCCGCCCTCTCGATCCTCGAATGCGGCATCGTCGTCTGGGGTTTCAAGCTGTACGAGTGCCGGTGGCAGATATGGTCCCGCGCGGGTTTCGCAGTTGTGCTCATGTCGGCCGGCGTGGCAGGCTTGAACGTGTTCGTGTGCGTGTTGTTGGGTAGGGCGGTAGGCCTCAACGGCCCCGAGGCGTTTGCATTCGCGGCGAGGAGCACAACGCTTGCGCTCGCCAGGCCCGCGATGGAGGTTCTCGAGGGGAACCAGGTCGTGAACGCGGCCTTGGTGGTCAGCAACGGTATCCTCGGACAGCTCATGTACCCCTTTCTTTTGCGAAGACTTGGATTGGAGGGCCAGGAGAAGGACGAGGGCAGAGAGGAAGCGAAGGACAGCGCGCTTACCATTGCCGCGGGGACGGCGATTGGCATTAACGGAGCGGCTATGGGGGTCTCGTATCTCTATGAGAGGAAGAACAGGGCTGCACCTTACGCCGCGCTCTCCATGACAGTCTTTGGCATAATGACTGTCGTTTTCACCGCTGTTGACCCCTTCACGGGCATCCTGCTTCGCCTGGCTAGCTAGGAGGTAGTCAGTGGTTTCTGCAGATTGGGTTTAGGGTTGATGATTCATAACATTATGGGCGGCTTCCTCGTTACGCAGCATAGCATACTTTCAGCATCAGCAGCAGATAGACAAGGGAGGCATCTGTAATCGTTCAAACAGTCGAATGCGCGTGGTATTTTTTGGTGTACAGTCATGCCTGTATCAGCAAGTAGCATGCGAAAGTCAAATGGACTCGCTCCGGCCCAACAGAGCCGTATCGACAGCGCGGTTTCAACTTTTCGCCCCCGAATGCATACTCTCAATGCTATCAGCTCTTGTCATCACGATCTACTCCAGTCTGCGATTCACCGTTAGCTATTTTCTCCTTCGAGATGCTGTGAAGCCAATAGTCATACCTCTCAATCAAATGCAGTCCGCTTGCGGTCTCGACGATACCACTAATTTCGCCAGGGTTGAGACCAAAAGCAGCATCCTCAAACTCCTTTTGCATGTCACCCTTGCCGAAGTAACCCAGATCGCCCCTCTTACGGGCGCTGCTGCAGTCAGACTCGGTCAGGGCGAGCTCGCCGAGGGTGGTAGAGCCGGACTTGATCTTGTCCTCGTGGGCCTTGAGAATCTCGAGAGCGTCTTCCTTGCTGCGGGTGATTTCTGCCTCTCTCCAGCTCGATGGACGGCGGCTGCCCTTGTGCTTGACGAGCAGATGGGCGGCTCGAATCTTGCCCTCGGGAACGGGAACAGCTTGAGGCCTAGCGCCGAGGCCGGCGCTGTGGTGGGTAGCCATGTAGTGCTTCAACTTGTCCGTGTCGGTGCCTGCGGGAGGTTCCCAGCGGGAGACTTTGTCGGCGGCATTGAAGTAGTAGGGGAGGTTCTTGGAGTTGGAGTGTCGCACTTCCCAGCCAGGAGGGAGACCGGTGTCAGCCTGGGAGCATTGTTATGTCAGTCGACTGTTGGAATGGCACTGTCTTGGGAGCATGCATCTAGGCTCGGCCATGTTCCTGTCCAGCTCAACAAGGCGGCATGGTATACGGCAAGTACTATTGCGACCACAGCCGAGCTGAGATTGAGGCTGAAGGCGACGGCGGGAGAGGCAATGATCGAGCGGCGGAGAAGGAAGAGGAGGCAGATGCGGAGAAGGGCATGTCTGCGGGGACGGCACTGCTTACCATGGTTGCGTTGCGACGGGTGTTTACTGCGGAGATGCGATGCGGTAGGATTCGAAGCTGGCGGGGAGCTGTCGCGAACAAGGAACAACGGGACGAAGTACGATGGGGGTGGAATACGTGGACGAGACTGGAACTGGGGGGAAGGGGAGGAAGAAGAAGAGAAGAAGAAAAGGTTGCGATGGAGTTGAGAGCAAGGAACACGAGGGGGTGCAGCTGGAGTGTGGTGGTGTTGCCCTGTGTGCTGGGCTTGCTGCAACGGATGGATGTCCAGCAACTGAGGGACCTGAAGCTGGAGGATGACGTGCCGCTGCCGGGGTGACGGTTGGGAAAAAAATAGCGAAGGGGACAGCCTCCAGCAGGCTGCCAGGCTGGGACAGCTGGCCAACCAACGCGGTGCTTGGGGGCTGTGGGGAAGGAGGGGGCCACGGGGACACCTGGTGACCACAGAACAGGGGGCGGGGTTCCTAGAAGCTCAGGTGTTTCCTCCTGTCTTCCCCTGAAGGCGGGGGAAGAAGGCGCTGGAAGGAGGGGTTTGGCCACTGACTGAAACTTGTGTCCCCATTGGTGCAATACCCGCTTTATTCGTCGACCTTTAGTCAGCTTGGTCGCTGAAGCTTTGCGTAGCAAGTGCCTCTTGGATTGTCACTTGTCAGTCAACTCAGGGTTCCCTGTCCCAGGAACGCCGATCCATCTGATCAGATGAGATTTCAGGTTTCTTCAACACTCGGCAGCTGCTTGATATTGATGGTATTCAGAATGGGCCTTCCCAGCAGCGACCGGATAGGCTGCACAATATCGTGATGCTCCGAGGCCAAAATCAACAGAAAATGTCAGACGAGCTTAATGTTCAGGAATGCTGCCTTGCCTCACCTTCTTCAGCCTCATTCAGTGCAACACACCACCATCTCATCTGAGGTGTTTGCCTTATGACAGTAGTAACATAGAGGGAGACGTACTGGTGTTACGCCGAAGTGATTCATGTGCAAGTGATTCATGTATTCGTGTCCATGTGAACTCAGCCTCCAGGCCAGGAGACCAACTAGGTCAGCCGCCATTGCTGAAAGACAGTTCTGCGATGAGTCCTCAAAAGCAACGCTTGAGAGACAGATAATAATCAAAGAAGTCCTAAAAATCTACCTTTCTTATCTATTGCAAAACGTCTGATTAGAAACTCAATATCGGCCACTGATATTCTTTCCACCTCCTGCTGCCTGCCGGCATAAGAATTGTACACCGGGCCTCACCTCGGTGAAGTCGTGACTCAGCGAAAGCATCTGGCTGACCGCCGGCCCCACCATCGCCCCAGACGGAAGGCACCCGATTTTAGACCGCCCGTGCGCTACCGCCTTAATCTACTACCACCGCCCTCTTTACTTTTTCCCGTCCTCGCCTCACCTTCAACCGCGCATCACTTTCACCAACAACACCTTCGACGCGCCCTCTGCAGCCGACGATCGATCGACGATCCAAATACCTTACGCGACCTTTGTTGCGATAAATCTCTCACCCCGGCAACACACGTTCTACCCAACCGACACGATGGCCACCCCCATGTCGACGACCTCCCAGGAGGACTCGAGCAACAAGAAGCTCGAGCAAATCACCTTCCGCTTCTGCTCCGAGTGCTCCAACATGCTGTACCCCAAGGAGGATGAGGAGACCCATAAGCTGCAGTTCACCTGCCGTACCTGCCAATTCACCGAAGAGGCCCAGTCTACCTGCGTCTTCCGCAACGTTATGAACAACGCCGCCGGCGAGACTGCCGGAGTTACCCAGGATGTCGGCTCAGACCCTACTGTAGGTCACTCCCAGCCTGTCCTTGCCCCTGTTGTCTGCATCGAGTGCGGCCACGCCATCCTGTGCACTGGTTGTGGCAACCCCTCGGACGAGTTCGACGTCTCGGTCGTCTCCCAGCCCAACACCCCCAAGCACAAGAACATGGAAATCACCTGGGACGACTTGATGGAGATGGCCGAAGACGATGCCATGGATGAATACGACGAGGAGAAGGAGCCGACCGACGCTATCAACCAAGACTTTGCCAACATCAACCTTCACCACCATCAAAACCCCGCCCCCGCCGCGCAGCACGTCTCATGGCCTACCTTCCAACTCGCCGTCAACCAGTGATGGACATTTCACCTGAACATACAAACTACTTCTGGATGCCCCGGGCCTGGATGGTGCTGTGTTGGCTGTTGCAATGGATTCTGCTCCTTTTGGATTCGAGACCTCCTTTGTGAACAGCTGGCTGACCTTGCATCTCTCCGGATCTAGCTTCCACGATCGAACAAGGAATGCCCCGTCTGTAAGGGAGCCGAGGCCGTCTTCTTCCAGTCTCAACAGCGTAGCGCCGAGACTGGCATGGTAAGCCGATACCATTCTCTCGCCCAATGATGGACACTGGCTAACAGAAACCCAGAAATTGTTCTATGTTTGCTGCGATTGTGGTCACATTTTCCAGTGATGGATCGAACCTCATGATACCCAAAGGTTAGAACAGAGGAGGACGTGGTCTTGCATATTACGGAGTCGGAAGGCGTTAGCGGTGGAAAAGGCTTCGGGCCATGACTTTGTGTTTTCATAGTACAAATTTCCAAATTGATGCGTCCCAGTTGTGGACGTGGTATTCTCTCGGCATGTGACTCTCCCCGGCCGACTTATTTTGTGACTGTGAATGGTAGGTAGATGGAGATTGGTATCGACAGCCAACCCGTGAAACGCCGGCTCATGCATTCATATAGTACAACCCCAATGCTCTCCTTTTTCCCTGTACATGTACAACTTTCTACACCTCTTCCCGCTTCCCCTGTCAACCGCGACTCGTCTATGCGTGCATGGGGGCCATGGAGAGAATCTTGCTCCACTTCTTCTTTCTCAGTTCGGCGCCGACAACACCGTTGATGCGGGAGCCGACGGGGTCACCGGACTTGTTGATGAGGACGCAGGCATTGTCGTCGAAGCGGATGATGCTGCCATCGGGGCGGAGGGACTGCTGCTTGGTGCGGACGACGACGGCGTGGCGCATGTCACCACGCTTGACCTTGTTGGCGGCGGAAGAGCCAGCCATGCCACCATCACCGGCACCGCGGTGCTTCTGGACAACGACAACTATCCTGTCGCCTTTGCAACTGTTAGCGTTCGGGTTCGGGTCGTCGTGCGCGGGGCCAAGGACTTCTCGTACCGATGCGGGCGTGTCGCTTCTGGCCAACGACCATGGCGCACTCGACAAGGGCGGCGCCCGAGTTGTCGATGCATTGAAGCATCGTCTGGGGCATGTCAGTACTGGCTCCTACCGTAATTATACGTGTGGCTTCAAACAGACCTTTAATTGAATCATCTTGGCGGCAGAATCTGGAGTATGACGCTGATGACCAAATCTCCCCAAACAGTCGCTGCACCTGAAGCTATCTCGACAAAGTGGAACTGCAAAGTTGAAAATGCGGCCGGACAGCGGCGTTAGGTAATCCCGATGTAGCCAATGGGCGGGGGTTGCGGCGGGATGCACCGTGGGCGCTGCGGCGACGGGATGGGGTAGCGAGGTGCAGCTTGATTGGCTGACATAACCCGTCTCTTCCTTCCAAACCAAGGTGGTCAGTGCTACTATTTTGACGTCTCAGCTGTTCCGCGTGGGGCCAGTCGACGATAATTGCCTAGCCACTCGGGTTTGCGGGATTTGATTGGGCAAAGGACACTGCCAACCCCGGTAAGGCGCAATCCAATGTTTCCCTTTGCTGTTCCATCCTTCCTTCCTCCCCTGGAATCTGTCCAGTCCAATCCAGTCTGGTCCTTCCAACTAAGAACCTGGAAGTACCTACCTTACCACACACCGTCTGGCTCTCTCTGCCATTGACGTTGGCGTTTTGGCATTGACATTGCCCGGCGACGATAGGATACTAATTCACACAAAGAAAGGGGAGCGCAGTACAGGAGACAGGGACACACCAGCGAAACCCGCCTGACGACAAAGACAACGACGACGACGACGACACCGAAGAAGAAGACGACTACCCGACGACTAGAGAAGGGGCTGAATCAAGGACAGCGACTGCCACACTCAGGTCCATCCAGCCTCACCCTCACCTCATTCTCATCACCTCTCTGTGTCTCGGCTTCTCATTTTCCTCTCTCTCTTCTCCTCCTCCTCAAGCAAGCACACGTACGCATTACCTGCTGCTGTACGCATTGCCCGTCTCATTGAGGAGGCCGTTCCTCTGTCCTATCTCTGGCCGCTGTTCTTTGTTCAGTCGTTGTTGAAGCCATTCCCTTACCTGATCTCCGCTCCTTCCCAACCCGCAACACCCCGGCCGCCGTTATTTGTTTTTGCTGCATCTGCGTATTGCGGGCTGCCGACTGCACCTCTTTCAATCTTACCCCGGCACCGCAGTGCAGCGCATTAATCTCAAATCTCCACCCAACACAACATTGGGATTTGTTTATGCCCCCTTTGAACCCGAGAGATATGACGACACCCGGCCTGAGCTGACCTTTCGACCACCTCTCTACCCTACCTACCTACCTAACGCAGCGGTACCTCAACTCACTCCGCGCACCTGTGCGTCTTTTCCCGGCCTGGGGACAACAACCTTCTTCCTGGCATCGCACATCCACAACCACAACCCGCTTGCGTTTCTGATCTTAGCGGCCAATCTTCCTTGCGACAACACCTCACCCCAGTCCGCCACTCTGTCACCAGGTACTGTCGTCGTCAGCTCACGATATTCGATCGACCCGAATTCGTCCTCGTGCGCTCTGCTCTGCTTTGCGTGGGCTGTCGAAGGGAGCCCAACGTCGACCTTGGCCCTTCGTCCACTCCTTGCGCTGTGCTCTGTGCTCTGTGCGCCGCCGACGCCGACTTTGACGCTGGTCCCTGGATCCCCCGACACTCGTTTAGCCTTTTCAGCTCCCACCGCAAATCCTTCTTTCATATTGCGCTGGAGCTGACTTTGCGACGACCTCAAGATGCCGCCCTCTGCTGCGTCCAAGAAGCAGAAGCAAGCCCTTACTTTGGCCCAACTCGCCTCCTACGACGACTTTCTGACAGATGCCCTCGTTGACCATGTACGACCTTGATTCCGTCGCTGCAGCCCCTCCGCTCCTGCTGGGCGGCGCAGCCACGTATCCTGCTTTGGCGTAATGAGGCTGACCTTTTGTACAGGCATTCTACTGGACCACAATCCCCAAGAACCGCAATGGCTACCACCCGTCCCGAGGAATCCGCGAGGAGGAAATCACTCAAATCATTCAGTCCGAGATTGTCGTCAACAAAGACCTCGAGGCCGCCGAGCGCAAACTGCTAGCCACCGATGGCTTTCGCAAGTTCTTCAATGCCCTCAAGACAGACAAGGCCAAGGATGATTTCAAGCGCCACATGCGTCGCTATACCCAGGTCTACCTTCCCGACTGTCCTTTCGAAGTCAACTCCACCAATCGCTACACCATCGTGTCGCACGAGGCTGCCATCACCGCTCGACGCTTCATCAGGAGGAACGAGAACATCAAGTACCTTGCCGGAACCCAGGTCAACATCTCTCCCGAAGAGGAGCGGGAAATGACTGCCCGCAAGAAGGACTTCAGCATCATTATCTCCTCACGGAGTAAATGCGCCAGCTTGTTCATGGGCCCTGCGCGATTCGCGAACCACGATTGCGGTGCCAATGCGAAGCTGATGACTACGGGTACAGCCGGCATCGAGATTATTGCGACGAGGAACATTGAGGCCGGAGAGGAAATTACCGTCACGTACGCTGAGAACTACTTTGGAGAGGACAACTGCGAATGCCTCTGCAGAACCTGCGAGAACAAATGTGTCAACGGTTGGGCGCCTGCTGAGGGGCAAGTGATGGTTAAGAAGAGCATTGAGGAGTCACTGATGGACGGCTACTCTTTGCGCCGACGGAGGAGAGACGACAGCAGCGGTCCTTCATCCCGGACCCCTTCCGTTACTCCCGACATCCGTCCACGGGTCTCCAAATCTCGACTGAGAGGAGGAAAGTCTGCGCGAGATTCTTTGGCGGTCGACTCGCCAATGTCTGATGCGCTGTCGCCGAACAAGAAACGATCACTGGACTCGCTTGTCACACCACCCATCACTCCGTCAAAAAGGCGCAAGCTCTCCGCAACACAATCTGCACCTGCCCCCACCGAACATGTCAGCTCTAGAGACAGCTCGGCCTCCGAGTCTGTGCGCAGCATGTCTCTGACGAGCGGCTCTAACGAAGACGGCTCGGTCACAGATATCACAGAACCGGAGAAGGATACACCGGAGCCGACCCAGGCACGAAAGGCGGAATTGGTGAAGGAGGAGGATTGTGAGGAGTTGACGGAGCAGGTCTTGGCCCAGGCTGCGCCATTCTCTTCTCAACGGCTGGTGAAGACGGCTTCTACGGCATCGGTCGAAACGTCTAGTTCGACACGAGAAGCTTCCGTCGCAACGACTCGGTCGATACCCATATCGTCCTTGTGTGATCCTCCGCCGCCGCCATCCGCGTCTTCTATGCGAGATACGTCAGTCGCTAGAGCCATGGCGTTTTCGAGTGACGCTGTCTCCTCCACGGCCAGACCCGTTATGAGCATCGCGGCCGCCATGTGTGAGAATATCAGCCCAAGACGAGTGGCAATGTCAGACGCTAGCATCTCTGGCAGAAACAGTTTGAAGATTATGCAGGTGGAGAGAATGGTGTCAACAAAAGAGCCGCTTACAAGCCCCCGCCATTTCGTGCAGGAAGCGTCAACTGTTGAGGCCTTGACGTCAATTGAGCAGGACGCACCGATCATTCGCAGCTCCGAGACGGTGCAGAGCTTGAAGGTCGAAGCACCGACGTCGACAGAGAATCCTGCGCCGATCATGGACAATATCAAAGTCTGTGCGGTGGTTGATGAGACGATGGAGGCTGCTGACCAACCGCCCCTGAAGAAGCGCAAGTACCAACGGCGCACCTTCATCAAAGAGACAACACCACCCGCGAAAACCCGAACGCCCGGCGATTACACGCTAACGCCGCTGCTGCTCTCTGAGCCGCAGACAGCTTGGGTACGCTGCATGAACTGCGAGACGGCCTTTGTGCAGCAGAACGCCTACTATACCAAGAGCTCGTGTCCGCGTTGCGAGAGGCATTCCAAGCTCTACGGGTACATATGGCCAAAGACGGAGAGAGCTGGACCCCGCGATAAGGAGGAGCGCATTCTTGATCACCGCCTCATCCATCGGTTCCTGGGACGCGACGACGAGGCGCGCATCCGCGGCCGAAAGAGACCTACCACAGGAGCGCCATCAGAGGCAGGCGAGGAAGACGCGGGGTCGGAAGCCGGTGGCAAGGCGACGCCCAAGTACAGAATTGGAAACAGGCGCCAGAGAGCCGCAGACGAAGATTCCGGGGAAGCTGAAGACACAACCGGGTTGAGACGGAGCGGTCGGATGCGCAAGGCTAGCATCAAAGTGGCAGGCGAGTGACCAACCGGAGTGGTCCGGCACCAAGCCGAAAGGACCTCTTACGGCCCTGGGCGCAAATCGTGCCCCTTTGTTTTCTCGGGAGCAGAAACAAACGAGAGACGGATTTATTATTGGAACATGAGGGGACTGCCTTGAGCGGGAAGGCGGTCTCATGTTCTCGTTGCGGATTGTACATCATCAACTTTTGATTTTTGCTATGCATGCATAACCTGCACAGGTGTTGCGTATATACCTTACATACGACATTGATATCTTTTTACGGGGTTCTTCAGTCTGTGTGTACCACTGCGATCTGCAGGGCAGTGGACGGACAGAGACGAGAGAGGCACAGGGCACACATCTGTTTGGCGTTGCGTTGAGAGACAACATTCCAGCCGTCTGTCTTGGCTGGACTGGGCTGGAGTTTTTTAGCTCTAGATAAGGAGGTATCGATGGCACACACACACACCTTTACGAGTCTCGGTCTGCACTCTCGCCCGCAAACGAGTGAGAGTCGAGGGAGTTTGGTGAGGCGAAGTGAGCCAAGGGGAGAGAATTGATGAGCTATTACAGACATATTTCCTGCATGCCATGCCCGTCCGCTTCCAGTATTTGTTTTTTTTTTTCTCTCTTCCCCCTCCGACCCCAACTGTCGGAACCGGGCATTTGGGCATTTGACCAAGTTGCCTCCTGCTGCTGCTGCTTTTTCTTATCTGCGTCTGCGGCCTGCATCTCACGGAAGTTCTTGGTGATGGTTTCGGTCGGCGACCGAAAGCGACTGACTGCTGTCCAGACACTACTCACCTCCGACATTTTGGCATAGACACACACGGCGTGCCCACCCACCCACCTCACACTCATTTGACACCGCACACATACATACACATACAACACACAATCCCCTCTCCCCCGCGCTGTGGACTCGAGCGACTGCATAAAAACGGTCCTGTCGCGAACGGTGCGTCGCTAGCCAACAACCAACCTGCGCTAGAACCCAGCAAACGCTATCCTGCTAGTTTCCCCTGCCCTGCTTGTCATAAAGCTCGAGCACACCACTACCGAACCACCGGCTCACCGACTTATATCTCTTGGCTCCCCTCTCATCACCTATTCTCTCTTCCCCCGTCTGGGATCCTTAAGAGGAGGAACCCCCAAAGTCTTTGCACTTCTTCGCCGCCATCCAAGCCTGCCCAATTGTTCGGGCCGGTCATCCAACATGTCAACAGAGACTTTCACACAAAAGAGTCTCCTCAATGCCGGCCTTTCGGGGCCCCAGAACTACTACTACTACTACTCCGAGCCACAACAACATCACCACCTATACCACCCGGCACCAAGGCTTTCTGCGCTGGCCTCTCCACATCTCTCGGCCACGCGAGCGCAGGCTAAGCAAGCCAAGCTCTCCTCTAGGCGGTCAACAACATCGTCGAGCATGACCCGGCAACAACGCCGAGCATCGCAACAGCTTCAACCACAACCGCTTCACCCCCTGACCACACTCGTTGCCGTCGTTTTCGACTTCTTCCTACGGGGCATCTTGGACCTCACCTGGCCGCTGCGGGAACTGTGCAGGATGTTTGTGAGGGGGGTCTTTGCCAGCCTGTGCTGGGCATATCACGCATTGCCGCTGCCGCTTGCCATGGGTCTGCTCTACTTTGGGTTCCAGAGCGTGCCAGACGCATTCCGCAGTGTCGAGGAGCTGAGGGCCGTCTACAGCAACCGCCAGTTCTCCGTCATGGGCAGCAGCAGCGATGCATCCGGTATGGACGGACTCTACGCTCTGGGAGAGCTCGCACTCGTGCGATGGGGAGATTTGGGAGTGTCGTCGGTAAGTTCCAGAGCCCTGACATCATTTTACTTTGGTTTGTGTGTGTGTTCTTTTTTTCTTTTCTTGGCTTCGAAATGCGTCCCATGTTTTGGAACGATTCGAAGCAGAGAAAAGCCAAAGAGAACCCTCCACCAAACACATTTCACACATACACAAGAAAAAGTGACGAGGCTGACGGGTGTGGCCCAGGCGTTCTACTGTCTCGCTATGATGACCGCGGCGTATGCGGTAATGCTCCTTATTGAGATGCGCGACTACGTCCGCGACACCTGGGCGCTGATCCGGGACGAAGCTCTCGAGGTCAAGGCGCTGCGAGCGGACGAGTAGAGCTGGTTTCCCGAAAGGGCCTAGCTCTTCGTTCGTGGTCTGTCTGTGGTCCGATATCATCTCGGTCGCATTCAGTGTGGTATTAATTGTTTTATTATTTGCTATTTGGCGCGGTTGGTCGAATGGGTGACGGGAAAAGAGATGGGCGATCGAAAGCGATGAACGAAACGAGAGAGGAACTTGCGGTCGGGTTTTCTCAATCCAACCCAGTCCCCTTTCTGTTCCTCGTACTCTTCTTTTCCCTCTACTCCTTACGATCGTCATCCTCTCACTTGGGGGATAAGCAGGCGGCGTCGAGCGGCGTAAAAGTCTAAAAAGTTCCGCGCGGCGCTTTGGGCAAGAGTTTCGTTCTCTTGGCGTTTTGGGCATTTATTTTCGGATCATCGGACGAGAAAGAGAAACGGCGTCATTCTTCCTCAGCAGGAAAAAAGGGAACAAGATTCGGAACGAATGGAATGGATGTGTGAAAGACTTGATGAGGGGCCGACAGCCGAAAGCGACGGGCTGGCCGTGGGATACGGGAACGCATACAATTCTTGATGATAATGATACAATACTTAATGAATAAGACACAAGCTGTACACCACCATCTCCGATCCCTCGTCTCTTGGGGTTTGGGGGCTGGATGGTTGTACACAAATCAATTCTTTCTCTGCGCAAAAACCAAAGATCCCCGTTCTCCCGTTCTGCCCACTGCGATACGCCAATTGTTTGCTTACACGTCTTATCGTCTACTCGGACTCGCTGGTGGAGTGACAGCTGCTGAGTGCTGATGCCCCTGCTGCAGGTTTGGTTTGCACGCTCTGCTGCAACCAACAGGCCCCCAAGACGACCAGTCATTGGACGCCACAGCTCGCCTCGGTCGCGATTCACCATCACCCCGGTCTTCCCTTGCTTCTTTTGGCTGATTGATTGTCCTGGTTCTGGTGTTTTCCCCGCAATTATTCTTCGACCCGACACCTCACCTGCAGCAACAGGCTGAAAGGGAAAGGGCATTGGCTGAGGCCCTGCGGCAGAGTGTCAAAGGCGTTTGCTGCCCATTGCCATCCTCCTGCAGCTCCCTTCTTCATGCAAGCAGCAGAGCCAAGATGGAATCGCACGACTGGATTGATTAACACTGACTGGCTGTGACCGTCCTGGATCGATCGGCTGACTGGCTGACGGGCTGGCTGACGCTCCCGTTTTCCCTCCCGGACCTCCAACAAACCTCCGCCCTACCATCCCCTACCCCAAGCGTTCACCTCCTCCTCCTCCTCCTCCAGCTGGCGTTTTGAGTCTCCCAAACCGACGGACTCGGGCGAAACGAGCGGCACCCCGTCGCCCACACTTCCCCGGGTGCCACAAGAGGCAACCACGCAACGCCAGGTCTCTCTCTCTTTCCGAGTACCGTCCAATGGCGAGGCACCCCGGCACGGACTCGGTGTACGGTCTTGGGTTGAAGGCTGGCTGATGCCAGGTTCGCGGTGCTGCCTGTCCGTGGTGGGAACGCTCTTTTGGACCCCACGTGCTGCGGCGGTCGCAGCTGAGGCACCACGGTGAGGCGGCAAGCAAGGGCAAGGCAGATCTTGTCGTGGTTTTGCCCGTTTTGAACAGAGTTCTTCTTGGCAGGCCTTGGGGGTTTCTCTTCTCTGGCCCCTTCGCTCTCTCTCTCTGCCTGGACTTGGGATGTGCGTGTGTGCGGCGCCGTTACGAAGTTTGCTATAAGGCTGGCGCTGCTGCGCGCGTCTGACCTACTTCCCCCCACCCACCCATCATCCAGACACAATCATATGTCTGCTGTTGGCTGATCCATCTCGAGGATTGTTTGCCTGTTGCCTCCAACCTACATGGGCATGGCTGACCCTGCCTGACCCCGCGATTCATGTTTGGCCATTCCGTTCCATGTCTGATTCTTGTTCTTAAGCCGCTTTCCGAAAGTCTGATTCCTGCTTCTTTTCCCCCCTTTCTCTTTTCCTCTTGACACTGTGTTGCTGAGAGCTTATTTGAATCATTTGACCTGGTCTTTTTTTCCCGTCGATTACCGAGCGCGCGGGGAATTCTTCGACGCTGGGTTCAGGAACGTCGCAGGGAGAAAGTGATCTATTGAGACAACACCTGGTTTCGATTCCTACATTCCGGGGCGGTTGTTCATCACTGCACATCACCGATCGGATTTGATTTTGAATGTTTTGTTTCTCCCGGGGAACACCGAGCTGAGAAAAGTCCCGCCAAGATGTTGAGAATGTTTGCCGGCATGGACGGGTTCGGGAGTATGCTGTTGGTGGTCATCGTGCTGATGGTCCTGGCGGTCGGGGCCTCCACCTTCAACTATGTGAGTTCCCAGACAGAAGCCTTCTTTGGTTCTTGGCATGCCATGTGTGTCTGTGTGTGTATATGTTTTTGTTTCCGCCGCGGCATGCTGACCACTGTCTCGGGTAGATCTTGACGTCAGGAAAGAGCAAGGAGGTTGATTTCGAGGGAGAGGACGACTCTACCTACGCCTTTTACGCTTCCAAACGGAAGAGAGCTTCCAGTCAGGTCTCCGTGCGGCTTTGAGAGGGTTCCCTTTTTGCTGAGACTGTGGCAGGTGTGAAGCGGGTGACTTTTGACATTTGACAAAGTCGACTGTGAACCTTCTCGCCGAAGCGAATGCGGCACGTAGACGAGGACGGCCATGAGACGAATTTGGACTTTCAGAGGAAATTTCGCTCGAGAGTATCGACGTATTATCGACGGAGACGGCGAACCATGTTCGCGAGCTGCCCCAGCCGAACAGGGACAGAGACTGATGACCACGGGGTTGATATGAACCGGGTCCGCGACGAAAGCAGGAGGTGCAGCCAGGTATTTTTATTGCATGTCTCGGTGCCAAACGATGTACGAGTTCTCGAAGCAAAAGGTATTTGGCGATGGCATTGATGAGGGAAGCTTCTCAAAGGTTGCGATGTTGAGTATACCAAAACCGCCAAGCGCTGCATGACAGCATGGGCAGCCACATTGCATGGCTCGATCGAGGTGGAGTGATTTATGGGTATGGTCTAAGAATCAATCGGTTTGCGGGTTTGCTTTGTATCTTTCTTGCACTTGTATATTCATTGCATACCTAGGTTGTCGATGGCGAGGTCGTTGTCGTCGACTTTTCCTTGAAAAGACCCCAGTCAAATGTGGGCTATGGAGTCTGAATATAACTTGAAGCGTTCTTTCTTGGGTATTTAGCAAAGCACAAGATTTTGTCACAAACACTACACATCTTTCCATCTCCTTCATGGTGTCAAATGTGTTAGGTGAGTCGGTCGCTGCTCTATGGCTTAGTGAACTGCACGTTGAGAGGTTTTGATGTAACGCGAACACAACAATACATTTATGCTATAGAAATCAACACAGACACAATCAGATTGTATTGGTGGTTTCGGCTGTTCAGATCCGTAGTATCCAATTTGGGAGAGTTCAGGACGCCGGTCAAGAGTATACGAGACCTACTGCATCGTAGATGGGCCTTTTAGAGACGTCGACGAGGGTTGAATCACGAAATCAAAGACATTATGATTGACTATCTATGAGTAACTGGAACAGAATTATGATCATGGTGTCAATCCCACAGTGTCCACACTAACATAATTGCTCGTCGCTCCAGAGCGATTAATAGTCTGGTCATCCGCCTCGTTGAAGCAGCAAATCATGAGCAGGTGGCGAGCACAGCGGCTCTTCTAGGTTCCCTGCCTCGTCAGTTGACCGTCGTCTAAAGTCGGGGCCTGCATCGCTTGCCACATAGTTGAAGTTGACATGAGGCTCTCCGGTGATTCGACCTCCCGGCGAACGACGTTGGCAAGCCACATGAAAGTGGGACAACCCTCACCAGAGCCTAAAGAATCTCTGTTAGTGTAAGTGCGGTTTGCGTGTGCATGACTATCTAGATGTACTGCACGCCCTGATTGACGTCAGTGATGCCTCCAAATGCATTGAATTGGTGGGATCTTGATGAACAGCACTGACTCGAGTGACACTGAGAGATGCTGCAGGTAACGACGAAGATGGGGGCCTGTGCCTGGCGCAGTTGACAGCGCTGCCAGGGGTTTTGGGCGGCTGCGCATTCGGCGTTTATGCTTAACGCTGAGCGGCCCTGTAATCCGGGATAGCCGAGCGATTATTTCTCCTGTTTTCTCGACGAAGGATGCAACGCGGTGCGGCGGGCTGGCGTCCCTGACCCTGGGGGCTGTGGCTGAGCGTAGATCATCGCCAGCCGGGCGACGCCGTTCCAGCGTGACTTTCTTTCGCGCAGTGGCTGTGAAGGAGGATCGGTAGGCAGACACTGGGAGGCACAAAGTGACATCACACCATGGGAGAATTGTACATTTAAATGTTGAGGGGTCCGCCGGTCCAACACCGAGGATCTGGCTTGATTGTTGATTGACATCCAATCTCGGTCGAGCGAACCCGATTGTTCGTACAACAACCCCCAAAACCAAGAAAACATGCCCATCACAAAGCCCCTGCCGGACGCCCCCGCAGATGAGGCCCCGCCGCCGTACCAAGAGAAACCATCCGGCAGTCCGGCGCCGGTGAACACCGGAAGCCCACCACCGGCGGGGAGCCCGGGGCCTTCCGCGCCGCCGGGCCAGGTCGCGCGCCAGTTCCCTCCGATGTTCAATGTCTATTCGCAAAGCTTCACCCGCACAATGCTCCTGGGCGAGCACCAAAACCAACCCTTCTACGCAATGTCAATCCACAGCGGCCTGAGCAGTTCGCCGCCAATCGTGCTGCACTCGGGACCGAGCAACACCCACCCTCCCCTTGCGTCGGTCGAGTTCCACAGCTTCAGCAGCAGGATGAGCATCACGCTGCCCCCGGCGCCAAAGGGCAGTCCGGGAGGCGCACCCATTATCGAGCTCGAGTCTCGCGCCGACTTTCCAAGTTACAGATACGTCTTCTCCATGGGCGTGGGCCCCAACTGCGAGAGGCTGGAGCAATTTGAATGGCGGACGAGTTCTGGCGAGGCAATTGGCATTCTGGACGGTAGAAGCAGAGGACACAAGTTAGTACGGCTGTCTCAGACCGTCCCAGCCAATGCACCGCCCGGTGTGTTCAGAGGAGGCGACGGCAAGGAGGTTGTCGCGGCCTGGACAAACGCCCACACGAGCATGACCAAGGCCGCCAAATTCGCCTTCATGGGTAGCGGTTTGACAGGAGAGCTGGGCGAGCGCTGGGCAATCATGGCCGCCATATCCGGTCTGGCTATATTTGAGCGCGAGAGGCAGCGAAGGCGCAGAAACGCTTAGCATCCCGCGCGCGCGCATATAAGTACTTGGGTGGCGGCTTGGGGATTGCATCTGCATTTTGGAGTCTTGGCTTCAATTTGGCGCTTCATGGATGCACGATTGATTGCTGGCATGTTGACGAACTGTTTCGTTTTGTTTTTTGATACCCGCATCTTTAGACGAACATGAATACCAATGAGCAGATAAGCTCAATACTTGCAAGACAATGACTCGGAAAGTTCTGCGCTCTGTCGCTTTGTGCCGTTTGATGGCGCTCTGTCTTGACTGTCTAAGCCTACCTTGTCGGTTTCTACGAAGGGGTTGCCGTCAGGGGGGAATATTCTGCGTGCTTCAGGTTGAGTGAAGCTGCCACCTCTTGTTGAAGTCGAGTCAGGGGCAGAACACAGAGGCCGAGGGATCTCAACCTCTGTGAACCACAGGAACCAACATTGGACTCGGCCGAAAAAAAGACACAATGAAGGTAAAAGCCAAGCTTCGCGCTTCCAGTCGAGATCTCATCCCCACGAAGGCACCCCAGCATCACATCATGAAAAGTCGTGAGAGTGGACTGTGTGCTGGAGACGGTTGGATACCCAGGCGAGGATTTCCATATGATCGGCGATGTTTTGTGCATTTCAGGGGTGGACTGATCGGGCAGAACAGTTGGGAGGCCCCTGCAAGACATCTGGTGGGTGGTGCAACGCCGATGTGAAGTTGCAACGAGGGGGGGCCCAGCAACCTGGCCGCGGTGGAGAAGCGAAAAGACGTGCGTGATGTGCGGTGAAGCGCTGGGCTGGGATGAGAGAGATTTGACGGGGTTGAAAGATGGGATGGAGTGACGGGGATGGGCCGGCGAGGACGCCACTTGGGAGGGCCCAGCGGCTGGCAAACGGCACGGCGCTCCGAAGAACATTGATGACTTTGCAGTCCTTTTGAAATGAAGTCTTTGCAGAGAGGAGGAATTGTCGGTGATGACGACGGTTTCAAAACGTCTCTTTGCATTGAGAGATACATTAGGCGCCGGGCGCCAACGTCGTCATGGCGCTGGACCAACATCACTTGCATCGTGGAGTGGGCACGGGAAGTCTATCTACTATTAGGAAGGGCAGCATAGCGTCGAATTTTGAATGACGAATAACGATACGCGGTGGGTTGCGGGCAGTGGGCAGTGGACAGCGGGCTGTGGCGTACTTTAAATCAATCTCGCATCGAAGAATCCTTTTTCTTCTAGGCTGACGGATCACCGGCTCAGCAGAGGAATCAAGCGTAATTTTGAGTCCCATCAGCCTAGGCGGATAGCAGTCCATGTTACCGTAACTTGGGCTTCGGATAACCACCGCTCGGCCCACGAGGCTCCATCAACATCCATCTGTTGGATTCTTTTGGGTCTTCCGAGAGAGCTCATGTCCGAAGTTGGTGAGTCGACGGGCGGTAGAAAATCAATAGAAGCAACTCGGGACCAACGGCAGCGAGGCCAGGCGAGATTCGAGAAGCCTCGGATCCATAACTCTTTTCCCTAGTTTAAGCCTATGTCCGGAATGGGGGCACACCAGACCCAGCAGGCCCAGCAGGCCCAGCCAGGCTAGCCGGTCTAGCCAGCCGAGCTCCCCTTCCTGCAGAGATAACCACCTGAGGCCTGCGTTGTTGGTGTTTGCCCTGCTCAGAGATTATTGTAATGAGATCAGGAGGAAGGAGTCGACGAGCCTGGACGCGCTCAGGTCAAGTTGTTGGCGGCAAAGTCTCGATTGGTGGAACGGGGGCGAAAGCAGGCTGCTGTCTGCAGGGGGAAGAGCAGTTTTTGAGCAGCAAGCTGCCCGCGCGATGCCCCTTGAGGCTCCGCAGCAGCGGCCAGCCACATGGAGGTCAGCCTCTATTGGGAGATGGCGCGTAGAATGTTGATTAAAGATGCGGAAACTGCAGGGCGAATCTGGCGATAATTAAGAAAGGAGAGGGTCAGGACTTGGCGGTTTCAGGGTGGCCGCCGGGATCAAGCGGAGGCCTGACCGGGGGTTGACCGGGGGGCGACGGCTACACGACCAATCGGCACGGCCAGCGAAGGCCGGGGTGGGGGATAGACACCCTGCGGCCCCGGTCACCCCGGCCGGTGATCCTGGTCGGTCGTCCAGTCATCCCATGTCCTGTCGAGGGGCTGCTGTCTCATCCATTTTTTACATGTCAACCCCAACTCAGCAAACTCACATTGCTTCTGCTGCCCAGTGTCAACCACCATCATGACTACACAGACTACAAGTCACTTACACGCACCATCTCTGCTAGTGTGTATCCGCACCTTGTCCACCTACTATGCTTCACACACACTCCCGCGTAAGCGCAGTCGGCACTCGCCTGTCTGCCCCCTCTCCTCGGCCTAGCCCCTCCCCAATCCCAGCTGCGTGGATGCGCCCAGAAGATGGCTTCATCCCCCTTTCGCGTGTCTAACGCCAAAGCTGAGACCTGGCCTTGCAGTTTGCATTCACCTCTCGCAGTGAAGCGGTTAATCAACCACCCACATCCCATGATCCTGGCTTGACTCCCGCATACGCGAGATCCTCCCCCTCCCCATGTTCCTCTCCTCTCTCCACCAGCCTGGCCGAATATGATTGTCCTGCGTATAATTGAAACTTTGGCGGAGCGGCGGGAATGACCCTTTCAATCTTGACCCGATGTATGCGAACGCCCTGGACTCTCAACGGCCCAAGTGACCATCTTGGGAACAGGGCGACGATGCCTTCCCGCATATATCATCGCCGTCTCCCAACCATCACCAGTCCTGGTTCTACCTTCTTTCGATCCATAGTGTTCAGCTTCACTTGACCTGTGATTCTATCTCATTCCTTCGTTCAGATTCGTCATTCTTTTCACTTGACCAGGTAGTCATTCATTTTCGGTCTCAGACCTCACAACTCTCATTTCCAAACTACCCAGATATTCTCACAGTCAAGCCACAGGCACCTTTTGATCAACTCTCAAAAACCAACCCACAACAAATTCGCCAAAATGAAGTACACTGTCGCCTCCCTTCTTGGATCCGCAGCCCTGGTGGCTGCCCACGGTTACGTCGAGAACGCTACGATCGGCGGTGAAGCCTACACCTTCTACCAGCCCTACCAGGACCCCTACACGAGCCCTGCCCCCGAGCGCGTCTCTCGTGCCATCCAGGGCAACGGCCCCGTTGAGGACCTCACCAGCATCGACATCCAGTGCGGTGGCTACTCCGCCGGTGGTGTCAAGGGCTCTTCTCCCGCCAAGCTCGAGGCCAAGGCCGCCGCCGGCTCCGAGGTCACCCTCAACTGGACCCTCTGGCCCGACTCCCACATCGGCCCTACCATCACCTACATGGCCAAGTGCCCCGACGCCGGCTGCACCGACTACCTCCCCGGCACCGACGCCGTCTGGTTCAAGGTTCAGGAGGATGGCCGTGATGGTACCTCCAACACCTGGGGTGCTACTCCTCTCATGAAGGCTGGCAACTCTGGCGTCAAGTACACCATCCCCGAGTGCCTGGCCCCCGGCCACTACCTCGTCCGCCACGAGATCATCGCCCTCCACGCCTCCTACCAGTACCCTGGTGCCCAGTTCTACCCCGGCTGCCATCAGCTCGAGGTTACAGGCTCCGGCAGCACCTCCCCCTCCGACCTTGTCGCCTTCCCCGGTGCCTACAAGGCCGCTGACCCCGGTATCACCTACGATGCCTACAAGGCCCAGGAGTACACCATCCCCGGCCCTGCCCTCTTCTCCTGCTCCGGTGGCTCTGGCTCTGGCTCCGGCTCTGGTGCTGCTTCTTCCGCCGCCCCTGTCGCTACCTCCGCCGCCGCTTCTGCTCCCGCCTCCTCTGCCCCCGCCGCTACCTCCGCCCCTGCTGCCACCTCTGCTGCCGCTACCACCTCCGCCCCCGCTGCCGCTGCCACCGATGCCGCTGATGAGGAGGACTGCCCCGTCGAGACCCCCACTGCCACCGCTGCCATCACCCAGGCTGCTGTCTCCGAGGCTGCTGCCACCCCCACCGACGCTGGCGACGATGAGGACTGCCCCGCCGAGTCTGAGGCTTCCGCTGCCCCTGTTGCCACTGCCACTCCCACCCAGGCCGCTGGTGATGATGAGGATGACTGCCCTGCCGAGTCTGAGGCTCCCGTTGCCTCTGCCACCCCTACTCCCACCCAGGCTGCCTCCGACGACGAGGACGACTGCCCTGCTGAGTCTGAGGCTCCCGTCGCCACTCCTACCCCCACCCAGGCTGCTGATGATGAGGAGGACTGCCCCGTCGAGACCCCCGTTGCCAAGCGCATGACCTTCCACGAGCGCCGCAACCTTTAAGCGGTCTCTTGGTGTCTTCGACGCCTAGATGGCTAAGGGGACGAGCTTCCCGGGCTGCCGGTGGATGTTCACGCTTGTGGTGTCCCCGACGCTGATAGGTCACCAGACCAATCCGTTTCATGTATAAAGTCTTTGTTGTATATCGTTTTACCTCACGTATATATCAGAACGATATAGATCGTATCATTCTCACGTTCCAACTTATGTTATTCTTGCCTTACTGTGATATGTAAATGTGCTGTAAAGATTCGATCTGTTGTAACTCCTTAATCGCTCTCAATAATTCACCTTGAGCTTCTGTTTATACCTAGCCTTTGCCACTTACTAGTTGCGAAAAAGCATGGCACACAAGTTATGTACTCCATCTGCAGTAAGTCAAGCTTCAGTCGCCAAAAAACGTGACAAAGAAATTAAAAAATCCCAATGACATTGGTATATGTGGTCATTACATCGTGAAGAGAATCTCTCCTGTCCGTATCCATAAACTATGATATGAGTCTGCACTATGTACCATGTAGCACACGAGAGAAGTCTTTTGACACATCCATTAGACGCTACCGCTTCCTCCACTGCGCAGGCTAGACTTCTCTGCACCATGACCATGGCTAGGTGCAGCAGTAGGAGGCGTTGAGCGACGCTTTCGCAGCATGACGAACGCGATGGCACCAACAATAGCCACGACACCGAGGGTGACCATGGCGCCAATGACACCGGCGACAGCGTTGGACATGCCGCCGCTGCTCTTGCCAGAATCAGAGCTTGAGGCTGCCTCTTGGTTGGCGAAACAGAAGTCCGCGACACTAGAGCAGACAGAGCACCATTCTCCGACGGTGCTGATCGCACGCTCCTGCATCTCTGACACGAAGCGCGGCCAAGATAGAGTCTCTTCGTTGGTTCCAAATAGGGGGTACGGTGTCAGCTCACCAAAGGTGCTGTTGCGGAACAAGAAGCGCACGCGGAGGTCGTCGTCGGCGTTGTCGGGGAACGTCGTCGTGTTGTCGCTGAACAGCTCGAAGGCGATGGTGGAAGCATAGTCCGGGAGACCGGTGAAGTTGACCGAGAGAGGAACGAGGTCGACGAGACCAAAGAAGGCGAGGAACGTGTCGTAGCTACCGGAGAGCAGGGAGAACTTGAGCTTGCCCTTCGAGGTGACGGTCTGGTTGAGTTGGGCGAGGATGCCGGCTGTCAGAGTCTGCGCGTGGATGGCCCGCGCCGGCTGGGAAGCGTTAAAGTTGTATCCAAACTCGGAGCTATCGGCGAGGGTGCGCAGCTGGAAGAGCTCCTCATCCGTGACATTGCGAGCCAGGGAGGTGCTGTTGTGGATGCGAGCAACGTTGATGAGGTCAAAGATGTCATAGGCATTCTTGTAAGTCATGTTCTCAGGCTTGTAGTCGTACACGCTCTCGAGGACATCGTATAGGCCGCCATAGAAATTCTTGGTCGTCTCCATGCGAGTCTTAAACTCGTCGCTCTGCTCAAAAGACTTGTAGGCGGCCGCGTTGGCGGGACAGCCATCGTCACCCTTGATCCAGATGGTGTCCGGGGAGTTCGCGTTCTCGCCGTGAAGGAACACATACTGATATCCATTCAGCGGGCTTGTGCTTTCGCTGCCGTTGTTGAGAGTGGTGGTGGCGATTTCGGCATCCAGGTCAACTAGAGGAGGGTAGAGACCTTGGAGGAAGGCCGTGGCTGAGTTCTTGAGGAGACTCTGGTCCGGGGCACTGGCGTAGATCTGCGACGAGACGTACTTGTCCTCGGAAATGTTCAGAATCTGGTGAGGGGACCCGGACTCAAGGTAGCGGCTGCGGTAGTCACTGCCGACTTGGAAGCACTGGTTCGCACCAACACTTGTGATGGCTTGAGCTCCATAGTGCTTCGTGTTGCCTTCAAGTCGTTTCAGTCAAAGTTGCGTTTGAGTGTGACAGATGACAGTCAACTTACGGTCTCCATGGCGGGTAAAGACGACCACGCCGTGGACAGTCTCGGCGACGGCAGTGCCGGCAAGGAAGCTCGCAACAGCCAAGGATTTACCGATCATAGTGGCAAAGCTATGAAGAGCCTACTCCGGCTCTGTTAGGGTATCAAATGAGGGCTCCGTACGTTGAAATCGCAAGTTCAGGCATGCAGCAAAAGACTTCGTGAGGCTTTTAATATTTCGCAACAGCCCACCCCCATTCCTGCAAGCCGCCCACTGACCGTCGCCCAGAAGGGCATCGTGCTGTCAAAATGTCATGTAAGGCGTCGCGCAGAAGCGGGGGAATCACACATGTTTCCCAGTCCCGTGGCGCGGAGATGCTGAGGATTTGGTATCGGTTGACTGTTGCCAAGAAGCCAAGTACTTGGCATACATCGTGACGAATCAACGCGGGCGATAAGAACAGCGGTCGTGGCCGGCCGGTCAGTAAATTTCGCTCTGAGGACCGCTAAGCAAATCGAAGCCGACTTGGCGGAGGGGTTGTCAACCTTCTTGCCTCTTCCGTTGGGTGAGGGTCGTTCGGCTGGAGTGCATGAGGCCGGGCCGCGAGATCGGAGACCCCCCACAACGCCGAATACTAAGTCACTGGCGATTGAAACATCTTCGTCAATTGTCTTCATGATAATCTGACTACTTCGGTTGATACGTCTCAATGTGGCTGCTGAGAAGTATGTGATGGGTAGGGGGATGCCGTTAGGGGATGCCAATCTGGAAAGATTCGACCTAGGCGCCCTCCTCATTTGACTCTATATGGCCCAACATAGTAGGATTCGCTTCAGCAAGCACTGACACTCTATCGGCCTCGTCACAGGGCTCTTAGTCTGTGAAGCACTTGGCCCCATACTCGGCTGGGCTAAAGAGACGCCAACTCAGGGGATAGGTTCTCTCTTTACTACTTCTAAAAGAGTCGGAGACAGAGACCATAAATTCGTTTCAAAAGAGTTACATCATTTTTGTATGTATATCCTCGAGTTGTCTTAATTACCGCCTGGCTCACGTGTAAGATATCTCGAGGGCTTTAGTTTTAGCACCACCCTATATCTGTATTCTTGAATATCAGCAGTGCAAGACACAGATTACAAGCCATGGTAAAATAGACAACCTATTTTCCAGATGAATGTCATGTGAAGCTATAAGTCTGGAGGTCTAGAGACGTCAACAAGCTAACACATCTGTTAATCAAATCACGCCATCGCCAGCCAATTGCAAGTCGTCAAGTTTGAAAATATAGTATGAACGTCATTTCCACCGCAGGTAACACCCCACCTTTAGAGTCAAATAGGTGTTCTGCGATGATGGATTCATTTCAGAACCACTAGATCCTCTCCAAGATATTAGACAGTTCCTCAACTCAACTGATGACTACCGGCATAGGTTGTTGGACGCATGAAGGGCATCACGTGCGCTACCCTAATGGGACCCAGCTGGAAAGGATCACGGATACAGCAGTGTCGGATGTCCTGCATCGTTCGGCCTGAATGAGAATCACACAGATTCGCAATGATCTCAGGAGCTTCAGCGTCCATGGCAGAGATGTCATGCGAGGCGCCAAGCTGGCGGCTAAGTAATTTGAGCAATTTGACCTTGGGACAAGTCCAAATCTTTAGTCAGGCGCATTCAACAACAGGTAACCTAGTATAATGCCAAATAAATCTGGACAGATACATTTGATAGTTCCGAGGCCGGCAGAGAGGTTGGTTTTAAGCTGTGGGGAATCATGTGGGATGAGTAAAGCGTGCCGCAATGCATCTCGGCAACACGCGCGCAGGATAGGACGGGGCTCAAGGAGAAGACATGAAAGGGCTCCCTGTCGATTTTGAAGTTGGATTTTTTTTTTGTTCATGCTCCTTTTGATGAGGATTTGTTTTTTGAGTTCCACGTCTCAGACCGCAACAGCAGCATTAGGCAGTTAACTTTGACCATGAGGCGAATAGGCCATCATTGTGCTCTGACAATGACCAGAACATCCGTAGAGGAAAGTCCTAGGAGAATAGTTCCGAACCATTGCGCGCGTTAGCACCACTTGGAGTGGCGCGGAGGGAGCATGTGTGAGAGACCATCTATTAGTTGTTGAAGGTCCATCCACTCCTTCACCGTTTTACATCGTTCTTCTCGGGTTGCGACTGTCCGTATGATCACGCGAACTGGTTTCGGAGGCCAAGAAAGTCAAGCAAAGGGGGGGGGGCAGGTGTGAGGTATGCTGTTGTCAACGGACTTCCAACGGTTCACCCGGACAACCAATGAACACGAAGCTAGGTAGAGTGTGGCAGGTCAAGACGGCGAATGCCGCTTCCCGCCCATCAGAACAGAAGTCCCAAGTTTCACTCGGAAAATGAGGTCCGACGGGGAGCCTAGGTCAAGTCACGTGTGGCAGCAATTCTGTGAGAAGCCATATTACTGATGGTGGTGAAGATCATAGACAAGACCTTGGCGAGTCAAATGGAGGATTTTATGTGTCAGTGGTAGGACGGCATCTGCAAGCAATTGGCTTCGGTGAAATAGAGGATTGTGGCGTATCTGCATTCAGCCGGGGGAAGTACACACTTGTCGACGTGTCTGGATGTCTGGCAATGGAAGGCCCAGGGAGGTCAGCACTTTTTTGTGCAAGCTGTTTAATGAATGCCAAACATTCGCCCGGATAAGAGACCTTTCATGAATCTGGCATCCCTGCTAATCCTGGTGGTTTCTGGGCGATATCTAACGACCTTCCTTCTCTCGGAGAAAGTATCGGAGAAAGCCAGTAATGCGAGGTCTAGTTATCAACACGAGTCGATAAGGGATTCTTGCGTGATCGCTCGGGTTTATCCCCGTCGTAAAACCACACGCTCGCTCCGCGGTCGGTCTCGGTCGAGATAACCATGCGCCCAGGCATTTTCACCGGTGGAAAAGCCTGCAAAGTCAGGAATGCAATTGATAGTGGGCTGAGACGATTGTGCGGTGTGGATGCGCAAAGCTGCTGTTGTGGGACAGCGGCTGTCGGTCGGAAGCCTCATTGGGGAAGAGAAGCTTGGCCTGGGAGACCCTGGTTGAGGGGGCCATTGGCCAATAACGCAATGTCAGGTTGAAAATGGTTAGATTTTGAAGCCTGAACGACCAGTAACAGAAGAATTTGGGAGTCCAGATTTGTTTGTTGAGTCCAGATTATTGGACAATGTGATCAAGTCTCTCAGCCCAGCCAGAACGTCCCCTCGACCTCGACGATATCATCGTCGTTCAGCCTCTGTACCTCAACGATTGTCCTGGGCGGGAACAGCACCTTGCCGGTGGTGTTCAGCTCAGCCCAGAGCTCATTCTGGACTTGGTTGACGATGGGGCGATAGCGATACATGTCCGACACATAGACAACCAGACGAACGCATGATGTCTGGAAACATGTCAACAGGGGTAACTTTTTCACTGCAGTCGGAGTCATGTCCTGACCAGATCGGACCCCGCCGACCGCGCCAAATGGGCCATGTTCTCATAAGCCAGGCGTATTCTGGGATACCCGATTTCAGCGAGCGAGCTGTTTGAGGGACGTATCCCACGAACGCCGGCGATGTAGAGCGTTGGGCCTGCGATAGAGAGCAGGCTGTAGGGCCCCGTGACATCGTAGCTAGTCGAAGGGTTGATGTATTTCACGCCCAGCGGGGATGTGTAGTTTGGTTCCAGAGTTGGCTCTGGTGATTGTGGAGATGTATTCGCTGCTGCGAGCGCAAACAGAAAACATGTTATTGCACCAAAGAAATTCATTGCGGATGTTTTCTTTGATATTTGCTATCGGCAGGAGATTTGACAGCGTCAGTGCAAAACAGTTGTATATAAGAGGCCATACTTGGTAGCATCTCAACCTGTTTTACAAGTGGTGAGCTGCAAGGAGACTTGTATTGATCCACTATGTGATGTCACGCAGCACGCGTGTCACCCAAAATGGGCTTGGCAAGCAATAACACCTCTCTGTGATTGCGGCTACGATGGCTACAACTTTTGTGGAAGGTGTTGCAGAGTCCAGGAACACGAATAGTAGAGATGTGCCCCTGAATACTAGGAAGGAAAAGGAAGGCGTTCGTTCTCAGGAACTGTTTACTAAGTGACTAAGTGACTAAAGTGTAACATGGATGGCATGGGTTGGACAAAGTTGTTCTCGAACGTGACCTGGAATGGCGCAATTCTATGCAATGGGGTCCGCAGGCGCAGGCGCAGGTATTGCTGGCATTGATTGCTGAGTGTTGAAAATGACGCCATCGCACGGTCGCGTTAGCTCATCCCGATTGGGGAGATTGGCGGCCAGGATTGCGACATTGGCGACGGCCTTAACCTCATCGTCGGTACTCGGTGCAGTCTGGAGAAGAGGGCGCCTTTTTACTGGGAAGGGAAAGGCACGGACAGGTACCGGCAGCAGTCCCCGCTGGACTCTGGGGAGGCGAGAGACAGAGAGGTATGTAGAAATGAAATTTGACGATGTCGCAAGCTTATGCTGAAAAATCAAGGTTGCAGACGGATCCAGCGGAACATTGAAGTTTTTTTTCCCTTCTTGTTGTCTGCTAGTGGTTTCGAGGCCCAGGCCCAGCCCAGACTGAATCATTCGAGACCCAGTTGATGACGAGAGAGAAACGGATGAATACGTGGACACTGGGCAGCAGCAAAGGTGCAAGGCCAAACGGCGATGGTCTAATCGCCGATTCGGCCTTAGCAAAACGGATTGAATTTTTTTTTTTTTTTTTTTTCTTCTTTTTTTTCTTGAAAGAAGAGAATGCGCAGGTGACCCTTCAACGTTTTGGCGGCGACATTTGACTGGTTCAACCTTGAGAAGAGTGACTGATGGAAATTCGTGGTTGGCGGGTGTGTGGTGTGTGCTGCGTGCATGATTTGCTGACAACGCATCCTGTTATGTAAGCTTTTGGTGATGACTGTGCACCTTGAGAAATTGTCCGTTACAGTATTTGGGACTTTGGTTTAGTTCTTTGCATAGGTAGGTACTCTGAATTAAATTGAATCGGCGATGGGATGCACTGGATATCTGATTGATTGAAGAAACAGCCAGTCGACTTATGGTGTTTACTGCATAGTATTATCGGAGACAT